CGAGTACAGCCGAGAATTGGTGGGGATCGAGAAAGCCCGGCGCAGACCTGCGCTCGGCTAACATCGAGCTTTTTCCAGTCTGCCTTCGCGCTCGCGCTCGTAAGCATCGTTTTCCATCCTCCGCTCATTTGCAAATCGTAATCAAAGTGTTTTTCGGGGGGTTGAGAGCAGCAAAAAATCAACCGAGGCATACTGAATGTAAAACCAACTATTTGTGCATCGCGAGCTCGACCCGATCTGGTTGGGACTTTGTGAAATTGGAAAATTTGGAGAGCTCGGGTGAAGCGAATTTCGGTCGTCATCTCACGTCAGCCAGATCCAGTGGTGACTGCGGCGTAAGGACGACCTCCACCGAGATCGAAAAGAGCTACACACGCGGACGATAACCAGACGACGACGAGCGTAAAACTGCCCGCTGACCCATTGTTACATACAGCGTAAGATGGCTATTTTTTTCTCGTACGCACGCTTGCTTTCGTTAGCGCAACATTCATTTATCGCGTGTACTCGTAATGTGTATCTGTGTATAGCCGCTTAAAACTCTCGATAAGTCTCGATGCCTTTTTTTCTGCGAATCGAACGAGTAATTCGAAAAAAATGCACATCCTACCCAGCGGCTCGTTACGAATAGCTATCGACGACAAAAAAAAACGCTCTCGATTCTTCCGTTGGTTTTTTTTTTTGTTGCGGAAAATTCAATTATTATTTTATTATTACGTAATGAGCGTCAAAGTGCACGGATTTAGAACGCACAAAAGGTATACGCGATGCAATTAATATAGCGGTGTAACGTATCCGCGCTTATATGGATACACGAATCCGTCCTTTTACTTCCACGAAGCACTCGATATTTCATAATTTTTCTGAAGTTTACACGTTTCGTTGTGTCCGACGGAAAAAAAATTAGAAATAAAATCGACGAGTCGCGTAGCAAGGAATAAAAAAAAGTATCGAGAAAAATGAAAACGCGAAGGCGATAAACGAGCGTGTACACGGACACGCACGTAGATCGGTGACACGGTAGAGCACGAGCGGCCGGTGTGCGGGCGCACTCACTACCACTGCACACACACGATGCGTATATACATGTATGTGTGCACATATTTGTGTGTAATTTAACGTTCTCTGCTGCGTAATTGAATGCAATTCGAGGCGCGCGTCAACACGCTATATGCAATATGTAGTAAACGAGATATTGGATTATGTATAGACTATGAAAATACGCGTGTGTGTATTGTACTGCACATGCATTAAATTCTGCGTCTCTCTCTCTCCCTCTCTGTGTATGCACGCGCGCACGATATACAAAGTCTGATTTAATAATAACATAATCCAATAGAGGAGCGATCGAATTATCAATTTGCGTCGATCAAAAATGATTATTCAGCGGATTAAGCGATAAACGTCCTTCGTTATAGATTTGTTGTTGTTGGCTGCTCTTTTTTTTTTTTTAGTCGTTCGACTCTTTTCGTTCGACTCGAAAAACAATCGTTACTACGCAATAATCGTGTTTTTCATTCTAAATTCTCACATAGAAAATCTCTCGGAACGAGGTCGCACTCGCTACACTACTCCGACTCCTCTTGGAGTCAGCGCGGGGGCCACTTTTGTCAATTTTCCGAGTGGGTGTTCGAGAGTACATGTGTACGTGTGTGCATGTAACTCTACGCGTAGTACGTACGTACGCTTATCAAAGATCGATCGATCCCGCGTCCAGAAGGATAATAGACGCACTCGCGATGTGTGTGTTTGTGTGTGTAGGTATAGCACAGCTGCGCGGATACGGAGCAGTTGCGTGCTTATATAAATCAGCTGCTGCTGCTGCTGCTGCTGTGACGCGCGTCGAGGGCTGCTATATGCTTTTTTTACTTTCTATATCGAGGATGACAGCGAACGTTCTCGCTGTTTAGGGTAATTTAAATTTCTTACCACTTGGCGTTACTCAATATTATCGAATTTCGACCGAATAATTTATAGAGAAAATGTGTACCACGTATCGCAAGCGTTGACCCACGTCACACGTGCATAATACGTGCGCGTAACTTTCCTCTCGCGCGCTCTAACTTTTTGTTGTTATAAAAAATCTTGGCGTCTCCGAAAGATCCCAAAGAAGACGCGGCGAGGAAGATATAAAAGTCTCTGCGGCGCGTCTCGGTCTCGCGCTCTCCGCAACGAATTCTATTTTCGAGAAAAAGAAACTCGAGAAAAAGGCCAGAATGCGAGAGAGACTTTAGAGACGAGCGTACGTTAACCCAGAGAGCAGCAGCAGCGACTATCCGTTGTAATATTATAACAGACTCACGTACACATTTCTTCTCTCTCTCTCGCTTTGGCGCGAGTCGCGCGGGTCAGAAATAAATTTTCAAAGTGTAAAAAATCGATATTGCAACTGGCCGCGCGCTACTGCTATATAGCCGTAGCCGCCTATATAAGCTTCATATAAAGCTTCGTGAATACGTCGTGTGTCGTTTACGTCACTTGGTACTAACGCGCGCACACTTACAAGCTCTCTCTCTCGCTCTCGCTCTCGCCCGAGGCCTATATATGGTACATGTGCAAGTGTGTATACCATTATAGTATCTGTACTTTGTACACATATACCGCGTAGTACATATAAATATAAATGAAAGATCGTGTACGCGTTTCTATTAATACAATTGCACGAAAGCATTTTATTTCGATAGACGAGCGGATTAGAAATTTTCTGATTTCTATGTATATGTACGATTCTGTTAGCTTTGTTTTGTCGATATTTCAAACGACTCGAATAAACGCGCGATCGCAATGTACCCAGGCCACGCCGTTAATATACGTTCAGGCCTTCGGATTGACGTCTAAGTGCAACACAGTTTTCAACTTGTCTCGCTGCGCTGTATATACGAGAGAGAATATCGAGGTGGACGTTGACACTCGTTATGTAGGTGGCTTTCGCACCTCATTTACGAGTCGTTCCCTCCGCGGGGATTTGGCTCTCTCGTGCCACCAACGACGGCCTAGCTATACATACATACATTTACAAGAGTGACGATATTGTTTCATTAAGCGAGCGATCTTTTAAAAGCCCTTTATAATCATTTATTTATTTTCCCTCTCTCTCTCTCTCTCTTGGGGGCGAATTCGTGTTACGCCATCGGCATCATTGATTTTTCGTGTATATATCTACTTATCTGCTCTTTCGCTTCGACGACTTTGGAAATTTTTATCAATTGTTATAGAAAATTAATTAAAGATTAAAAATGTATTTAAAAAATATTTTTGGCCTTTTCGATACTTGGAAAATCAGTTCAAAATAGACGTATTAAAGTAAAGCCTAATTCCATACTTTTGAAATCATCGATCGTCAAATTGGATACCTACCTATGCCACGAATTCGGCGATTTCTTCCAAAAAGTTAGATTCGTGCGTGCGCGCGTTAAAATGCGCCGACTCGGCGCTCGCGGGGTTATGTGCGGCTCATGGCCTTCTAGTCGCACGTGTTGCCTTTTTCACAGTCGTTTCCGAGCGCTCGTACAAGTACACACTCACAAACACAAAGTGCAGATCCGCGTTGAATTCTGTACCGACATACCATAGAAAGTTTAAATAAATTGAATCGAATAACTCGGGGGAATAATATCGTTTACAATGGATTTTACGAAGCAATTATCAGCTACTCAACGCGAACGAGCGAGCGGCCTTGCTGAGGATAAAAATGGCAATTGGTTCGAGAAAAAAGTCCTGCTGCATCATCCCACGTGGCCGATCTAGTATAAATTCTTTTATAATTAAAATGTAATACATTGATCACTTACAACATTATTTCAGCATATACTCCTTTAAACTTAATTATCAATTGACTCTCTATAGCTTTACGAAATAATTGAAATTATCATTTTTTAATCGAAGATGTGCACCGAGCACATGTTACTCCTATCTAGGTTATGTGCAATTCGGCTGTAAATAGGCGAAAATGGTAAAGAAATAAATACGCTTTGTTTTGTCGAAATTTGAGGATCAATTAAAAGTTTTGCATTTAGATTTTGGTTTTTAACATTTTAAGGTGCTCTTAGTAAAGATGAGTCCGAGAATAAAATTATAGAATCTTGCATGCAAAAATCGAGTAAAATTCAAAATCGCAATTCTCGAAACACCGGTCAGTGTCGTCTTGATAAAACGAGATTCAGCTTTGCAACCTCCGGAATTTCGAGACAGAGAAAAAGGCGGCCATTTTCGATTGCATTACGTATTCAAAAAGACTCTCGTGCACGTAGCTCTGGGTTACGCGTGGAAGGAGAAAAAAATACTCGATTCGCTGGTCGCATTCCGCGACTTTCCGAAATCACGTTTCTCTCACGTGTTTCTGCTACCGCTGCTGCTGCTGTTTGTTGCTATACCGCATCGAAATAACTGATGATAAATTATTCGAAGCGGCCGCGCAAAGTTTGTAAACACAGCGACATTTTTTACCTCGTGCATTCTAAGTTGAACGCTGCGTTATTCATAGATGATAGACGAGCGTAATAACAGAATAATAGGTTGTTCACACTTGGCCGCGCAAAAGCAGCAGCAGCATGAGCAGCAGTAGCAGCAAGAAACGTCCGAAAAAAGTTTCGGAAAAAAACCACGAACGGACGATCGATATAATGTCAGGCGAAATTGTTATTTTTCCGTTCCGTAATTATACAATGTCTATAACATTGAGTCGCTATAAGTGGGCTATTAAAGACGAAAAAGATCGCAATATGTGTGTCACGAAAGATAACGAGCGTTTGTCGTTGTCATTGATTGCGCTTGCCATATCTGCACAACGATGACTTTTTTAATTCTCCCCCTCGCTCGTTTATTTACATTTCAGTCTCGTCACTGCACTCTGCACACGCGCCTGCGATTATTCATGTTATTATTATTGATCAGTCTGTAAACGATAAGTTTTTCGTCGTTTCATCGACTGATCGCAAAACAATAAACAATCCGACCGATTTTAAACGTTAATTTTTTTTGTTTTTCCTGGATCGTTGCAGGTACCAAGTATGAGTTACGGTGAGCCGTGGTCTCTACCGAAGAAACAGGGTCTGTACGATCCGTCACTCGAGCATGAAGCTTGCGGCGTTGGCTTCATCGTCGCCATCGATGGAAAACGATCCCACAAAGTGAGTCAACACAACAATACGATAAAAATGAACTGCAAACAACTAAAATGAAAGAGAAGAAAAAACATAAAAAAAAGTCTCATTCTTCGCGAGCTACTTTGAAATGAAAAAAACTACCGATCTAAAAGACAGAGAAAAAAGTTCTACCAGCAAGAAGAGTTGCTGCTCTTTTTTGCCCTTGGAATTTTCATTATTTTTCGCTGATTCATATATATGCAAGTGCCCCGCTCTGACGTTCGCGTCGCCCTCTTTTCTCGACACGTCGAGCGTAAATAAAACTTCGGGGGGCCGTGTGGATTACGCGATAATCTTCGTACTTTTTCTTATTATTCCCACTTCTAATGCGACCTTTTTTTTTGTTGTGCTCATTAAACAGATAGTCCGAGATGCGGAGAAATTGTCGGCGCGTATGCACCACAGAGGTGCTTGCGCCTGCGACAACGACACGGGCGACGGCGCCGGTGTGCTCTGCGCAATACCACATCAGTACTATGCCGATGAACTCAGGTAAATATTTACACCGACGAGACGCACAAGACTCGGCGACTCGAATCGTTGCACGATGATGATCCAACGTTTCTTTTTTTGCGTTTCAGCCAGCGCGGTATCGATCTGCCGGAATTCGGCTGCTACGCGACTGGTATCCTCTTCCTCGACAAAAAGACTCACGCAGAAGCCGAGGCGGCCTTCGAAAAAATCGCCAAGGAATGCGACCTGCAAGTGAGTCCGCCTTATTTATTTCACGACTCGTCGATGCAAAAGCTTATTTACATAAAGATAATGAAAAACTGCCTTTTTTCCAAATTCTTTCTAAATTATGCATGCATCGATAATGTCGACATTTAAAAATAAAAATTTTCTAAATGATTAAAACATGCCCATAAAAGATCACTGTGATTGATAAATAATTTTTCCACATGAAGTTAAAATGTAATAAATACAAAAATCATAGCTATTTTCACGCAGTCGCTAACGAAACGTAATTTTTTTCTGAAAAGGTAATTTGCTGGCGCGACGTACCGACGGACAACTCTCATCTCGGTCAGGTAGCCAAGAAATGCGAGCCATACATGCGCCAGGTCTTTGTCACCGGCAGTCAACCCACCGAAGAGTTGAAAAGGCAGGTACGTGCGTATCGAAGCGGCGCCAAGTGCTCGCATTTTTGGGCGATTTGCCCAGGTGGATTGTAATCAAAGACCATCGCACCTTTCGTCTCCGGTTTACTTGAGCTATCGAAAAAATTAAAACAATCGCGCATTTATGAATTGCAGGTATTCGTGTTGCGAAAGAAATCATCGCACGCTATCTCCAAGCCCGGCTTGAGGTACTACGTCTGTTCTTTGTCGCTGAAAACCGTCGTTTACAAAGGACAACTCACGGCCGATCAATTGTGGTCTTATTTCACCGATTTAAAGGTGAGCTTTGTACTTCCGAATGACGTTGAATTTATTCGTCTTATAATTGCCGATTAAATGCCAAGAAATTTTGTTCTCATTATCATTTGGGCGCGATTATTAATTCTGACTTTCTTCTCTGATTTCAGTCGCCAAAATTCGAAACTTACCTGGCGCTGGTTCACACGCGCTTTTCCACAAATACATTCCCAAGCTGGGAACGAGCGCATCCGCTGAGGTAATTGTAATTTTAAGTTTTTTACCTGTCTATAATTGAAAAAAAGTTATTTTAATTCAATTGATTCATTTATGTAGACTGCTTGCTCACAATGGCGAGATTAACACCCTGCGTGGTAACGTGAATCTGATGAAGGCTCGCGAAGGTGTCATGCGCAGCGAATTGTTCGGCGATAAGCTCAAGGAACTCTATCCTGTCGTCGAGCCTAATCTATCGGATTCCGGCTCGGCCGATTGTGTACTCGAATTTCTTGTGATGGCTGGTCAACGATCATTACCGGAGGTAAAATATTTTTCCAGACTCATTAATTTTTAATTCATAAAACGAAGAACTAAATGATTAAAACATGCCCATAAAAGATCACTGTGATTGATAAATAATTTTTCCACATGAGGTTCTAATGTGATAAATACAAAAATCATAGCTATTTCGACGCAATCGTTAACGAAATGTTATTTTTTATTTTATAAAAGGCTGTGATGACTATGGTACCGGAAGCTTGGCAAAACGATTTGACCATGGCTGCAGAGAAACGCGACTTTTACCATTGGGCTGCTTGTGTCATGGAGCCGTGGGATGGACCTGCATTGCTTACCTTCACCGATGGCCGTTACGTCGGAGCCATACTTGACAGGTAGAGATTTTTACTGTTTTAACATCTGGACGTTTCGTCGAGATTGAATTTTTGTACAAGAATTGTGCATCTTACTTAAAAAGATACATAATCGCCGATCATGGACACATATAAGTGCAGTAAAGTAATCATACTATAAGCTTATTTTATGATTAGAGCTTTTTGAATACAATAGCCATGAAATAATTTAGCTGATTATGGATTAATTTTTTTATTTCAATATATTTTGTACTCCTTAAAGGTTTTTTAATTTTTATTTTTGGTGCTATCTATTTTATCAATTGAGTGCTTGATCATAAACTAGTCAAAAAAATATTGAATTTGTCACTAAATGTTGAATCATATTTATAAATATAATTTGACTGAACTGTTATGATTGATGTACCGTCTTGATTTTTTTGAAATTAATAATTATCATTTTCAGGTCAATAATATAGAAATAATTATAATTGATACTAAAGAGAATCAAGATGGTACAAGGCACACTAATGTATAAAATAGATTGTCGAACCGTTAACACAATCAATAGCTAACTTGTTTCATGTGCTAAATTCCTAAATTCCAAATATTAAACTGTAAAAGTTAAAAGGTCAAGTAAAATAGTGTCAATGACTGTAGAAGGTATTTCTGGAGAAACGACATTTGCTTGTAGAGAGTGACAGATCGTGAAGGGATTCACACCATACATGAATGTCTGAATCTTGATCGAGCAGCTTCTGCGTCGCACAAGCGCTTATCGCTAAAAAGAGAGAAAGAGAGGGAGAAAGAGTAGGAAAGATAGATAGAGTAAGAGCTCAAAGTGAAAAGGGCAATGAAAGGAACGTTGAGGATGAGGCCAGAAGGACTCGTGCAAGCATTGTCGTTGCGCCGCAATACCGATCTGCATCGTTGTAAAGTCTGCCATGCTGCATCCGCACATTCATGTTAATACTTTAGATACATATGATATTATACTTAAAAAGGTCTTGTGCAACAAATTGAAATGGTAAGACTTAATAGAATCAAAAAAAGGGAGAATCCATAGCAAGCACAATATCATTGTACAAAAATGTATTAACAGCTTTAGCCGCGCAAAACGAGCACAATAATGTCCCACCTCTTTCATCAAAAAATCAAAATAAAACAAAACACGTGACTCTTGATCGATTTGTGTTGTACTACAAAAGACTTTTTTGAATTTTTGTTTGGCAGAAACGGCCTGCGCCCGTCGCGCTTCTACGTCACTAAGGATAACATGATGGTGATGGCGTCCGAAGTGGGCGTCTATGACACTCCTCCCGAGAATGTTGTCCTCAAGGTAAACACACAATCAAAAGCAAGCGATTTTGCACTCTCTCGAGTAAATCACATGGGGAAGATGTCACGACGAAAGAGAGTCAAAAAACAAATTTAATAAAATAGAGAAAGAGCGAGTGATTAATTGAAAGAGACTAATGGAAGACGATATCCAAATCTATTGTATGTGATGTGAACGAGCAATTACTCTTGCCCTTCCCCTTCGCAATGAAAATCTCTAGGGGATCGAGCAATTTTCAATGGATTTATAAATAGCATTGTGTACGATGTCATTTATCACTGTGTATACGTCATCGATTGAGTTCGCGCATTATCTTTATGAATCACAACTGTTTGTCAATATTCGCACATTTTATGCATAATCTTAAATATGTATAGCATTGATAATGTTTTCTCCAACAGGATTCTTTTAACTAAAGTGGTTCCAAAGATGCCACGATATCACTTTTTTTCTCTCATGTTTAATTATAATATGCATAATAACGACTCTGCAGACATTGCAGAGAATTTCAGCTTTAGGAGAAATTTTTCTGTTGTCGCGGAAGAACGAGAAATTCATCGAGTAAACTACTTGCTGATGATATTTTCTAAGCTTCTTTATATTTTTTCCTGTACTTACTTTTTCAATTTTTTTACAAAACAGTAGTTATTTATTTTTTTTCGTACATCAAGGTCATAACGATTTAATAAGATTGGTAAGAAAATAATTAAATATTCATGTAAATGTTTAGCGCTGGAAACCTCTAAAAGCTGCAGTTGTATTTCAATATATTAATGTCTTATGAATATCATTAAGTAAAGCTAACAATTTATTTTGCATAGTATTAAGGACTTGGTTTGTATATAAATGAATTTTAAATTGAAAATTATCTACTCGATGCTGTCAAATAAATGTAAAATCAATATTTCTCTACATCGCAACACGATTCATTGTGGTCTTTTTATTTTTTTTATTTCAGAGTCGCTTGAAGCCTGGAAGAATGTTACTGGTCGATACAGAAGAAAAACAAATCATTGGGGATGTTGAATTGAAACTTAAAATTGCTCGTAGCAGGCCGCATTCGCTATGGCTAAAGAATCAGGTATAAATCGCAATAGATTTGAAAATATATTTTCGATCCACACGACAATCCAAATTGGTTATTCAAATTATTCAATTTCGCATTTAGTCGATCTATAAAACATTATAGGGATAAATGATTTTTTTTGTTTTTTGAAAATTGGGAATATTGAAGAAAAAAAATTAATAACTGAATTGGCAAAAAATGTTTTTAATGGAAACCTATGTATTTTTTTTTATTTTCAAAAATTCTTCGTATGCTGAAACAATGTGACCGATGATTTAATCAAAAAGATGGTGAGTTGAGGTCGATACCAATGTCCTCTAATAGTTCAATGTGTCTGCTTATTCTATTTTCTTCTTTTTTTCTGTACTTCTTGTAGTGGTTGAAAATCCTCATGTTTTCTCTTGATTTATATTTTCATCTTTCCACGTTGTTACTATATATTTGGTAGATGTACTGTTGTACTTCTCTGTATGTATATTGGTTATTTGGTTTTTCACTGGTTTTTGTAGAAGAGGATACCAATTTCAGGGTAAAAATAAAAATTATAAAATACTTTTTCTCAAAATTTTACCAAATATTTCTGTGAAAGCTACGTAAATGTGTAGAGAAAAAAAATTTTCGAGTAGCTTTTCACAAATTTGTTGGTAATAATTTTTAGAAAATATGTAGCTTTAAATTTTGTAATTTAACCCGTTATTGGATTCCTTTTAAGTATTTTTAGAAGGATGCTTTTCTTAGAACAACACTCCTTTCATCAATCTTTACTAAAAAAATTTTATTTGTACATAAATTTTAGGTAACCATGGATCACTTGCGACAAGATCATAAGAGCAAAGAACTAACTAATGGCGTAGCTCCTGAAGTAAATGGACATGCTCTCGTTAAGAAAAATGGTATCACCGAACAAGACGGAATATCCGCTGTCAACCGTGTATGGAGCGGTGACAAGAGAATCGCATTGTTCGGCTACACTCTTGAAACTATTAACTTACTCTTGCTGCCGATGATTCAAACGAAGTAAATATCTTACAAGAGCTTAATTTTTTTTTACTTTCAATTAATTTTCAAGGTGTAATGCATACAATTTTTTTAAATAGAAAAGAGGCACTTGGATCCATGGGCAACGATGCTCCGTTGGCTTGCTTATCCGAATTTCAACCTCTGATCTACGAATATTTCAAGCAACTATTCGCCCAGGTAACAAATCCACCGATCGATCCATTCAGAGAGAAAATCGTCATGTCCCTTCTGTGCCCAATTGGTCCAGAGAGCAACATCTTGGAACCCGACGAGTCCTACGTGCACCGTCTGTTTCTCAAGCATCCTATTCTATCGTTGGATGATCTTGAAGTAATTAAACATACTCAGTACGACGGGTGGAAGACAAAAATTATCGACTGCACTTACTCAAAAACGCTTGGACCTAATGGTTTGCTTGAGACACTCGACCGAGTGTGCAAAGAGGCTGATGAAGCAGCTACCGGTGGCTATCAGTTCATCGTACTTTCAGACCGTCAGGCTGGCCCTGAAAGGTAAAACTTCTTATTCATATTCATTAATAATATTTTATTATTTTCTTTACTAATGCATTATTGAAAAAATTTTAGAGTTCCAGTGAGTATACTTCTGTCACTTGGAGCCGTTCATCATCATCTGATTGAATGTAGATCTCGAATGAAAGTTGGAATCATTCTGGAAACTGGCGAAGCACGAGAAGTTCATCACATTTGTGTATTACTCGGTTATGGTGCTGACGCTATTTGTCCGTATTTGGTATTTGAAATGGCCAGAAATTTGCGAATTGATCACGTTATAGACAAGTCGAAAACCGATGAGGCTATATTTATGGTAATTATATTACTTGTAATTTTGGATGATATTTTTATACTAAAGCTTAATAACAAATGATTATAAACACGGATCCAATTTATGAAATTATATGATTCATTCTTTAAAATATGAAGTCGTTTTAACACAAATAATACCTGGTGTAAAATTGAATTTATTTTTAATTAACATTTTTTTATTATTTTAGGCATATTCAGAGGCCATGGAAAGAGGAATTTCTAAAGTTATGGCTAAGATGGGAATTTCAACTTTACAATCTTACAAGGGGGCCCAGATTTTCGAAGCTGTTGGTCTTGCTGACGAAGTTGTTGAAAAGTGTTTTAGAGTAAGTGTAATTTTTATATAATTTCATCTTAAAATTTAAATTCAAATCATCTATGATTAAAAACACGGATCCAATTAATGATTGCTAGTGATTCAAAATTTATTATGAGATAATTTAAATTCCGAAAAATCAAGTTTTCATGATCGCTCAATTAGTAATACAAGAAAATAATGTCAAATGTTTTTATTTTAGGGAACCTGCTCTCGAATTGGTGGTGTAAACTTTGATATTTTGGCTCGCGAAGGATTTGCTCGTCACCGTATGGCTTACTGGGATGATAGCTTCGACACGGTTGTAATTAATAACCCTGGAATCTATCATTGGCGCGCAGGTGGCGAAAAGCACATAAACGATCCACGCAGCATCGCTGCCTTGCAGGAATATGTCAACTCTAAAAATTGGAGCGCTTACGAGAACTACCGTAAAGTTTCGATGGAAGTTGTGCAGGCCTGTACCCTTCGTGGTCAGCTAGAATTTGTCAAGAACAAGACGGCAGTCGATTTGAATCTTGTTGAGCCTGCTTCTGAAATCGTTAAGCGGTTTGCCACTGGAGCCATGAGCTTCGGTAGTATTTCTTTGGAAGCCCATCAGACCCTGGCTATCGCCATGAATCGTATTGGTGGAAAATCCAATACCGGCGAGGGAGGAGAGAATGCAGATAGATACCTAAATCAAGATCCGCAATTCAATCGACGATCGGCTATCAAGCAGGTTGCTAGTGGTCGTTTCGGTGTAACATCAAGTTATTTAGCCAACGCTGATGACTTACAAATCAAAATGGCTCAAGGGGCAAAGCCTGGTGAAGGTGGCGAACTACCTGGTTATAAAGTTACTTCTGACATTGCTGCTACAAGACATTCGGTTCCCGGAGTCGGCTTGATATCTCCACCACCTCATCACGATATTTACTCTATCGAAGATTTGGCTGAATTGATTTACGATCTAAAGTGCGCTAATCCCAATGCGAGAATATCTGTGAAACTTGTATCCGAGGTTGGAGTTGGTGTTGTTGCATCAGGTGTGGCAAAGGGTAAAGGTGAACACGTTGTCATCTCCGGTCACGATGGTGGTACCGGGGCCAGCAGCTGGACTGGTATCAAATCGGCTGGTTTGCCGTGGGAATTGGGAGTTGCTGAGACCCATCAAATTCTCACGCTTAATAATTTACGATCACGTATGATTGTCCAAGCTGACGGTCAAATGCGTACTGGTTTTGATATCGTCGTGGCAGCGCTTCTCGGTGCTGATGAATTTGGTCTCAGTACAGCTCCACTTATTGCCATGGGATGTACTATGATGCGAAAATGTCATTTAAATACTTGTCCAGTTGGTATAGCCACACAAGATCCACACTTGAGGAAGAAATTTGCTGGATCACCTGAGCACGTGATAAATTTCTTCTTTGCTCTGGCCGAGGAAGTCCGTACGATCATGGCTTCTCTGGGTATCACCAAATTCCAAGATCTCATTGGTCGCACTGACCTGCTGAAAATTCGCGAAGATCTCAAATCAGAAAAGGCCAAGACTCTAGATTTGTCTAATGTATTGCGCAGTGCGTTGGATTTGAGACCTGGTGCCAACATCAAAGGTGGCTCCATCCAGCAAGATTTTCAACTGGAGCAACGACCTGACAACGAATTGATAAAACTTGTTAAACCTGTTCTCGAACGCGAAACCGATAGTGTTTCCATTGAAATGACCATTAACAATGAAACTCGTGCATTCGGATCTACCCTCAGCTATCACATCTCAAAGAGGTACGGTGAAGAAGGTCTTCCCGATAACAGCGTGAACATCAAGCTAAAAGGCTCTGCTGGACAGAGTTTCTGTGCTTTTATGACCAAGGGTGTAAGCGTAGAGTTGGAAGGTGACGCTAACGATTATGTCGGCAAAGGTCTCTGTGGCGGTGAAATTGTCATTTATCCACCGAAAAATTCAGAATTCAACTCTCAGGATAACGTAATCGTTGGCAACGTCTGTCTTTACGGTGCAACTTCGGGACGAGCCTTCTTCCGTGGTATTGCTGCTGAGCGATTCAGTGTGCGCAACAGCGGTGCTGTCGTAGTTGTCGAAGGAGTTGGCGATCATGGTTGCGAATACATGACTGGTGGTACCGCTCTTATTCTCGGTCTTACTGGACGTAACTTTGCAGCAGGCATGTCAGGAGGTATTGCCTATGTACTAGATGTTGATGGATCTTTCAGGAGCAAGTGTAACCCAGAAATGGTGGAGCTTTTGCCCTTGAATAAAAAGGAAGATATCGACTTTGTACAAGAATTACTTGAAGAATTTGTGCGTAAAACTGGATCATTAATCGCAAAAGATTTGTTGGATATATGGCCAGAACCAATTCATAGGTTCTTCAAGGTGTTCCCTTACGAGTACCAGCGAGCTTTGAACCAATTGAAACAAGAGGAAGAAGATACAAAAACTAAAACTATATTGCCATTAGAACCTGAACCTGATACTATTGCTGTTCCTAACGGAAATGGACAATCTGTCATCGATATTGAGGATGTTGTCGCTGACCCAGTAGTGGCGCAAAAGAAACTTGATAAAATAAAAGGATTTATGAAATACAAACGTCAAACTGGACATTACCGTCCAGTAGAGAAGCGCATGGAAGACTGGAAAGAAATTTATAATTTCCAAGGCGTGAGAAAGGGGCTAAAAACTCAAGCTGCAAGGTGCATGGAATGCGGAGTTCCGTTCTGTCAAAGCAGTCATGGATGTCCTCTTGGAAATATTATTCCAAAATGGAATGACTTGGTGTACCAGGATAATTGGAAAGAAGCTTTGAATCAACTTCTTCAAACTAACAACTTCCCTGAATTCACTGGTCGAGTATGTCCTGCACCTTGCGAGGGTGCTTGTGTATTGGGAATTTCCGAACCTGCCGTAACGATCAAGAATATCGAATGTGCCATCATTGATCATGCTTTCGAGCAAGGATGGATCGTAGCTAATCCACCGGCTAACAGAACGGGTAAGAAGATCGCTATTATTGGTTCAGGGCCAGCAGGTCTTGCAGCAGCTCATCAGCTTAACAAAGCCGGCCATTTAGTCACTGTCTATGAGAGAAACGATCGCGTCGGAGGCCTCTTACAGTACGGCATTCCGACAATGAAATTGTCCAAAGAGGTTGTACAGAGGCGAGTCAATTTACTTGCCGAAGAGGGCATTACTTTCAAGACTGGAGTCAACGTTGGACGAGACATTACAACTACAGAGTTAAAAGAGTCGCATGATGCTGTTTTAATTTGTACTGGAGCAACATGGCCAAGAGATCTGCCTATTCCTGGACGTGATTTGAATGGTATACACTTCGCAGTTAGCTTCCTCGAGCATTGGCAAAAGAAACAGATGGGCAATAAGACTCCGCTGAACCCAGCGCTAATGGCGAAGGGCAAAAATGTTATCATTATTGGAGGTGGAGACACAGGTTGTGATTGCATCGCTACATCGTTACGACATGGTGCTAAATCGATCGTTACATTCGAAATTTTACCTGAACCACCAAAACAAAGATCAGACGATAATCCTTGGCCACAGTTCCCAAGAATCTTTAAAATGGATTACGGTCACGAAGAAGTGGTTCACAGGTTCGGCGAAGATCCTCGCAAATTCAGCACGCTTAGCAAGGTATTTTTCGTATTAGTAGTTTTTTATTTCTTTCTGTGCATGTTATTTTTACTAATCTTTATTTATTTTCATTAGGAATTTTTGAATGACGGTAAGGGTAACGTTAGCGGTATCAGAACAGTTAATGTTCAATGGACGAAAGATGAAGCTGGTCGATGGAAAATGGATGAAGTTCCTAATTCTGAAAAGGTGTACAAATGTGATTTGGTGTTGCTTGCTATGGGTTTCTTGGGTCCTGAAAAGTACGTAGCAGAAGAACTGTCAACAAAAATGGACGGACGTGGAAATTTCGAAACGCCAGCTGGCAAATATGCAACCAGCATACCTGGAGTATACGCTGCTGGAGGTAAATTCAACTTACTTTAAAAACCACTTTGTTGAAAAAAGTATCTTCAAAATTATTAATTTGATTTCGATGTTATTTTACAGATTGTCGAAGAGGCCAATCTCTTGTTGTGTGGGCAATCACCGAAGGGCGGCAAGCAGCTCGTGAAGTGGACTTGGCCTTAATGAAAACAACTTGTCTGCCTGTTGTTGGAGGAGTGGTTCGAACAGATATAAACGAAATCTAATCGTAATCTTCCAAGAATAGATTTTACATAAACGCACTATATATACAATATTTATTGAACCCTCAATGAGGAAACAAAAATTTTGAGATGTAGATATTTTTTGCAGTTTGCAAGATCTGATTATATTATATATACTATACGCGAGAATGCTAAAGATTGTTTGTAGAGAAAAGATTAGCATTGAATAATTTTATCGAAAAAAGCTTTTTTAATTATTGCGATAATGAGCACTCCAATGAATGAATTACATATTTTTAATGTGTACATTAGTTTATGTTGAATTTGAGTAGACAATGAAAACTTACTTTATTACCGCATCGTATTCTTTTTAAAATATTTAAATGAAAAATATACATATGAATATATATTATTAATTGTGTCTATTACGTCACTGCAATGACTCTTTTTGCTGCAAACATTTAACGACATTAGGTTCATGAAATATCTAAATGCTCGTAAACTACAATCCGATATATACAATGAAATATTTGAACGTATAGGCTTCGATATCCGTCAATATTATTATTACAAAGCTTTTGCATTCCTTGATTTTAACAAAATTGGACTCTACGTTTGAGATAATGGCATAGTTACTATAATATGTAAATGCTAGGGGATATAAATTGTCTTTCCCTTGCATAAAGCAAGTGAGAACGATGTACGATATTTATGGCAATTACACTTTCATATTGTTGCCTAATTAAATATCAGTGTGATGGCAATTAAAGCATATAATCAAAGCAAAATGTCAACTTCAGAAAATTTAAAAAAAAACAATGAAAAAATTTCAATGTTTATGAACAAGGCTGGTGAAACGTTCGTCCATGCGTTGTTAATTACAAATTATAATGTATAGTGAGCTGCGTGTTTGTTAATAAATATTTATAATTATTACTTAAACGTCAATCGATAGCTTGAAACAATACTACTTATGCAATAAGTTTTAAGCGCAATGCTATTATATATTAACTAATACTGAAAACATTGAGAAAAATGCCTGATTGTATTGATGAAAAATATTTATTTTTCGGAGAAGAAATTCTTCTGTGAATTTTAAAGAGTGTTAAGAAAGGATGAAATTGTAAACGAAGAGCCAATATCTTCTTCACAATGCACTAAAGCTCCCATCATTAAATAGCATTGGATTCAAGAGTACATAGTCAAATTAAAGTAGGGGTCAGAAATAAATGAACGTTGTACCCGGCTTGTGAAATGTCAGTATGATTACATTTCTTTCTACATTTTTTAAATATGTTTTCGTTATTTCTTAGAATTTTATCTTAAGTAAGTTAGCCGTATGGGACAAAATGTTTCTTATATAATTTCATGTACTACACTAAGACACATGTTAATGGAGACATAAATAGTTGTGTGATAAAAACCTAGTAGAATTTTGGTAGTTAAGTTACACTTATCTTATTTATTTCTTTACAAGAAGAAATATCTTTGTTAACTGAACAATTGTTTTTTTAATAATGTCATTTGTAATAATACAAACGATTTTCATGCGTATAATAAGAGGAAACCTAACAAGACAATAAATTATATTATATGTTTCAATTAAAAGATTGTTTCTCATTTTTAAGCCCTAATTTCATACCCTTATTTTTATTCACTTATTAACATTAAAAATAATGAGAGGTCTTATTTAATTTTTTGCCAAAAAAATTAATCTCCGAAGAAATTCAGAAGATAGATTTTTGCTTTATTAGGAACTTTTTTATTTTCATTTGCAAACATAGAAGAAAATATTGAAATCAACAAAGGCAAGAATTTAATTTCAACTACATAAGATGAAATGATTTTTGTAAATTAAGAAAGTTACATGACGACTATGTTTGCTTTTCTTTTCCATTAGCTAAAATTCATTTTCCATGAAATTCTAGAACTTTTCAAATAATTCAGCGACCCTAAATATATACAAACTAAGCTTACAAAGAAGTTTTAAATATCTTTCCACTTAAATCTTGTCGTTGTTATATGTATCAATCTAAATTTGTATTTCTGATTAATATTACACGTGAATCAATTGAGAAAACAGCAAGTGTTTATAATAAATCTAAAAGCCACGATGAATGCACATCGCAACCGAATATGTAAGATGGTACTATTCTAATGCAACTAAGCCCAACGTACTTTTTCGTCCGTTATGATTCTCGAGGCAACAATGCGTAAAGCCTCGAGGGTTCGAGAATTCTATGGGTTTACTGCTTGTATAAGAGGCAATGTTTCGCTAAGACCGTTACAGGTAATATTAAATGGATTTAAATATCCCCATGCAAGCCATTTAAATGGATTTCTCATGCTTCTTCGGCATTATAATTGTACGAATGAAAATGAGTATTATTTTCAAATCAATGCATCAGAAAATATTTCAGTTCTGAAAATTCACCGGTGATATCAATCGATACAAGACGTTATTGTATCGTCGATGATTCTCGTCTAGTCTAGACGACCTTGACTTTATTTCTCGAAATAAACGAGCAGGTGCGTTATCTTAAGCTCGTCAAGATAATTCAAATTCGACTGTTATGATTTTCGAAAAATTGACAGCGAGCTCGCGTGGACGAAAATTGACAACTGCTTGAAGCAATGTTTTTTTACCGTCAGTCCGAAAATTCACGCAGTAGGACATGTAAATTGGCACAAACGTATGATGAACGTATTTGCTATAAACAGACGCGCTTACGGTATTTTTAAACCGTCTTCTCGTCTCTATTGTGTCCCGAAAATTCTCGAACTAAACAGAGCAATGAACTCGACCTGACCGATGCGAAATGCAAGTCCCTTGGCTGAAATTGATCGATGTAAAATTCATGAAAGCCCTTTTATCGTTCGTGAATTTCATATTTTCAGCCTTATCGAGATAACAATGAATTTTTCATGGCATTTTCATGCAGTGAGCGCACGAAGAAGACTCGAGATAATTCTGGCGAGTCGGAGCAGTTTCTATTGTAAAAGTAATATGATAATTGTATGATTAAAGAACGTGGTTCTTTTTTCAGAGGAAAATTCGCTATGACGAAAAATTATTGTCAATTTAATCGTTGTTACAAACATCACAGTTTACGCTTTGGAGCCGAGCGTCTTTGTTTACACGCTACACAAGCCCGATGAAAGGCGAGAAGGTGTGCGAAGACGACCCGAGGCTTCTAGAATTCGTAAATACAATTCGCTCTATCGGCGCTTGATCAATGATGCCATGTTGATTTTACGAAACAACGACATTGTCGATTTAAAATTTTGAATTTCACAAATGATTTTTAGCCCTTAATCACCCCTAAAAGCGAAAAAATTTAGCATAATTATCGTAGCCGTGAAGCTGGAGACTTTCGCGAGTGTTCTAGAAATGGACGCTACGAGTCACGGCGCTGCGAGCGCTACGCTACGCTACGCCTCGAACTGTTTCGATCGAATTTTTTTATAAAATTTCGCACTTTTTGCATCGCGAATCATCGTAATCCTCGTTATTTTTTACGACGAGTAATGCACTGCACCTCAACGATGGCAATTTTTGCCAGGAAATGCAAAAAGCCCATGGAAACCGATGGAAACAGCTTCGCGTAGATTCTCGAATTTTCTCGCGAGGCTCGCGTCGGCTGCTGGTGGGGGGCCTCGGGTATATAAGCGAGCGCCTCGCCAGCAGCTCTTCAGTACATGAAAACAAATCACAACATTAACTTCTCTACTAACGAACGATTTAACGAAACAACAAACACAATGCCTGCCATTGGTATTGACTTGGGCACGACATACTCCTGCGTTGGAGTCTGGCAGCAGGGCAAGGTCGAGATCATCGCCAACGACCAGGGTAACAGAACAACACCTAGTTACGTTGCCTTCACCGACACCGAGAGGCTCATCGGCGATGCGGCCAAAAATCAGGTCGCCATGAATCCACAGAACACCGTGTTTGACGCCAAGCGTCTCATCGGCAGAAAGTAAGTCTTTCATTGCTTATTTTATTAATTTGATTATCTAATAAATTTAATCTCAGTGTCGCGAGTGCTATCAATTGATTTCGAGTTCGTTATAAAATTACTCAAATTTAGTGAAAGTAGTTTAACGTAACTTGAACGAATAATTTATTCGATTTTCTTGTATTTAAATTCAATATTAAATAATAGTTTTTGAAATCAGTGTAAATTATATTTTACAATTAACGTCAGTACTAGTGCAATTTCATGGGTGTGTCGAGCAGCAGAACAATCGAGTAGCTTACGCCATTTTTGCAGTGCTCTGCTTACGCGACGCGAAGTGTAGTGCAATGAACTCGGGCTGTCATTCCGTCTGCTACGCATACACGATCGTTACTTTTTAACTTATTTGATTTTAAATTTTTACACGATCACTAAAATACTTTGTCGTTTCGTATCGTTACAGATTTGACGACTCTAAGATCCAGAGTGACATCAAACACTGGCCATTCAAAGTCATCAACGAGGCCGGTAAACCCAAGATCGAAGTCGAGTTCCGCGGCGAGAAAAAACGTTTCAACCCGGAGGAGATCAGCTCGATGGTTCTGACAAAGATGAAGGAAACAGCCGAAGCGTACCTCGGCCAGAAAGTGCGGGACGCCGTCATCACAGTACCCGCATACTTCAACGACTCACAGCGCCAGGCCACCAAGGATGCTGGAGCGATCGCTGGTCTGAACGTACTCAGAATCATCAACGAGCCAACAGCCGCCGCCTTGGCCTACGGCCTCGACAAGAATCTCAAGGGGGAGAAGAACGTCCTCATCTTCGACTTGGGCGGTGGCACATTCGATGTGTCCATACTTACCATCGACGAGGGTTCACTCTTCGAAGTCAAATCGACAGCCGGTGACACGCATCTGGGTGGCGAAGATTTCGACTCCAGACTGGTTGACCATCTGTGCAAGGAATTCGAGAGGAAGTTCCGAAAGAATCTGAAAGCAAACCCCAGAGCACTGCGACGTCTACGCACTGCCGCGGAGCGAGCCAAGCGCACTCTGTCCTCGAGCACCGAAGCATCCATCGAAATCGATGCACTGTACGAGGGCATTGACTTCTACACCAAAGTCTCGAGAGCGCGCTTCGAGGAGCTCTGCGCAGATCTGTTCCGCGCCACCTTGGAACCCGTTGAGAAGGCCCTTACCGACGCCAAGCTAGACAAGCGAGCTATCCACGACGTCGTGCTCGTCGGCGGCTCAACTCGCATACCGAAGATCCAGAGCATGCTCCAGACCTTCTTCTGCGGCAAACAGTTGAACCTCTCCATCAACCCCGACGAGGCCGTGGCCTATGGAGCCGCGGTGCAAGCGGCCATTCTCACCGGCGAGGGCAACACCAGCTCGGCCCTCCAGGACGTACTGCTAGTCGACGTAGCACCACTCTCGCTCGGCATCGAAACCGCCGGCGGAGTCATGACCAACATCATCGAGCGCAACGCCCGCATCCCGTGCAAGCAGTCGCAAACCTTCACGACCTACGCCGACAACCAACCCGGTGTATCCATTCAAGTCTTCGAGGGAGAACGCGCCATGACGAAGGACAACAACCTCCTAGGTCGCTTCGAGTTGAGCGGTATCGCACCGGCTCCGCGAGGTGTTCCGAAGATCGACGTGACTTTCGACATGGATGCCAATGGTATTCTCCACGTCACAGCTAAGGACACAGCGAGCGGTCGCAGCAACAACATCCGCATCACCAACGACAAAGGCCGGCTTAGTCGCGAGGAGATCGACCGCATGCTCTCCGAGGCAGAGCGTTACCGAGAACAAGATCAGGAACAACGTGAGAAGGTCTCGGCGCGTAATCAGATCGAGAGCTACGTGTTCTCGGTCAAACAGGCTGTGGAGGATAGCGGCTCGAAGCTCAGCGAGGCCGACAAGAACATGGTCAAGAACTTGTGCGAGGACACCATTCGCTGGCTAGACAACAACACCTTAGCCGAGAAGGACGAGTACAAGCACAAGCTCGAGGAGCTGCAGCGTCAATGCGCACCGATCATGACAAAGATCCACACAGGAGGTGCTTCGGCTACAGGACCTCAAGGATGTGGACAGCAGTTTGCTCAGGGTGCTGACCAGAACTATTCGGGACCGACCGTTGAAGAGGTCGACTAAGCTGTCAACGACATCTGCACAGCTAGTTGCTGCTAACAACATCTTGCGGCTGACCATCTTTCCAACCCTTACCAACACCCAAGGGTTGTCGACGATCGAATAAAATATGAACAACTTCCAGCTCGTTTACCATCTCTGAGCTGTTGACGAAAACTTAGGATTATTTCGACGAAACTATACAGTATTGTGTTACAAAGCATTCCCAAGAGACTGAAATTATTTTAGTTTATTACCAAAGTTGTTTCCTATATATCAGATATATATAATTTTAAAGTCATTTTCATGTCGGGGCTTGTTGATTCGAATCCTTTGGGTTTGGCTCGATATTTATAATTGATTAATAAATCCAGCGATGGAGATACTAGTTGATTGTTTATGTCTAGACAAATTCAGAGGGTTCGAGTCAACAAGTCCTGTGACCAGTTTTATCAACTTTCTGTCAAATCGACAAAGTATCTTTGTTTGTTTAATGGACGGGTGGTTTGACTGGTTCTAATAATGTGATACTAGAAAGAAATTTAAAATAAATCGTTCATATTTTATTAAAAAAAACACAGCTTTATCATTTACAAAAATATATCCTATCCAATATCCCACCTTACACCTTTTGTTGAAAAGTTCAATTTGTAAATTATCTAAAAGAAAAATATTAATTATTGAAAATGATGATAACTTGAAAAGAAAAAATTATTTAGAGTCTTTTAATTAATTAGAATCAAATTTTATAATTTAGAGTCAAATTTTATAATTGAAACATACATTTTAACAGTATATAAAATCTTGTCAATAATAAACTCAAATCTCTTATCGCTGCTCAATATTGAAAAATAAATTTTATGATTAAAATAAAGATAACTTGCTGATGAATCAATCTTGACAATGCAGCCATGACAATAGACGATGACATCATTAAAAATGGAAATATAAAATATCAACAAATTTTAACGCACATTTTATAACGGGGATTGATAATATTACAGTAATAATCAAAATTCCCGTATCGCAACGAAAATCGAAAGTCGAATCATTTCGGAGCATCGTTAAATTCGCGAATAATTACAAGAGCAATGATATAATTAATAATCATTTCTCCGATCGAAGACCGCGCCCGCAATGAACTTTTACCCAAGTTTCTCGCAATAAAAATGTGCGTTTCGATGCATAAATTATACAATTATAGAAGCTCGGCACGTGTGTTCTCACGGTTTCGCTATATATAATTATGAAAAAAATTCTATTATGCAAAAAAATTGAATCGGCGATCGCCAGTTTTTAAGTTTTTAGCCGACGCGCATGACTCGGACGTTTGCGCGCGCGCGCGAGAGAGAGATCATTACGTAAGAGTAGAGTGCAGCCGATTTTGTTATCACGCACACGCCTGTTGTACATACACACACACACATATATATAGAGCAGCAGTGGTGAGAGTTGCATCATAGGTAGAAAAAGCTCTGAAAAAGCATTCCGCCATGTTCCGATGTACGAGGCGCATATCGCACAAGTTCTTCTGCTCTGCAGCAGTCGAGACTGTGTCTGTTGTATCTCGGCACGTGCGCGCGCGAATCTTATAACGGGTAACCTTTTCTAAATGCACACAGTGCCCTCGCGAGCAGCAGTGGTGCATGCGAGAATATTATAGTCTGCTAGACTGCGAGTGCACGTAACTCTACGACGACGACGACGACGACGTGCGGTGCATATCGTACTCGTATACAAGTACGGCTCTGTAAGCGCATCCTTTTTTATTTCTCTCGTTGTTGCAACAGTCGAAGACTGAGCGAAGGTCAGAGCGCCAACTATTATACCACTACACATATAGCCCGCGGCTCTCTCGCTCTCGCTCGTCGTTGCTGCTCATAATCGCGATTCGCGAAGCTGCCGAGTGTGTCCGACGTTTCTCATAGCATACCTATAATAAGTGGCACACACGGTACTACAATATAAGTAAAGGCACGCGCGCGCGCGCGCATCTACCTCTCACTTTCTCGTGAATATAGCTGCTGCTGCTGTTGCACGGCCAAGGAACTGGTCAACCGAAAGAATTTCACGTTTTCTCTTTCGTTATCGCGCAGCATTCGAGAGCGAAATTTCTCATCTGCCGTATAGAGGAAGGGACTTTTATTCGCAGTTGCAGCTCTACGATGCAAATGATGATAAACGAAACTTGGTTGTTGGCATTGCATGACACACGAGCGATAACGACGACGACGACGACGTCAACGAGTGTTGAATTTATATAATAATAATACAAAGTCAAACTTGGTCGTTGTCGCTGAGATCTCAAACAAACGCATTCGCTCGGACGCGCTGAGCTGAGCATCGAGTGAAATTTAGGACAGAAGAGAAAGCTCCTCCGATACTCCATCCACCACAGTGTTGTGAGAGACTAGTGTCGGTTCTGCGCGCGTGTGTGTGTGTATACGCTGTGGACGTTTAAACGAGCCGTCAATAAGGTGCACGGTCAGTGCGTAAACACCTATCCTCGCGTTCTGCTGCTATATACGTATATTACTCACACACGTGAGAGTATCTCTCGGCGAGTCAGTATATCTGCGAGCGAAAGAGTGGCAGTGAGGGACACGCGGGGGAGAAAGAGAGAGAGAGAAGCTCTCCCATCGTCAACCTTCGAGTGCTAGTCGTCTTTGCTCTCGCGCGCACCTCTGCTGCTCTACGTCGCGCTCGACACACTCAGTATTTACCTGCGCGCTAGAGCGAGCGAGTCGACGACGACGACAGCGAGCCCAGTCAGTCATCGATAATAACATCTAAAAAGTCATAATACGGTCAAGCAAGCCATCGGCAGCAGTCAGCACCATGTCTCTGGTGAACAAGTCCATGCAGCTGGGCCTGCTGCAGCTGCGCAACCTGGCCGCGGCGGCGACCACGACCTCACCCTCGTCCTCCACCTCGTCCCAAGTTCTGTTGTGCAATAACAAGAAATTATACAGTGTCGTGAGTGCCGACAATAAGCGCGCCGCCGATCTCATGATGGACCAGCAGAGCAAGCATCAGGTGTCGTACGGCAAGACCATCGCCAGTCAACGCCACGACTGGAATCGGGCGGTCAACGAGGCCGAGAAGGTCGTCGGCTATCCTACCTCCTTCCTCAGTCTCCGGTGGCTACTCAACGACGAGACGGCCAATGTAGCGCTTCATTTGAGAAAGCTCGCCGGTACCAATCATCCCTTGCTCAAGGCTGCGAAGTGAGTTTTTTTTCTTCCTTGCAATTTTCTCCTTTCCCTCTCTCGCGCGCACGCGACCCGTCTCCTTTTGGATCGCGTTTAAATTTGTTATTTGAAAGTTTTGCCAGCGAGCGAACGGCTAATCTGGATTCCAGGCGCGCTTTTATATACGTATATAGATAATACTTGCGTAGCCAAAGCAGGTTTCACTTATGCAAATGTGCAAATTCTTTTTGCGCCCGATCTCTACCTCCTCTGTCTCTGTTTGCCTTTTTAGGAATCTCATTTACAATGGTCATAATAATATGCAAGCATGGGGACTCATCGTTCTACTCATGTCCAAGGCTGCTGGGCAGTACAATGTTACCAATGAACAAGACATTGATAGGTCTGTTGGAGTTTTGCACAGGTACGAGACTTTTATCATTTTTCCTTTCTGCACCAGTCGTTTGACTTTTCAATTAACATTTATTTTTTTTCTATCCTCCAGTCAACGAACATTAGCAGAAATAACAGAGATGATACGTACCAGTCACTTGGTACACAAAGGCTTAGTCAACATGCGCAAGTCAGACTTTCCTGACCCAGCTGAGCACGAAGATATGACTTTTGGCAACAAAATTGCACTACTCACTGGAGATTACTTATTAGGGCATACAAGTGTAGCACTGGCTGGACTTAAAAATCAAGAAGTATGTAAATTCATTATTTGTACTTGAATCATCATAGCTGTCTATTAATTGAAAAATTTATTCTTTTTATTCTAGTTGGTAGAACTAATATCAACAGCAGTAAAAGATTTGTCAGAAGCAGAATTTGTAGCTAGAAGAGACAGTCAAAATAATATCTTACCATCCATACCTTCAGCTGATCGTACAAATTATGCAATCAATGAATGGACACTGCAAAATGTATTAAGTGGTGCTTCTCTTCTTGGTAAATCTTGCAAGGGAGCATTGAAATTAGCTGGTCATAATGAAGAAATGCAAGAGCATGGTTTTGTATTTGGAAAACACTTGGCTCTAGCCTGGCAGGTATGTATTATGCTTTACAAGCGATTATTGAATAATTTCATTCACTCACTGCTAACATTTTGACCTTGAAACGTTTTTCAGGCGGCAATCGATTTGAGCCCATTCATCACCAGAGACAGTAGCACACCCTTCAATCTGTGCTCGGCTCCGGTTCTATTCCACATCGAACACGACCCATCGCTGCTCGTAGAGATCGACAAAGGACTCGAATCTATCGAAAATGTTGACTACCCGAAGATCTACGAGACGGTGTTCAACGGACCAGGCATCGAACTCACGAAACAAATGCAGCGTGACCACTCGCAGAGGGCAATGGACCTGTTGAGCGTGTTCGACGAGAGCGAAGCGAAAACGGCTCTAGCCAATATTATTTACGCAATGGGAGGTCTTTAAATGTGCAAGCGTGCTTGTAATTATTATTAATTATTATAGCTAATCGTTATTGTTGGTAGATGATAAAAAAAGAAATGTTTTAACTAATTATATAATTCAACGAACGAATGCTTTCTCGCGATTCATCGGCTGAAAGTATCACTTTTTTTTTCTTAGCGAAGTCAATCAGAAGTGTTATTTTTCGCCTGAAGAATTCACGATAATCGTTATACGTGGCAAGGGAGTGGAGAGAATGTTTTTTCGCCGACTCTCTCTTCTTTGACGCTTCGCATGGCTATTACACGAATACAAGCGGAGAAAAAGATCGCGGTTACCACTTTTTTTCTTGATTTTTCTTTTTTGGAAGTAGTCGATGAAAAATTCAAGAAAAAAAGAAATATTGTTGATAAATTTTTACCACAAATTATTAAATGCACGATGTTAAATATTATACATATATTTATAGCTATTGATTATTATATCGAATAATTGTGAAAAAACGCGAAGTTTTGAAGGATATGAAGTAAGAAAAAAATTTTGTACATTTGAAATTTTACTATATATAAACCGACGCACGAAAATCTGAACAAAAAATGATATATATGAATTATGTAAATACTATTACGATGATACATACGGTGATGAAACAAAATTTTATATATTTACAAAGGTTACGGAACGGTGCGATTAATGATGCAATTGCGCTTTTCTCTCTCTTTCTCTACGAAATTTTTTTGGTTCGATTTCTTTGGAAAGAGGACGTTGCCTGAAAAAGTTTTCGAAATGTAAACGCAAACTTTTTAATTTTGTAAAAAAAAAAAAGAAAGAAAAAAAAATGAAATAAAAAAAATTCAAAAAAAAGAAAGAATCAAAACTGTTATCCGTCGATTTGTTTCTAAGCTCGTTATTTATTTACAAGAATGACTAGACGTTATCACAACGGTATCACTTTGGCTGAGGTGAAAAAATAGTCGCGTCTCGTCTCGACAAAAATATACATCGTTAGGATATGGGCGGCCGTTCAGACGATCGGGCCGGCGTCGGGGAACAGCTCCTTCATGATGTCCTTCTTCTTGGAGTGGGTGGGCAGGCCTCGGAAGAGATTCTCGGTGATCTGCAGCCTCGTGAGGCCGTTGGAGCCGAGACTCGTCGCGCTGTTCCTTCGCGACGCCGTCGTCGTCGTCGTACCGCCACTGGGAATGGTTGTCGCAACGACGGTGGTCTCGTTGTTGTCGATGGCCCTCATGGCGGCTAGCAATTTGGCTTTGTCGAAGGCAGCCTTGCTCGTCGCTGCATCTTTATTGCCCTGCTGTTGATGCTGCTCGACCGGCTTGTCGAAGACTTTGCTGTCGACGGCCAGCAGTAACTCTTTGTTGGGCGTGCTCACGTCGTCCTGGGCTCGCTTGTCGTCGTCCCAGGGCGTGACGATCGGCTGCTGCTGCGTCGTCGGCTTGGGCTCATCCTCGTCATCATCCTCCAAGCTAAGCTCGATCGGCAGGTCGATCTCGCTTTCGACATCGCTCAGGCTAATATTACTCTCGTGGTGGGAAGCGTCGCACTTGTTCTGCTGCTGCTGCTGTTTCGCAACGATCGGCCGCGCTACAGTCGGCTCTTTCGCAATGACCGTTACGACAGAGTCGCGATCGTACTTGATCTCGTCGGCGAGCTCGTCGTTGTACTCGGCGATACGGTCGAGATTCTCCTTGGTCAACGAGCGAGATCGGCTGCTGCTGCTCGGTCCGTTGGTGGTCGACGTCCTCTTGGTCGATTGTCGCCGCTTGGACGCGGCGTCGTCCTCGGCCTCGCTCGCCGAGCTCACCAATCTGCAATTACCGCATACGCACGTAGTACGAATAATAACGCCGAGCTATGCCAAGGTCGTCGCGCAATTGTAATAATACGTACCTGGCGTGCAACGATCTCGATCCGCTCGTTGGATCGGCGCGCTTTTCCTGCGCTGCGAGCGTCTCTGTTTCGCCATCGTCTCGCTGCAACGAGTAGGCAACGGGATGGGACGATGGCTTCTCGTGATGCTGAATCGGCGACGGCTCGCTGAGACGCGTCGAGGACGACGGATAATGAATTCGCTCGAGGTACTCGCTCGGATCGTTGCTGGCGACCCGATTATTCTCCATCGTCCCGTTGTGGTTGTTGTTGTGGTTGTTGCTGTTGTTGCTGAGCATCGGCAGCATCGAGTCGGTGATTTGTCGGGCCTCGCGACGAGCCTCGAACTCGAGCGACGACGAGGGATGATGGTCGTGCAGCAGCCTGAAGCTCGCCTCGATCTGTCGTCCGGCGGCCCGAAAATCGTTGAGGTCGACGAGCGACTGGCTGACCTGAACCTGCTGCTGGAGCGAGGACGAGGCTACGGGCAAGCGTCCTCCGACCTTGTCGGCGGTCCTCTTGGCTAGGCCTCCTCGCTCGCACCTGTAATTGTAGCCGAGCCGACTGGCCTGGTAGGATCGCTTGTTGCTGCGCTCCAGCAGCTCGTCCATGCTCTCGAGCTTGCGGCGTGCCTCGGCGAGCTGCTTGGCCGCCTCCTTGTGCTTGGCCATCTCGCCGTGCAGCTGCTGCTTCAGGTACTTGGTCTCGAGCTCGAGCTTGCGACGGAGCTGCTGGACGAGTCGCTCCTGCTCGTCGCAGCGCTGCTGCAGATCGGCCACCAGCTGCTGCAGCTTGTCACGCTCCGGCAGGTGGCGGTCCTTGCTCAGCTGCTGCAATTTCTTGTTCTGCGCCTGATTGCGACACATTGATATAAAGAATCGACCTCGTTAAACGTCACAGAAACGATTGCCTATATGAATTACATGAAAATTATGTACGCAATAGGGTACGACGTGTAATTACTTGGATGTATGCACCTGCAAGGTAAGTAGCTCGCTGTCCTTGTCCTTGAGGCGGTCCTGCAGCTCCTTGCACTGCGCCCTGAGCTTGCTGTGCTTGGCCTGGAGCACCCGAAAGTCCTCGTGGTGCGTGTTGATGATCCGGGGCAGCTCGGCGTTGCTGCCCTCGTACCTCTTCAGCGCCGAGTCCTGGCGCTTCTGTATGGCACGCAGCAGCTTGTTCTCGTTCGACAGCTCCTATATATAGCACCGAATAGTTTCAAGAAAATCACGACGATTCGCAGAGTATATATTTGTTTCTCACGTACATTGAGATGGTAGTGAGCGTCGGCCAGTTGATTCTGGAGGTGCTTGATGCGCAACATCTTGGCCGAGCAGACGCGCCGACCGATGACCGAGGACGATGCCTCTTTCTCCGCTCCGGGATTGTTCTCGCTCTGATGATGGTGTTGGCTACTACGCGCGCTGCAATTACTGTACGGGCTCGCGAACGCTGCAAAAACATTTAATAATATCTATATGGATCGTAATATAGAGTTTGTGGCTTTTTACGCTCGGCTGAGAAAAAGTCCACGTGAAATTGCATATCCATAAAGAGAGAAGAGAGAGAAGAGAGAAAAAGAGAGAGAGAGAGACTGTGTAATGTTGTATACAAACCGATCAAGGATTGCAATTGCTTTCTCGTAGAAAGTGGCAAGTAACACTGGTGCTGATGATTATTTTTTTGCTCCTTCTGGCGTTGATTACGATGCTCTAGTGCACAGCTGCCGACGGGGCTTAATTTATTGCTAACGTTCAGTGAGCTCTGGCTTTTGCTGGGTGCAGCAGCAGCAGCAGCAGTAACAGCGGCGGCCGTCGTCCGGCCGGCGACTCTCTGCTGATGGACTTTGGTACGGAAATCGCTGATCGCATGTCGGGTGTTCGTTAATGAAAATGACAACAACAACAACACGTAACGTGCGTAAGAGAGGCCGCGTGCGATAAATGTTTCTCAAAGTGCTTAGATTAGTACCAACAACGTGCTACATCGTGCGTAGTGCGCCACGGGCAGAAACAAAATTCGAACTCGCTCTTGGGCGTGCATAGATACCTAATCGATATTCTCTCGGACAGACAGGACACGGGTAGCGGTGGGACGTCGCTTTGCATCCTGCCGACGACTGCGGCTCACTGCACCCCAACGCCCACGGCTGCTGCCACCGTGTTCGGTTTACACACTCAATCTAATGTAATATAGTAAACGCTAGTCGAACGTGCGAGATCCCAATCGGGACTGCTGCGCATCTTCGACGATCGTGTTCCGCGCTGTCCCAAGATCGCCGGACCCCGGACTCATCGCTAATTTCACCGACAGGATTTCCAGGACCGTTTATCGTGTTTTCCTTTTTGTCGCGCACTTAAATTTCCGAGATTTTATTTTCGCAACACCTGTGCCGCGCGACACCGGCTGTATCGCGTCATCGTACTGTGTATTATGATACGAGGAGAATCGGTTGCCAAGGGGATGCTTCAAGAGGTAAACACGCATTCACGGCTGCTCTATGCATTGCAGGTGCATGTGGGTGTATCGAATGGAATCGTGTTCTCTATTCGGGAAAATAGCGATTCAATTATGCTGCTGCTGCTGCTGCCGTACGTCTTTGTATTGGAATTCCGATCGGTATTTTTAGCTATGTACGCTCGACTTGCGCTCATAAACTATTAATTCTTCTATTTTACTTATTAGTTCATTATTCATTCGCGAGAAAAATTAAGCACATTTTTTTCAAAAAAATTAATTTATTCTTTAATGTTGTCTGAAGAACGACATCGTTCAAAGATAAAAAGAACAACATGAATGAGTATTTACAACATTGATTTACACATATAAATATCTGTTACGCTAGATTAAAATTAACAACAAGTAACCACGATACTTTTATAACAATTATCATACATATTCTCTCTGTACATGTGGTATTTATAATTAAAAGGATAAAATCATCACACGATTCACGTCTGCTGTTGCTGCTGTTGGGTCTGCTCTTGTTCGAAAGCGTCCAAATGTTGAGCGTCCCACAGTCTACTGTAATAGGAATTCGGTATCTTCAACAGATCGTGATGCTTGCCACGTTCGACCATGCGGCCGCCGTTCAGAACGAAAATCTCGTCGGCGTCCATGACCGTGGACAAACGATGAGCAATGACGATCGACGTTTTTCCACTTGTGGCGCGTCTCAGAGCTTGCAGTATGTGCTGCAGAAAAAGACAAAATATTGTTTAGTTTCGTCGATACGATGAAGACGTAATTGATGATGAAAGCAAAAAAAAATAAAAGTCAACTCACCTGTTCGGTAATCGAGTCTAAAGATGAGGTAGCCTCGTCGAACACGAGTATCGGACTACCCTTGAGAATGGCTCGAGCGATCGCGACTCTTTGCTTTTCACCACCGCTCAATTTTAATCCCCGCTCGCCGACTTGAGTGTTGTATTTGTCCGGCCACCCTAGAATGGACTCGTGCAGATTCGCCATCTCGGCGGCTTTGTAAACCTCCTCCTCTGACTTCGATAAGTTACCATAATGCAAATTGTAAAAGATAGATTCATGGAAAAGTACGGAATCTTGAGGAACTATGGATATTGCACGTCGCAGTTCGTCTACGTCGACGTCGCGAATATTTTTGCCGTTGATCAATATCTGACCAGAATCGGGATCGAAAAATCTGTAGAGTAGTCTTATCAATGTCGTTTTGCTGCAAAAACAAAAAAAAATGATGAGCAGATTGTAATTTATTCTTGCTAGGTTGTTTAATCAATACGAACCCTGAACCAGAGCCACCAACGATCGCAATTTTCTTCCCAGGAGAAATCGTAAACGATAAGTCATTAAGAATATTTTTTCCTTGAATGTACTGGAAGTTTACGTTGTCAAAAATAATTTCCGAATTTTGCGGAACTACGTGGAAAGGCAGTGTATTGACTTTGTTCTATAACGTCAAGAAATAAAATTCACAGTTAATCTTTATCAAATAAAATTTCAAGTGTAGACGTTGTTAACTTACTTTTATTTTAGGGTCAGTCATGGTTAGTGCAAACATTGTTTGCATATCTACAAAAGCTTGTCGTACTTCTCTGTAAACTGATCCTAAAAATCCTAGGGGGATCGATAATTGGAAGAGTAACCCATTGACCATCACTAGATCTCCAACAGTTAAGTTACCTAAAATTTATAATTCTGTAAATCTTTCGATTCTTTATGGTCAATTTTCAATCCAATATACATACCTTGAACAATGTCTCTAGCAGCTAAAACCATGATTAAACTTAAGGCAGTACTGAAGATTGCATGCTGTCCAAAATTAAGCAATGCTAAACTTGTGCTCGTTTTCAATGAAGCCGCTTCATATTTTTTAAGCGATGCGTCATACCTTTCAGCTTCGAATTTTTCGTTATTAAAGTACTGGAATAGAAATAATGGAAATAAAATATAGCAATGTTGAAATTTAGAGATTAACGAAATTTACTCTTACTTTAACAGTCTCGTAATTAATAAGCGAATCGATAGCTTTATTTCCAGCTTCGTTTTCGGCTTTATTCATGTAAACTCGGAATTTCGTCCTCCACTGAGTTATGGCAAGAGTGAACAGAGCATATGTACCGACACAGCCAAGCGCAACTCCTGCATACTCAGCACCACACTTCATACCCAATATAGTACTGACTAATGTTAATTCGAAAATAGTAGGCACAATGTTGAACACCATCGCTGTTAAAACAAAGTTGATACCTCTGCTACCTCTGTCGATTGTCTGTGAAAATTATACATATAATTATTAAATTATAAAATTATACTGGTTTTACATATGATATGAAAAGAAATCATCAAAATTTACTTTAGATAGTGCTCCAGTTTGTCTGCTAAGATGAAACGCGAGATCAAGTTTATGAAGGTGTAAAAATACATTTCTGGCAATTTTTCGAATAGAATGTTGCGCGACCTTGGCAAAAACAGCATTTCGTAGTTCATTAAATCCAAATGCTCCACAACGAGCAATACCATCTATAATCAAATTAACATAATTATTAAATATATTTATTGTATAATCTTTTACGTTAATCTTGAGATAATTTTTCTTACATCCAACCAGCAAGGCAGTTCCAACAGTTGCAACTGTATCTGGAGCAGTTGCAAGGGCAGCTGCATTTTCTGGACCAAAAGAGTCAACTGCATACTTGAAGAGAAATGGGACCGAAACGTTTAGCAACTTAGCACTAACAAGTAGACCTAAAGCAACTTTGACTCTGTTCCTTATTTCTGGTTCGTCCTATTTTGCAAAAACATAGAAGATAAATAATTGGTTTTGTAAATAAAATCAAGCAAGAAACAAGATCTTATTTAAATTACCTTGGGCCATATAAAATTGAACATAGCACCTAGCATATCTTTTGGTGCAACTTTTGGTGCATCAATTTTAAACGCTTCTCGGCTCAAACTGGAAGCTCCAGGATGAAAACAATTTCTCTTCTGCTGAGCTGGTTTTCCTCCAGTAATACTTGCTACAACTGATGCCTGCTTTACTGGTGTTACTATGGGTTTCGTTTGAGGAATATTTTTCTTTTTCTGTGCTCTATCAATGACATTGCCGCTGCAACTCTGAAAATAATTAAAAGTAATGAAAATAAATAATAGAGTTGATATTTTTTTAATATAAAATTTTATTTAAAAAACAAAATACAAATTTATTGAGATTTTACATAGTTTAATCAATATATACATTAGTTACTTTAAAAATTATAATTATAATTGTAATGCATCGCTACATTTTTTCATTAAAGCTATATAATTATTTATTAAATCACAAGCTATGTAAAAGCTCAACGTTTTGAACCTAACTATTTTCATTTTAGTTAAGTATGTTTCATATTCATTTTTTTTATGTTTCAAAATTTCGAGACCTAGCTCTGTGATTAATTTTGCATCTCCTTCTTCAAATTTTTCACAATAAATTTTATCTTTCCAATAAGACTCTTTGCATATTTTTGAGGTAACAATAAATAATGCATTCTTGGCACAGTAATTTAATCCATCAATGGTAAAAGCCAGAGCTTGATCATTAGTGTATGATTTTAAATAGTTTGCAGCTAATTTTGAGATTTTATAACATTTTTGTATATTTTCCAATTTAAAAAACACTTGGTCTAGCGGATTTTGAGGTATAAAAAATCCATACTCCAAATATAATTTTAAACTACTATGAGCTCCATAGTTAATAAAAACTTGCATCTTTGGTGAATATGATTTTAGAGCTTTAATTTGATAAAATTCGTAACCACTTGAATCCATAATCAACTGAGCATCAGCAACAGTTTCACAGGTGTGATTAAATAAATCTAAAAAGGGTGCCAAAGCTAAATCATCATTACCTATTATATTAAATGCTGAGGAACCTTTTTTGTTATTCATGTAAATAGCTCGTGTATTGACAGTAAAAAAAGCCCATTTGAATTTTTCATATGTGAAAATATTCCATAGTGAATCATTACAGTGATCACATTTTTGATGATACAATAGTTTGATTGATTCTATAATCGTCATGTACATTAATTTTAACTGTCCAGATACTTTTTCTACTTCAGTCTTAATAAATTGAGGAAAAAGTGATTTTTCTGTTTTTGAACAAAATTCTGGATTACTGTAAGATCTAGGTAGCGTATCAAGGTAGGGTTTCCAACTTGAAGATTTACCCACATGACTTTCATAAATTAAAAATACAGAAAGTATAGACTGAGCAGTATAGGCCTTATTTTGAGAAAATAGTCTATTAATTGGACTTTTTGCCACAGTATGCGTTGTAACAAGGATTGACTTAGGAATTTGCAAAATAGCCTGATCAGCTACTATCTCATCTAATGTCATCAAACCTCTTCCTGTATTTTCAAACACATGAGGAACTAAATTACATGTTTCACGCCAATCCAAACTTATCATCCAAGCTTTCAAGTTTCTATATATTTCATTGTCATTTGCAGAAATGTTGGTCAAAGTTTCCTTGGCTTTGCTACGACGTTTTCTTGCTGTGCGACCCATGATTTTCGACGGCAAATACTAATTAAATCTGCAGAAATGGCAAGAGTTACGGGTAGTTGAGAAAGAAACTCAATCGATTATCATGAGTAGCAGCTTTGAACGTTTCATCTTCTGTCAACATTTTCTGAGTGAAAAAGCACGTTGATAACTTTGCACATAGCTAACCTCTCGAAAATAGAATGAAACTCAATCAAAGCCACGACGAGAAAAGAAAGAAACGAGAATGTGTCGTCGAGAGAGCTGTCATAATACTTACTCGGGTAATGACATAGGCATCGTGCTTAATGAGATGCAAGAGTGCACTTGAGTTTTTGGCAGTCAGCAGGGAGTGCTTGACGATGCAGCTGGTGGCGAAGGTCAAATTGGCGATTTTTGGATTTCGGCTGGTACGCAGCAGACCAGCAGCACACAGAACCAGACTCATTTCGACGATTAATTGACACTATTTATTGAATTGGATTACACTGGGTTACACGTAGAGGATCACATTCGAGAAACGAGGTCGGGTCGTTGTTGCGAGCGATTTTTTATATTTGCACTCGCGGGCAGAGATTATTATTATGTCAGATGATCGCGAGCGCGCCGAGTGTTTGCTTGGGGCCGCGAATCACGACGAATGTGGTCTGCAAATTTCGATCATGCGCTTCGCACGACTACCTGTGCTGCAGAAAAATACATACACGACTCGAGTACTGTGTGTATACTATACGCTTTAGGCCGCAATGACGTGTGCAACATAACAGACTGTATGTATGAGCGCGTGCCACTGTCAAACGGCTCGTTTGCCATCACCAGTGATTAAAAATAAAAAGTATCGTGTCTACTTGTGCCGCGCGCGATTGCCACACCTTATTATTTTTCTATTACTGAGCTTAGTTTAGATATTTGAGCGTCATTATAGCAAGGCACGTACAAAAATCTTTCAGATCGTTAGGCCGCAATATATAGATATTGGAAAATTTGTATTATGGCGTACGGATAAAAGTTTAATTTGATCATTCCTATATAAGATGAACATTCTTTTTAGCAAGTGGTAAATTAAAAATATTGCGAATGGAAAAAGGGCAGATTTATGATTTCTTCAATCCACCATGATTCATTTTAAAAATTTCAGTGCTGAAGAAAAAAATTTTCTGTCATTGACTGCAGATTGAGTTAAATATTTCACATAGATACATATTCGAAATCACGAGGATGGAATTTCACTGAATTATAAGTAAAATAACTTTTAGTGAAAAATAATCTTTTATTAAAAAATTGTTGTTTTATAATATCTTGTCAATCGGTTGCTTAATTTTGTCAACGATCGGCACAGACACCGGCGGACGCTCCCATTTGCTGCAGGCAAAAGCCGGAGCAGCAGTCGGCGTAGGTGGCCCCGCTGGGGTCGTAAACGCAGGGGGTGCCGGCTGGAAGGCACGCCGACGCGCTCGAAGCGAGCATCGCCACGGCCACCAGGGCAACGAAGAGGAGGGCGTACAGAGATTTCAAACTGGCCATTTCTTGCGATTTCTTGGGTACACCCTTTTTCTGTAAAAAAATCGAGATTTGATGGATTGGATCGTGAAATAATTTTAATAAGAAAAATCTCAAATTATATACTCACGTCGAGGATGGAGTAATTATGATGTCGATCAACGCGTAACGTTATCGTGCAGTGATAATTCCTCGATCTATCGAAGCAATTTATATTATAGTTTTCGTCCAGTTTTTATCCCTCTCCCACCCCGAAATCTTATTTGCATCCATATAATATGTGCAATCGTCAACCGATCGAGCGGTACAACTTCTGTTTTATGAGCGCGTCATCATCGCCTATGTGTACCGCACTCAGCTGCACACCAGTTTATCAAAATCGTGCATATAGATATTTAACATAGGCACAAGCTCGATAGGCGACCGATTGAGGAAAACGCGCTTAGACAGATTTTCCATTCCAAGTTGCGGAAAGACCTGTAATTAATTCGATGCAGAATATATGTTATCTGGAATAAAATTACAGGCAAATTATTGAGATTGTTAATTGATGTCGATGATCGTAATTGACAAGTGATATGGTCTCTTGAAATGTTCGTCAAGTAATTTTGATACGTTCAAATAAGTCGATGACTCGTTGATAAAATGCAAAACAAAAAGATGGCAAATTTTTAGAATAAAATTCACGAAAGAAATCAATTAACCAATAATCCACATCACGGGGTTTTCATATTTTTCAAATACGGTTTTAAGAGCAATAATAAAAACGTTGAAATTACATTTTTGTAGTACGATTGAAGTTGATTACAAGTTCAGCGGACGACGGTACTTATATGCGTAAAGTATCTTTTCTCGTCATCAATTTTTATAAAATTGAGTAAGTTATCCGTTATAGTAATCGTAATCTAATATAATATAGTATATAGTATAGTAATAGTAATGTAATAATTAAAATAACAACTTTAATATATCAATACTAGCGATAATGAAAGTATCTTATCATTTATTATGCATCAATAGTGCTTATGGACAATCACGTAATTGGAACTTCAGGGTCCTTTTACTTTTTGGTTGACATTTTTCAACTTTTCATCAAATCGAATAAATTATTTTGTTTAATACTTTTTAAAAATAGACCCTTAAAAATATTCGTTTACAATCTTTAGCAGAGACGTAATGATAATTTTCCCAATAAAATTGTTCTTGCTACTTTTTGCGTGCTAGTACCCTACAGTTTCCCGTTTCGAGATGCAAATTTTTTTCCCGAGTATTGACTGTTATGAAATTATCTTAGCATTTTAAAATTTTGTCACGATTAAATAATCGTTCAGTCAAACGATGAATGTGAAAAACCCAACTACAATATCTATTAGTATTGGCAAAAAAAAAAAAAAAATTCCTGAACTCAAGAGGGGATCATAAACGGAAGCTTTGAAAATTGTATATAAGCTCTCTAAATTCTTCATATTTTCATTCTGCAGTGTATTACTACGCCTTATCTTCATCAACGTGAGTAGTAAAAAAGAATTAAATTATTTTTAAATGTAATTTACTTTCATTTTTTAATAATTTTCTTGCAATAATTATTCTTTTTCTGTTACTAATGCCACAGCAGAAACTTTGATCGACACGATCCAATCTAAAATGGCCAGCTTCAAATCTTGTATCATTTTCGTCCTGTTCGCCTTAGTTGCCGTCATAATGATGATGGCTCCGAGTGCTATGGCCTGCATCGGCAACGGAGGTCATTGCCAACCCGATGGCAGTATGGGCAATTGTTGCTCTGGAAACTGCTACAAACAGCAAGGATGGGCTATGGGCGATTGCAGATAAATCAATGTTTAATTTATAATATATTGTTTATAGGTTTAATTTAAATCTCCAACTCATGAGCATTCCAAGTTTTAATTATTATTTATGTTTCAAATATTATATTTTACTGTAATGAAAAACTTTGTGCAATAAAGTAAATATGATTATTTATGAACTTGCAACTCTAAAATTATTCAAAAGAATTCTGAAACTGAACGATATACTTAAGTTAACATTTCGATCATGGATTTACAATGAAAGAATAAAAAACACTACCAAAGCATAATTAAGATCATGCAAATATTTCAGAGCTTTATTTCAGTACATCACTTTTCAAAAAAAAAATTGTACACTCCTTTCTCTTATGCTTAATCAAATAAAGAATATTATAAAGCGTGATGAACATACATAATCGGTCTGAAATACCCTTACTTTTATCCTATATTTTATCCTTCGAATTGATGGACTATAAAAATAAATTGGATGGTATATAAAAATATTTAGTAAATTTGACAAAGTTTCAAAATAGTATACTACTGCACTAAGCCGGAAAAAATATAAAAGTCTCAGAGCGCATAAAATTAGCAAATAAACGCTTACTCTGGGGCTTCCGTTTTTTCCCATGTGTAATTTTTCATGCTAAAACTAAGCTTTTCGGCCCTGCAGCTAAAAAGAAAAAGTTGAATTCTGCTGGAAGGTTCATGAAAAATAGTATACGCAACCACCAAACGAAAAAAGAGAAGGGTTTCCAGTATTTTGATCCCAAATTTGATCTACTTACTTATTTTAAAATCTGCATGCAAAATGATCTGTTCCATAATATTTACTACAGAATCTCTTCAATGGTTCAATAAAGCTTTATTTATAAATTTGAAACTTTTTGCGAAAATTTTTAGTTGGGCTTTGACTTAAAAAAATTTAAATAATCCAAATTGGAAATATATTCCTTTCACCTACAAAACTGTTTTATTTTTTGAAAATTTAATTAATCAAAAATGTTAATTGCTAATAATTTTTTCCCCATTTACTCTTATCTATAGTTTAGTATGATTCTTGATAGAAAAATTTAAGTCGTTGCCCGATAAGGCGCATAGGAATGATTGCAAACGCAATGGAGTTGTAAACATTTTCGTCAAATATGTAAAAGTATAAGCTAAAATCTGCGTAAGGAGGTAAAAGCGTAAAATAGTTGAAGCCTTAGTTAAACAAATAAAGTTAGACAGATGAAAATACGTATCTTTACGGTATTTTCATAAGGAAACTGTCAATGATCAAAGAGATACTCTAATTCAACGCGGAAAATGTGATTTATTATTTACATGCCTGAAAAGAAAACTGGAAAATCCGAATACATGGAAATTTTCTGAATACGCTGCTCACGCGAGTGGATTTTTCTTTAAAACTTATTGGATTATAGCTCAAAAATAATTCGTATAAAAAACGTACTCTTTAAGTAGCGTAAATACACATTCGCACTCGGTGTAATTTACACTCTTTGAGGATAAAGTACGTACATAATAATTCGAGCGGGAAAAACTCAAAGACGCTTTGATTTTTTACCTCTATTTGGATCGCTTTGCTGTTCTACAGAAGTGGGAGATTACTTTTACAACGAGAGAATAAGGGTATATAAACTCGTTCATCTTCCGAGTTTGAAATTATTCTTTGCATCAAGTCGCTCTTGAATAAAGTAAGTACATTTGCAAAAGTCATAATTTCAAGAATTTATGTATAGCTAAAATATTTCATTTCCGCAGTAATAGAAAAAGCCCTGACATCGACAATGGCCGGTTTCAAGTCATTCAGTGCCCTTTTGCTGCTGTTCGTAGCCGCCGCAGTTATTCTGGTCCTGCAGGCCCCGAGTGCATCCGCCTGCATCGGCAACGGAGGTCATTGCCAACCCGACGGCAGCTTGGGCAATTGCTGCTCGGGATTTTGCTACAAACAAGTTGGATGGGCCATGGGAGACTGCAGAGCCAGTGGATAGAGTTATTCACGCGAGTTTGATTAAATTTAATTTCTTGTAATAATTTTCGCATGCTCATGAGTTTTTAAATAAATTACCGATATAAAAAATGAAATCAAGTCTTTTTTCTTACGATTCAATATCATAAAGAATAAATGTTAATTTCGTACTTCAAACAGAAACTACCCTTTTTTCTTTTTCCATCGTGGATTAATTCTTCGTGTCTTAATTGCTTCGGTAAACACGAATTAAGCCCTAGAATCGGCAAAAAAACCGGCATTTGTACGATGGGAAATAGGTAGAGTAAAAATGAGTCGCTTGGGAAATGCGAAAGGTCGTCAATTAATCATCTCGTTAGTCGACGCGAGGAGATCTTCATTTACCGGTAAAAATAGCTAAATATACAAGTCTGCTAAAGAAATAAAGTAAGGTAGACATAAAGCGTGCGAACAGTAGATATTAAAGTACTTGGCAATGTCAGTTAATGTTGAACGAGCCGCTAGCAGCAGGAAACTTGATGCTCCTTTTCACACGCAACGTTGCTCGCGCGGTTTTTTGTCGAAGCTGCAGCGATCGCGTGTGCGTGTAAATGATAGGTACATAAGCCAACACATCCACATGCGCATTATATTATACGCGAGGCTCGTCACTCCTCGCGCTTGACTTCCGTGAACTTGTGCGATTTTTTATTAAACTTTAATTGCTGATGTGTACATTCGAGTGGTTTTGTATTCGTTAACGCTCGAAAAGGTTCAAATAGAAAGATGTTATAAGTTCGTTTGCTTTCAGTGGTCAATCAGAATTCGAACAAAATGTACAAGTTCCTCTAATTTTTATTATACTTTTTTAACCATTAAATTAACACCGAGTAAAAATTTTTCTGATTTTATAATAATTTTTGCTTTTGTTTCTCTTTTAAATATCTACTTTTTCAGCTCATATAAGGTTCATTTGTAATTGGTGCCGAAACTCCGTGTGCGCTTGCGGAGAACGTCGCGATGGCGCTACCGGAGAATCCATTTTATCTAGTCCGCAGCCCGCAAACCGACTCTCTTTCTTAAGTTTCTTCGACAGCCATGACGGGGTTCAGCGAGAAGGTTAGCGAGGCCACGTTTAATTAATTATTTAAACATTTTAACACTTTTTATTACGGCCCTTATGATAAATTGAACGTCTTATCAATTCCTTTAGTATAATCCAACAACTACCGTATAAGTAATCGCATTTATTTGAAATTTTGAACTATTTGCCGGACGTGCAGATGTATGCTCTGATGCACGTGTCTTACGGTAACAGTAGAAGCAACTTTTAGTTGTTAAAACTACGATCTTGAACTAATGAATAGTGCAAAGTATTAAAAAATTACGTAATAGTTTTTTATCACCGTATTCCAAAGTTCTTGCACTTACTTTTCTTGAACATGAAGATTTGTTGTAACACATCATAAACATAACCTACTTTTTCTAATACTTACTACAGGTTGTTGACTTGCTTTATACTAATCTTACATTTTTTATTATTTTGCAGCCGATCCTTATCGATGGCCGTGGCCATTTGCTCGGCCGCTTGGCCGCCAAAATCGCCAAAACTATTTTGGAAGGCAACAAAGTTATAGTTGTTCGTTGCGAACAACTTAACATCTCTGGCAACTTCTTCAGGTGAGTTAAATAACTTATACAGTTTTCACTTTGTACAATTTGAATCCAATTCATTATTATGATTGTGTATTGATTTTGCACAACAATTTTTTATCAACTGGCATGATGCACATGATTATTATATTTCTTACCTACATTATTTGATAATACATGAAACAAGAAAAACTTATGAAGGCTCTAAGGCTATTTAAAAAATATTAAAATGTGTTGAACTTCCTATAATTATTTTATATTATTTTCTTATAGGAACAAGTTGAAGTTTTTGTCGTTCCTCCGTAAGAGATGTAACGTCAACCCTGCTCGTGGACCTTTCCACTACAGGGCCCCATCGAAGATCCTCTTCAAGACTGTTAGAGGTTTGTATGCAATTTTTGAAAATAATTCCTATCAGAGCTCATCCAATGATTATTTGATTTACCTACATTATTTGATGGCTATGAAACAAAAAAATGTATGAGGATGAATTTTCTATAACTACTGATGTAATATGATAATTGGTTTATGCATAATTCTAATCAACTCTATTTTTACTAGGAATGGTCCCACATAAAACCGCAAGAGGCAAAGATGCTTTGAGAAGGTTGAAGGCCTACGAAGGCTGCCCACCACCTTACGACAGGAGAAAGCGAGTAGTAGTTCCTGGAGCAATGAGAGTCATGTGCTTAAAGCCAGGCAGAAAGGTAATTATTCATGTTTTTTATGAGATATATTTAAATTGTACTAAAAGTATTTCAATGATGTTTTGGTAATTTGCGCCTGATTATTGGCAAGCCCAATTTGATGACAACTTCTACTGAGTTTTCAATAATTTTAATTCTATTTGATTTACAACTAATTGGAAGAAAACAAAACTAAATGTCATACTTTTTCACAGTACTGTCATGTTGGACGTCTGTCTCACGAAGTTGGATGGAAATACAAGGCTGTTGTCCGCACATTGGAGAACAAGAGACGTGTCAAATCCATCATGGAAGTCCAAAAGAGAAACGGACTTAAGGTAAATATAAGCTTTGAAAATCCAAATCATTTGAAAATCCAACTATTGAGTATTGACTAAATTTTTTAATATTTTTTACAGAAAATCACAAAGAAGGCTGGAGAGGCTGTTGCTCAAAGGGCTGCTCCTTACACTGCTGTTATTAACAGCCTTGGTTACAATTAAGAATTTTACATTAATAATAAAAATTCTTTTAAAAAGCCAAATTTTCCCTCTATATTTTTATTATAAAACAACTTGGCCATTGAAAATATTTTCCTATTTTTACAGTAAGGTGGTTAAAAAAATGAAAATTCATAATTTTCACTAATTGTTTTCTTTACACAATGAACACAAATTATGCAACAATTGAAAAACTGTGGCTTGATCACTTGAAAAAACAGATATAGTTTGGAATACTTTTGCTATGATCTAGAGAAATGCAGTGAAAAATTCACTTGAATAAATCAATGATTTCGAGATATGGAATTTAGTATAGATGCATCGTGCAACTCGGAACCGCAAATTCTTTTTTGAATCGCCGAACGTGGCGCACCGCTCCATACGCATGTGTGTGCAAAAAAAAAAACTGCAGCGCTTCGCAGCCGCGATATTACTCAGCCGCTTATAATATACAGGGTGTGTGTCGCTCGTTCGTTCCCACTCGTGCCTTCAGTCATTCGACGCTTTGCGCGTAGCAGATTTCTCTCTCTCTCTTTCTCGTTCTCCGTCTCTGTCGTTTTTTTTTTGCGTGTGTGCGTGCCCCGTCCGTGTTCGCTCTGGCTGTATACTTTGAAAAGCAGCCCCAGCTGCTTTAGCGCTGCTTCGCCTCTCTCGTGTGCAATTTGCTATTATAGCTATTGCAGAGCAGCGTGTATATACGTATACATCAAATAAGAATAAGTTGGAGGTGTATATGTCTCACTGTTCGGCGTGGTGAACTGTTGTTTTTTTTTTGTTTTCAATTGTTGTAGTGTTATCGGTGCAACGAGGCGTAATTTGATACATATACGCTCCAAGTGTAGAAAGCCGAACACTCTTCGCTCCTGGCGCAGAGGGATACAAACTCGCAACATACATTTTTCCGACGTTTGTCAGATCTTGTAATATATACATAACACATAAAGCGAGGAGGCCTTTTAAAAAAGGGGGCCGCCGCCAATAAATACATCTATATACATCCGTATCGTCGTCGCATTCGTCATCATGGTCATAAAAGTCTATGTGTCGGGCATCAGCGGCAACAAGGAAGTAAGTTTTCCATTTATCTGTATTTTCAGTGCTGTTGCACCTGAGCAGTGTGCATAAAGCGTCGGGATGCATTCGAGAGACGATTTCTCCGTCCTTGATCTAAGATGATGCTCACAATTTGTGTGATAGATAGATCGAGTTTCTACCTCTCTCTCTCTCTTTCTCTTTCTCGTCGCGTTGAGAGAATATGTGTGTATTTCGGTGCCGATACACACATAGCGCGTATTCTCGCACAATCTTATTTTGTTAACTACCAGATATATACTATAGAAGAGAAGCGCGCGTTGCTCGTTTTTCTGTCTCTCCCGAGCTTAAGCTGCCTGAATAATTATATATATGCCTTGTACTGTTGTCGTATACGTTTGCCGTCATCGTCGCGCACTACTAAAACACTTTTTATATTAGCCCGTGCGACGACTACGATGATAGACTGGGATAAAATTACGGCGCACGCCTCGGCTTCGATCAATTGATTGTTGATGAATTTATTATTCATGATGTCATCTTCAATTTTGACAGGTGAAGAAGAGACAGATGAGGGTCTTGATGATTTTGGAGAGCAAGAGCGTCGATTTTCAAGTGATAGATATCACAGAACCTGGAAAGGAGGCTGAGAAAGAATACATGCAAGTTAATAGTTCAGCTAGGGACAGCAAGTATCCATTACCTCCACAAATCTTTAATGATGAAGATTACTGTGGTGTAAGTTTCATTGTCGATGATGAAAATGCCGTATGAAGTATTTTAATCCAAGGTTTATCTTATTTAGGATTACGAAGACTTTGATATGGCAAATGAGATGGATGAGCTAGAAAAATTCCTGAAAGGAGTTTCATTTTTACCAGAGGAAAATTCTGAAAACAAGTCAGATAAACCACAGAATGGAAATGCTTCTAGTCGAGAGGTAATAGTCTTATACTTAAACACATTTCTACCTGTAAATAATTTTTAATTAATGAAAAACCAAATTAATTTTCAGCCATCAGCTGACAAAGACGGCACAGATAATAATGGGTAAGCTTTTGAATAAGCTTTTACTTGATAATCTTATTCGCTTATTTATATTTTTTATCTATACAGTTTGGAAGATGGATTATCTGAGGCTGATAATGATCAAAAACAATCTGAATCAGAAACAAAGGAATTGTCAAATGATGATTTAGACCTTGATGATGATCAAGAAAAAATGGACGATGATTCTGAAAAAATAAAAGAAGACGATGAATAGAATGTTTTTATGCACTGGTTGCATCAGCATCATGTTTTGAAGTAATTGTGACCAAATCTTCCTTTTATAACGATTTACTTCATTTTTATAAAAACACATTTTTTGAGATGAGGTAAAACTGCCAGCAATACGTCCACACAAATTCTTAGGGTTGACATAAAAGTACTTTTGTGAAGTGCTTATTTTATAAACACAACTCTCCTCTGGTCAACTCTTAATTAAGTTCAAACATACTCGCTTAGTTTTTACTTTCATAATATTTCTTTTATTTCGTTTTAAGAACGAAATTATTAACAAAGAAAATTATATATTTTGTGCTCTTTGGTTTCAATTCAAGGAAAATTGTATATAGAAATTTATTCATATAGTAATACAAAATCATGAAAACCGATCTATTTGTAAAAATCACTTTGATAGCTTAAAGAAATTGTATTTGATTCAAGTTACAAGAGACTGCTAGCATATAGCAAGAATAAATGTTATAATGTACATTCCTGCAGCTGAAAGTTGTCCTTGCCTAAAAGATTTATTTTATGAATAAACTTATGAGTTAAAATTATTTTTTTGAGAATCAAAGTAAGGTAATCGAAAGAGCTTTAGAAATTTTAAATAATTTGATTTATCCAATTCTTATATATTTCAAATTGATAATTTTCCATGCTTGTTATAAAAATTTTAAATTTTATATAAGAACACAGAGAAATATTAGTAAAATTTATAAATAATTAATTTTGAATCTGCAATAAAACATGACAGCATATGTTGTTTTCTGTTCTTTAAAGTAACTACACTTTTACCAATGCTTTCATGCATTTCACTATTTCAAAACAAAGCTTTGGCATTAACTTCATATCATATATAATATAGCGTCCACTTTCGTCCTACTGAATAAATAATTCAAATTGTAAGAATTAATAATATGTATGTAAGCAGTAAGAATGCTCAAAGATATTTAAGGCACTAAATTAACGCATATTTTGATCTTCCAAATTTTTTTTCTGTGAAAGCCAATCAGTTATATTTCTTGGAAACACCACGTTCTCTACAGCCTGAAAGCAACAATATGATCAATACTGTTTTTAAACTAAATAACATCTTAATGTGATATTATTAATTTTAAAACGTTTTGTTGAGCAAATATAAATGTAAAATAAACTGGAACCAAAAAAATACCTTTACAAAATGCACAAAATGATCCTCAGTTATACGATAAAAATCATTGAACAGTCTTTGGTCTAATACAACTTTTTGATTTTATTATGTTATCTAAATTTTAACAATGTCTTAAAATTAGTTATTTTATAACATTTTTTTAATAAATAAATCCACAAATAATTTTCAAGCAATGAATATCTTTTCGTTTTTTTCTGATTGTGAAGTTTGTCAACCTTTTTCAACAATTAATTATTTTTAAATATTTAATTTTAAGACTCATTATTAAAAAACTTTTCAACATGATTTAAAAATAACTCAAAGTCACTTTATTAAGATATGAATATGAAAATAAAAATCAAGCATTGTAAATTTAATAATGTGAATCATATTTAATTATGCTGTTACACTCTGCTGAACAACTGTAAGAAGTTTTCAAGACTTAATTTGTACAAAAACGAATTGATACAATCGTTTGTAATATTCGATTATTATTGCATAACAAAAATAAAATTACTTTTTCACAAAAATGCACATCAATTTTAGTTAGTGAAAAAAACTCATTACAGTATTTTTACATCAAAATAAACTACAAACACCAAACGACTTATTTTGTAGATACCATTCTACATTGACAGTCTAATATGTTAGTTTTTTTTACGAAAAAAATTGTGTGGTCTCAACAAAAAATGAATTTTGTGTAATTCTACATATTTTTTAAATTTTAATTATATAACTGAAATGATTGTGTACTGTTTTTACTGATAAATGATAAAACTTGTTGATTTTATGTTAGGTGTAAAAACAAATAATGGAGTAATTAACAACTTCTTACATTCAATTAATTAATGCTACAATGATTTTTTATAGCAGCATCTAATCTGCTTATAGAAAATAAATTACTTTTGGAGGTGGTTTCTTAAAACCTTTCGAATTTTCATAAAAAGTTCAATCTTACTTTTATTGTGGTTATATAAAATTATATAAAAATACTTTCTATTTCATGATTAATTCAATGCATCAGTTTCTTAAAACTTATAATTACGTCATTATACTAAAATTACAAAAATCTTAGCTAGAGTTTTCAGATCTAGTTTTTTGTATAAGCTTAAATTCTCTTCTTTTCTTTAAAAAATATTTACGAAAATTAATTTCAATGAGTCCTTCAAATTATAATTAATGCATAATATATGCTCTAAAATTATCACACATATTAAATGTATGGTTTTCGGCTTTATATGTAATCTTTAAGATTCAAGTTTTTCAAACTAAATAAACCTCCTATGATAGTTTATTTTCTACAACTTATAAAATAGCATCATTGATGTCAATGCTCTTAGCTTTATTCCAGTAGTTGGTGCTAAGTAAAACTCAAATCTGTTTAATCCGTACCAAAATATTTCTGTCCAAAATGATTTGGAGCAACAGCGTGAATTTCTGACGTTAAAATTTTCATCTAAAAAACAATAATTAATAAAAATTAGTTTCTTCAAAACTTAAAATATATGAATATATGAATAGTCATACCTTTGGAAATGCAGTAACTAAAGTTTTTGCTGCAAATGGTGTACAAAACAAATTTGAGAGAATAATATTTTCTTCAAGAACATTATGCTCTTTAAGCACAGCAATTGCTTTTATCACAGTGTTGCCAGTACCTATGTAAAAATAATGGTTAGTGAGAAGGTTCAGACTAAGCATAAATGAAAGAATATCAAATTACTCACTCATTATTGGATACATGAGAAGGACTTTCCTTTTAGCAATGTCATCTGGAAATTTGGCGTAAACAACTCTAGCTTCATGTGTGTCCACATCACTTTCTACAAGAATTTTGCCAATTCGTATACTTCTGCAACAGTCTCTGAGTCCTTGCTCCATAGCTTCCCCACTTCTGACAATGGACACTCCGCAATTGCCTTTTTGGTACTTTAAACCATCATATTGGCAACCAGTTGGGGTTGTGATAACACATTTTGTAAATGGCAGCTGATTCAAGCTCTCTTCAATTACAAGTCTTATCTGAAAGTTTATGTAACATTGCAATTAAAAAACCTCGTGAATACAGAAAAATTTCAGTCATAACAATCTATTGGGAGACTTACTAATCTATCGGCGTAGAACTTGAAGTCACTGCGTGATGTGGTTCTGTAAGTAAAAATACGTATGCAATGATTTTTGTCGAAGATCTAAATTCGAGAACTACTTGTCAAACGCATTTTCCCAAAGCAAAAAAAGTCACGTGGTGTACCTGTCACGCAGAATAGTTTGGAGCTCCCGAATCACGTCGTTTGTAGGCAGGATTTTAAGATTTGAGCCGTACTCCTCGGTGCCATTTTCCGTCGAATTTTCATTTACCAGGAGTGTGAGATTGGTCGTGTTGCCGTTTTGCATTGGTAATTTTTTCACTGCAGCGTCTGAATTACCCATCGTTGTGATTTGTCAATTTGTTCTCTCTATATACACAAAAACTAATCACTATCGACTCGCAACTTCGGTGGCTATAACACCGTACAAGCACTAATGCACACAATAATAGATATTTGATGACTGAATGAAACGCAGACAGCTCGGCTCAGCACAACGTGACCATCATATCATCACTCCGTAAAACGTGTTCGTCTGCTACTTTTTGTGTCGTCTTCTCTTCCCCTTCTTAACCTTCTGGGAGCTTCTTCGTCAGCACCTCGGCAGCTCATTTTTGACCGCGTGCGTGAACGCAAGCGCTGCTTACCACACGAGACGTCACAAATACCGTACGGAAATTATGAGTAAAAAAATTCACTGGCATGATCATTCGATTGATGTATGAAAGACGCTCAATGATACATATTTGATCTTCTTTAAATTAAAACAAAATGCTCTCAAATGTGACGGAATTTTCCACTCGCAATATGCAAATGCAAATGATTTTCGAGTGAAACATTATCACGTGATTCTAAAAACTAACCAATCAGGGCCGTCTACAAGGACCCATAACTACACTGATAAGTTAAATTTCTACCTGTCTCTGTCTAAGCTACGCTGTACACGTATTATGTGTTTACGCACGCATCCAGTCGGGTTCGCGTGACATAAGTCCCATACATGATACACAAATTACTACGTGTACTTCATTAGTTCAAAGAAACTTGACTGAAAAACTTGGTAAATTGATAAATTTTTACGGAATATTTGTTACGAACAGTAATCTAGTCATGTGGGCGGATACAGTTTTGATTTTGTTTATCAGTGTGTGCACGGCCCTTTTGGGTGAAGGTAAGATGAGACTTTACACCTTTCGCTCAAGTATTTTGCAAAATAACTCTTTAATCGTTTCTCTTATTTAAGGCATGACTTGGTTAACGGTGTATAGAACAGAAAAGTATCAAAAGCTCAAGGCTGAAGTCGAGAAGCAGAGCAAAAAGCGTGAGTTGCATTTTTGAGTTAGTTGCTCTATTCATATGTTAGTATTATTATAATCTCATATTTAATTTACAGTTGAAAAGAGGAAAGAAGCTCATGGAGATTCTTTGGATAAACAGCAAAAGAAGAAAATTGAACGAGAGGAAGAAAGACTGAAGAATAATAACAGAGACTTATCGCTTGTCAAAATGAAATCTATGTTTGCCATTGGTTTTGCTTTTACAGCTCTCTTGAGCATGTTTAACAGCATTTTTGATGGACGTATAGTAGCCAGACTGCCATTTACTCCTATTTCTTGGATCCAGGGTTTGTCCCACAGAAATCTGCCTGGTGATGATTATACAGAATGCTCCTTCATCTTTTTATACATCCTTTGCACAATGAGCATTAGACAGGTTACTAATTTTTTAAAATTATTTAGTTGATAATTAAATCCTTTTCTTAATGAAATATACATTTCTTTTTAGAATATACAAAAAATGTTGGGCTTTGCGCCATCCAGAACAGCAAGTAAACAAGGCGGTGGTTTGTTCGGACCTCCTCCTCAACAATTCAAGTAAAAATAGTGTAGTGAAATAAAAAATCAAGTGTCAAAGCAATAACTGATAAGACAGTCTTAATGATTAAGATGTTACAATGTATAATGTATAAGTAACTTTTGTGTCATTCAAATGAAAAGTATATCATTTATAAACAGCGGAACAAATAGTTTATACATGTATTTGATAACATATACTTTTTTTCACTCAAGCATCAAGTGAACAAATGAAGTTAGTTCTAATTTAAGTAACTCGACTTGTTAAAATTATTCAATTGTTTTTACGTTAATAATAAATTTACGTTACTTAGAATAAAAGTGTTATTTGAGCAAATTCAAGTTAATTTATCGAATATTTTATTGTTTGAAAATATCGACGCACTACCTGATAATGTTGCGGTCAATGACCTAATACAACATCGTAATACTAATGTACTTTAAATTCGGAATGAAGCCAGTAAAATTAACGAGATTATTTCCATTTAATTCCAATTAGTGTGATCTAAATGTAACAAAGTAAAATTGGCGTGGGTTTGAAAAATCTTTGTTTTGGAAATTCTTGGACATTGTCTTATCAATACAGGTGTAGAATGAAGCTCCCCAGCATTGATAAATATCGCGTAATGAAATCGATAACGAGTACGTTTTCATGGGGCAAAATTGATCGTTATTATTGGCTTTTGTTCCGGGGGCTATAAGAACCGTTACTCTCGTGGGCTCCAACGGTATTCGGAGTTCGTGAATTTTCGAATCAACAAGTAAAAAAACAATGAAGGCTTACGCCCACCTGTTGGCTATATTTTTCCTGCTATGGGGTAAGTCAGCTTTCGCAAACAATTTGTTCGAGCGAATCGGGGTATAATGCTTTGTGTTGTGTCAAACGTGTGTCAGGCAGCGGCGGCGGCGAGGCTCGGGCCATCCAGGACCCGAATCGCATCATCAACGGCCGGGGCATGGCCAACTACGGCGAGTTCCCGTACTACGCGATGCTGCTCAGCCGCCAGGGCTGGGGCTTCGGGTCGTTCTGCGGCGGCAGCCTCATCACCGTGCGACACGTGCTGACCGCGGCCCACTGCGTCTATCAAAACTCGCCGGACAACTTCCTCGTCGAGCTCGGCTCGGTACAGGTGGGCCAGGGCATCAGGCACTACGTGTCGCGAGTCGCCTGGCATCGCAACTACTTCTTCGACTACATCGCGCACGACGACATCGGCATGGTCCACGTGAGTATAGAAATCGAGCAAAAAAAAAAAAAAGAAAAAAAGAAATCGGTCGAGCCGTTCTAATTCGATTTGCGCACACAGTTGAAGACCGACGTGACCTTCAGCAGCGTCATACAACCGATCGCTCTGCCTCCGGCCGGTGCCAACTTCGCCGCTGGAAGCCGAGTCATCGTGACCGGTTACGGAGCTACGTATCCCGGTGGACCGGCCGTCAACGAGGTCAACGTCCTCTACACCGAAACGATGGCCAGAGATAACTGCCGCAACCATTACGACAACTACAACGTCAGGGGATTCTGCACCTACACCCCACAGGAGAGCGCCTGCGGAGTGAGTATATAAATCGAAACTTGCATCGCGTCCTCGATATCGATCTAATATATTGCTAATTATCCATTGATTCGCAGGGCGACAGCGGCGGTCCATTGACGGATATGTCAAAGTCACAGCTTATCGGAATCGTGTCCATGACGGGTATCCCCTGCGGCACCGGTGTCGATTTCTTCACCAAAGTCTCCGAATACATCAACGAGTTCATTGCCGAGGAGCTGCAAGGCAGGAGTAGCCACAGCTACTATGGCCAGAATCCTCGACCTATCGATTTTCCTAATTACAACAATGATAACAACAACAACAACAACGATGATGACAACAACAGCAACAACAACAACAACAACAATAACAACAATAACAATGGGAATCGCAAACCAGACTACAGTAATTTTGAAAATGGGGATGATTACAGCGGCGGCAATGGAAATAGTGGTGATGATAATATGGATTGGTCCGACAGCGACGATAGTGATAATAACAATAATAATAATTGGGATAGCAACAACAATTATTATGATGATAATGGAAATAATAATAACGACTACTATGAATGTGATAACAACAATGGCAACAACAACGCCGACAATAATGTCTATTATGTTGATCAGAATGGTCAGTACTACATATTATATGAAAACCGATTAATTCGTAAAGTTTCGAAAGACGAGAAAAGAGAAAAGAACGAGAAATTTATTGACAACAAATTTCTCGAAAAACTTTGGCAAAACATCGAAAAAGAAAAAAACAAGCACACGAACGACAACGAATCTCTTGATAAACTTTGGGGAAACATCGAAAAAGAAGAAAGCAGCGGCCCGTACATGGACCAAGAAATTCTTGATAAAATGAGGGAAGAAAACGAAAAAGGAAATTATATAGCTGGGGAAATCGTGATTTTGAATAGCACCCTTGGTGTTCACGTAGAGAATCCTGTTGGATTTGATCCCGAATCAAACTGGGTTCCATCCGTTTTGATTCCGATTGATCCGAAAAACGCGGAGAATCCCGGATTTGATCCCGAATCAAACTGGGTTCCATCCGTTTTGATTCCGATTGATCCGAAAAACTAATTTTGTAACACAATAGGAGTAATTTCAAGTTTCTAAGATCAGGGATGTTGAAATATATTTTTTTAACTACAAGATTTTTAATTACAATTGATTTGACTTTTCTACTTATACGTTACCCTTCCTCCCTTTAACCTGGTGTGTAGATAAGATAGTTATTTTTTAAATTAATCTTTTTTGCGAACTACTCCATTTCAGAAAAAATGTGTACTCGCAAAAATAAATAATAAATTTGTTAAACATGTGATTTGTTAAAAATGAAATTTTATGTTAATGACAAGTCCATATGGGTTTAATCACATTTTTATTTCCTTGGAATAGTTTTTTGTTCATTATTACTCGTTAAAGACTTAAAAATGATTCACAGTAACTACTATGTTTTCTAAAATTCGCAGACAATGATACGTTTGTGCACCTGCTGAGCGAATTATCTTTAATTTGTATGTAGAGAAACTAAAAAAATGTCTTAGCGTGAATGGGTTTAACCGGAACTTATATTTTATCTTTATCGCGATAATTTTCAGTTAGCAATATCTAAATTCATCGTAAAAAGTAGACATAACTGAAATAAATAAATGTATTCCATTGAAACATGATATTATTTTCCAATATTAAATTTATTTTTTACTTTGAGTTATGTACAAAACTTACAAAAGTTACACCTTTCCTACAGATGATCAATTTATCTTATAATAATTGGTTTACGTATAACGATGATTCACCGTTTACACAATTATCAGCTAATAAACGCCTTACATGTAAACTTGTTCTTCTGAACGTTTTTCGTATAGATAGTGAAAAAATGAAAAAAAAAAAAAAATGAAAATTATTCGACTAGAGCGGCTATTTCCATAAACGTGGACTTGCGCAAAATCGGAACTAAACGATCGAGTCCTAAAAACGACGAGTTCAAACGTAGCGATGAGTTCTGATTCTGGCACTGGTCACATCTTTCGTGGCGAGCCGAATGAACGTCTTGAACTCGGAGACTCTGGTGTAAACGGCGGGCGCCTCGAGCTCGCTGCATCCGAACGGGCTCCGCACCAGAATGCCGATCAAGGTGCTACGGCCGAGCACGAGGGGACTTCCGCTGTCGCCCGAGCAGGCCCCGGTCGGCTGCCGGCTGTCCGGAGCTCGGCGCCGGCGCATCTTGGCGCAGACGAGGCTCCGCGGCACGAGCTGCTTCTTGATCCTCGAGCAGTCCTCGTTGGTCAGCACGTCGGCCGGGGCGTATCGCAGCCTCGGCGAGTACTGGCCCGTCACCTCGTGTCTCTCGCCCCGGGCGTTCTCGTGTATAGCTACGGAGGTGGTGCCGAAGCCCGTGAGGACGGCCAGGTGGCCGGCATAGCTCTTCCGGTTCGCGGGCGGCCGAATGGCGCCGATTCCGCTGGCGTTTCCGAGGCCGATCGGCGCCTCCAGCTGGAGCACGGCTATGTCGGCGGCGGAGGCTGCCTCGGCCCGGAAGTAGCGCTCGGGTACGTAGACCTTGGCGACCCCGCGCAGCACTGCCCCGCGCCTGTCCTCGAGGTCGCTGACCCCCGCGACGATCCTGGTCCTCTGGGGCCGGAAGCCCGAGCGATCGTCCTCCACGAAGCAGTGGGCGGCCGTGATCACGTGCCGATCGTCGATTATCGCCCCGCCGCAGATGTAGGGCTGGTAGCACAGATCCGAGTACTCGATGGCCACGTGATAATTGAATTGGCCAGGGTGGGCTTCTTCGCCGCCGATGATGTGCTCGCCCTCGAGGCCTGTTCAACGCATATATAATAGAGTATTTTTTTAGTCCCAGCTTACGTCGAGAGGAGATCAAAACTTACAAAGAAATCGGGGCAAATTCAGTGTTAAAAGTAACAGGCAGAGCGGACGAAACTTGGATTCATACATCTTGCTTGCTGGAAGTTGACTACTCGGCGCTTCCACGTTTTGATACAATTCGTGCAATTTCGATTTTTTATCAATCACATAAGGCGAGCGCGGATTATGTGACTGGTCGTTAGATGTCTTTGTCTTTTACGTGATCGATACCACACCCGATCGGGGGAAACCGATTGGACGAGGTCAACGTACGAAACAAAATAAAGAACAATAGCGAGTCTAGTATATAAAAGTCATGTTATTTTCACAGTGTACACAATCGTAAGTTTTAGTCAAGTTTCATATGTACAAATTATCTTACATAAAAAATATTATCTATATGTACAGTTAATACGCGTCGGAACCTATGGAAATTTTTGCAGTGTAAATGTAACGATCGATGATTGTGGACGGCGCGAGTCGTGATTCAACCTATATGTATAATATTTCTCAAGTTTACGTTCGAACGCAGCTTCGAAGAGCCACGTCCAAGCTCGCGTTCGCCAGGATAGATCGTCAAGATTTAAAATGTCCCAATTTTAGAATCGGGCGAAAATGCGAAATCGGCGGCTAAGTACGTAATACGTATCACTGTACGCTCCGTTTGTCGTAATAGCGGGCATTTTTCACTTTCGGCTCGGGCGGCGACATAAAACTAAACAATAAATCCACGACGGAGTAGATGATTATGCCCACGAGAATGACCGCGAGGACGCCGTAAAAAACGGTGACGAGGCTGAAGTAGGGATTGACGAGAAACTTTTTCGCGTCCTGCGCGTACTCTCGTACGAACTCGTTGGCGAGCAGTCCGCAGCAGAGGAAGCACAGGGGATAACGATTGATCCAGCGATAGATCATGAGGGTGCGGAATGGCTCGCCGCCCGTCCTGGTCCTGTAGCGCAAGGCGGCCTCGATCGCGGCCAGCAGAGCCAGCGAGGCGAGGGTGACGCTTCCCAGCCAGATGCAGTAGCCCGTGCCCGCGAGCACGACCATCAGCTCGGACTTGGCCTCGGCTCGCGGCACCCACATGCTGAAGGCCGCCGAGCCGGCCCACCAGGCGAACGTCGCGACGCCGTTGGCCTTGAGCTCGATCGCCGCCTCGGTCTCGTGCGGCAGGTCGTAGTGTCGGATCAAGCGGCCGGTGCCGATGCCGCACATGTAGAGGGCCAAGTGGCCCACCAAACCGACCCAGCCCTCCCTGTTGAGCTCGGCGTAGAACCGACTGGGCAGTTGCCTCAGCAGGGGCCTCAGCAGCAGCGCCTCCATGTTGTGCCGCGTGTTCCAGTACTGCAGGCAGAGCAGCAGTAAGCCCGCGACGAAGGCGGAGTTGCGTCCGCGCAGCCACGGCCGCGCCAGGAGGGCCGTGATCAGCCGAGCGAGCCAGACCGAGATCCAGAAGTTCCAGTGGCGGCCCTGCTCGTTGTAGCGCTGCTTCACGTAGATCACGTAGTAGCCGTTGATCAGTCCGAGCAGCAGAATCGTCCAGGTCGTCCGCCACCACTTGCTCGGCCGGTTTCTCTTGTAGCCGCGCTGCATCTCGAACATGCCGTTGAGGAGCATGATCAGGCCGGGGCCCAGATTGCCCAGGCTGTAGTGCCGCGGGTGGAATCTCAGCTGCTCCGGGAAGCAGCTGCACTGCTCGAGGCTCAGGTAGAGCACCATCACGAGGATCGCCATGCCGCGGAAATTCGTCATCAAGGCCAGCCGACCGCTGGCGTAATCGTCCTCGCTCATTCTCACCACCTCGCGTTTCCACTTGATCAGGTCGCGTATCGTGTCGCGCCAGAACAGCAGCGTCATCAGCAGGAAGAAGCCCGACACGTAGTTGGTCCAGCCCACCAGAATCGTCCAGGTGGCGAGCCAGGGTAGCACCGTGGCGCAGAGCTCGAAAAAGAGCCGCTCGGGCCGCGACCACTGGTGGCCCCACGCATTGAGGCAGGTCAGCGCGAACATCGTGCTCGAGGCGAACAGCCCCAGCTGACTGAAGACCTCCAGGCTGTCGCGGTCGTAGGGGGACAGCTGGAACGCCTCCTGGTCGAGCAACCGTCGCCACCTCTGGCTCGAGAGCCTCTGCACCTTCTTCAACTCCTCGAAGAAAAGGTCCCTGCAATCAACATAATTATACCCGTTTTATCTGCTGCAGCTTTGTATACCGAATTCCGATTTGGAATTTGTTTTTATTCGTCGAGAATACCTACTTCGGGGTCGCCATTTTTCAAAATCGATTGTGTTGACAGAGACTGGCCGCGATTGTTACTGACCAAGTATGTCGCGATCGCTTAACTTTTCGTGTCGAGATCGTAAACAAAGGCGTACAAAATTGTTCAAGTGGTTTTGAACAATTGTCAACATAATCAATGTCGTACCGTCTTAGCTCTAGCTCTCGCCCGTCAAAAAAATAACTAAGATATAATTCAGCTGTGAATATAAAACAATTATTTGCTGAGAGCACAAATGTAACATTTTTGTGAGAAAATTACTCAACGTATTAGGAGGGATTATCCTAGGAAGAGTGAGATGTTATGATTATTTCTTTTCAATGAGTTGCAGTAAAAATCTGTAGGTAAATTTAATATTTAAAATATTCAACGATCGTTACATGTATTATAACTCTCATGGAAATATTTTAGCACAAGAAGGCATTTCAATTAATTAAAGAAAAGGATTTGATAAAAAATAAAAGATTGAAATTTCAAAAATTAATATTTAAATATATTTCTAATTCTAAGTATGTACATTTTTTTTTCATTAAAATTACACTTATTCCTAATTTACAAAAATTTCAACCATTTTTCAATGGGGCAAATTCTGCTCTTGTTCTTTCAGGTGTTGGTCTAAGAACATTAGGAAGATTTTTTATTCTTCTTCTTCTTGGTGCTTCTTCTTCTTCTTCTTTTTCTTTTTGGGTTCTGAAAAACATAAATTACATTAACTTTAATATCAAGTCTTTTAAAAGTAATACATATCATTGTAACTTGTTGGAAACATTTTTGATTCTTACCTCCATTTTCTTCTGGCTCCTCAACTTTAACTTCTACCTCCTCAACTTCTTCAATTGCCCTCTTCTTCTTCTTCTTTTTCTTTTTTGTCTCTTCTCCATTAACTTCTTCTGCTACTATTTCTTCTTTTTTTATTTCTTCAATTAAAGGTTTCCTTTCTGGTACCTCACTCTTAATAGTTGAATCCGCAGCAACTGGATATTCTGCAATTTCACTCTTAGCATGGAACTTTTGGAATGCAGCTTTAGCTTTTGGAGTTCCACTTATTTTTCGCAGATTACCTTCCTCAAGCAATCTCAGCCTTGATTCCAATTTAACCTTGTGTTCTGCACCTAAATCTGGGAAGGTAGCATCGTCGCAGAGAGCATCGACTCTTGCGCACAAAGACGCCTTAGCAGATAACATACGCGCCATTTTACCTTTATTTCTTGTTGAGGCTTGACCAATGAGTGCTGAGTGGTAGACAAGACCATATTTAGGCGTATCTTTTTTCGTCTTTAGAGCTCGGAAGAGGGCCTTTTCCGCACCAAGAATTTGCAAAGTTGATGCAGGTTGTTTAGAAAGGTTTATAAGTGAGCCTGCATGAGATATGAGACGAGCTCCAACAAGTTCTCCAATGAGAACAGTTAGGTTTGGTGCTATGGCCATCATACGAGCTTTCAAATAGTCATAAAGTTGTGCTCTGTAAGCAGTAATATGAATTATCTGATCGCATAAGCGAGATATATTTTTGATATCATCTTCTGAAATTTCAGTTCCCATTGATATTTCAGCAGCCTGCTTCACATTCTCCTCGACGTCTTCAGGAAGAATATCAGATAAATCTGTATTGATAGCATTTTCTCGTGTTCCAATCGTTTTGATTGTTTTTACGAAAGCCAAATTATCTGTTACAATCTTTCCAAGTTCAGGAAAATGCCATCCATACCACTCTCGAACTCTCATGACGTAATTGTTCAATTCTTTATCGATATCATCCATAAGGCCAATAGCTTGGACTATCATGGTGTCTACCTTATCAGGTGAGAATTTGAGCTTATACCTGGATAAACTGTGAGCTAAACCCAATGCCATGGCAGTCATTTCTTTCTTTGGGACACTTCCCAATAGTCCATCTAACTGACTGCGAATGCATCTCATTAATTCTTGAGTTGCTGAATTACTAACACATTTGAGTTGGATTTTTTCTTTAATGGAATTTGCAAGTTTTGAATCAGAAACTGCTAGTTCTTCTTGCAATGATGCACATTCTTTCTTTAAAACTTTCTTCAAACTCTTGCATAATTTCCCTTCGACAGCAGCAGTAGTAGCTGCGAGAGCTTCAGTTGTATCCTCAAATTTGGCAAAATGTTTCAACTTAAGACTGAAAGATTTAAATTTAAAAATAAAAATTCTGATAACATACTTCTTTTATAAACAATTATTTAGAGATTTCTACTTACATGTTGCTAGCTCCTTCTGGTGTTCCAAAATATTGGTATAAATTATCAATTTGTTTTAATGCATCCTCATTGAGTACCTGGAATAAAGTGAAAAAATATATATAAAAATTTGAAACATTGACAAAAAATAAAAAGAGCGTTTGTAAATCAACCCTCTTGGATTTTAGAGATTGATAAAAATCAAATAAGGGCACGTGCCGGCTTTGGGTTATAGGTTATTCCCCACATAAAAAGTAATTTTTATAAAAGTATTCAATGATTGTTATAAACTTACCTTGAAAATGGCATAGCCAGCTGCCGTTTCAAAGAGGACCAACATTTTAGATCAACAATTTAAATAAAAACGTGTACAAACAATAAACTCCTCCTGCCTAGCAGCTTGCACGTGGGTGTAGACTGCACGCGTGAACTGTGAAGTGATCGTACATACAGTGTATACACTATACAATGTAGAGACGTTTTAACCTCAAGGATTTTCGTTTTTAAAAAAGTGGCAACGGAGCAGACCGGAAATGAAACATTTCAGGTGGTAATGGCGCTCGAAAATTCAAAAACCGAATTTACATGATAAAGTACTTTAAAAATTGTAAAATTTGATTGAAAAAAAAGGAATAAAATGTATTTAGCGGTTTTTGCTGAAAATATCATTTCTAAAAGAATAAAAATAAAAATGAAAAATTTCTTAATAATTTATTATGAGTTTCTGAATGATTTTATTTGATGATGGGTGTTTCTTCAAGTTTCAAATAAATACGTTGAAGATTTGAAATTAATGAATTATCAAAAATTAATAGGAAAAAATAAATGAAATTGAAAATTTAATTTATATTTCAAAATTTTATTTTGACAAATAATGCTGCACAATTCAACTTATAACAATCTAACAACAATATCTTTACATTTATGTACACTTTATTATACAATATTAATAAAATTGTTTGTATTTCACCAAACGTTATTTTCTTCCATTTTCTCATTTGTTATAAATCTGTCAAATCCTAATCTATTTAAATTTATCGTCGTGTAAGTATTGTACTGAATTAGCTCAGAGATAGCTCTTCCAACAGCTGGTGCTTTCTGTATACCATGACCACTGAAGCCAGTGGCAAAGATAATGTTATCATGGTATGGATGAAAACCAATTATTCCATTTTCATCAAATTTATTGTATTCATAAAATCCAGCCCATGAAGATTTTACCTGAAGAAATCATTAATAGAATAAATATTTTTTACAAGTTCAGTCATTCAATACATCAGTTTTTTGATAATTACCTTTAAATTTTCAAAACCTTTCACACGGTGAGCTAAAGTAGGCCAAATTTTTTCTTCGAAATATGTTGGATCCACATCTAAATTATCGCAACTTGGTTCATCACATGCATCAGGAGAGCGACCACAAATATATGTGTTTGCTAAGCCTTCTCTTCTAAAGTATGTACCTGAGGGATCTATAACCATGGGTGTGTTAAGTCCTGGCCCTTCTGGGGCATGGAAACAATAAACAAATCTTTTTCTGAAAAATTGTATGGTTAATAATAAATTGTGCTCTTTGAGAAATAAAATAAAGTGAAAGAATTGTTAGTATTAGTTCCTAAGAAAACTACAATTTAATTCTTCTAAATCTGGACTTATAAAAATAAAATGGTGAATCAATTCTATCATAAATAATTCATGAAATAATATAAATTACCTTGGTTCTACAGGTAATGGTATAGATAACATGTCTTTGCCAAGACCGATTTTTGCCATTTTAGCTATATCTCCACTACCAGCTCCAGCTGCAATAATACACCTGCTAAATTGAATTGGTCTCAGTTTTCCATCATCTGTCCGAACCTAATAAGGTTAAATAAATGAAATTGAATTTATTATAACCAAAAGAGAATAAATCTATATTGAAACTTACAACCAAGTAATTAAGTGATTCAAATTGACCAGGAGCAACACCAGAAACCATTACACCTGAATCTTTCTTAAAATTAAAGCCTACAGCTTCGCCTTTGACATAATCAACGCCTAAAGAAACCGCTTTTCGTTTGAATGCATTAAGAAGTGTCCATGGATCAAACCATCCTTCTTTTTCTAATCCAAGACATCCCATCTCTATGTCTTTTGTATTGAGCCATGGGAATTTATTAGATAATTGACCTGCAGTTAGAATTGTATTTTTTGCACCAATCTCATTTTGTAACTCTGAGTTTTTCATGAGTACTTCAGCTGATTCTGGTGTTGATGCTAAAGATAAGTATCCATACGGCTGAAATTGAACATCAATTGGAGGTTCACCTTCGACTCCTAAATAGTCATTAATATTTCTTAAAAATTCTGCTCCAAACAAAGACATTTCTATGTTTTCTTCGAGTGAAAATTGTTGCCGCAAACCACCAACTGATAACACGGTTGAACATTGTTTGTACTAGAAATATATAACGTTCATCATCATGTCAAGATAACTAATTTTTACAAAATATTTTAATTGATACGTACTGTAGGATCTTTTTCAATGACAACAACATTCAAAGATCTAAGAGCTAATTTCTTTATCCAATAAGCTATTGAACTACCCATAGCACCGCCTCCAATAATAACTATGTCACAGTAATTTGGGAAGATTGGAGCATTTGGATCATCCCAATCAATCACTCTGCCAGTATTTTCATCAATTGCTGGATTCTTGAAATCTTTCCAAAACATAACTTTTTTTTTCATGAACGCGAAATCTCTTTTCATTACTCTTTTTATTTTGTGACCTGGGTCTTCCACCGGTAATTCAATATTTGTGCCTTCATTTTCTGGATTCTGTAAAATAATGGGCGAGTTAACAAAAAAGATCCCAAATTAAAAAAAACATGCATTTAACCTTTGATGAGGAAAATTTGCTCCATTGACAGCATCGTTTATTGATCTGATGAAAGCTAGATTTATTTATGAGTCGTAACATTTTCGAAAATTGACAATGCCGAGAGAAACAATTTACTTTGGACCACGTTAGCGGTCTGCGTTATAAACACACGATAGCAGACGGAAAATTGTTTGATGCGCGCTCAGTTACGAATCGCGCACTGACTGCCTGCTGCCAGTGCGTAATGACAGTGGCTGCAGACTTCAATGTAACCATCGACATCGCATCTCTTATCACAAAACTGCATTTGCAAGTACTTCAATATCTAGCATGGATTATCATTTAACAATTGAACAATAAAACTGATAAGCTATAAATCGAGAAATTATTTGCCGATAGTACACACAGAATGTTCGCGGCTTCGCGTACTGGGGGGGGAGATGATACTCATGAGATCGATTTTTAATTGTGTTGCAGCAACAAAAATGATAGAGAGTTTCCAGTTGATAACAGTAAAAAGATGATAAATAACGTCATCTTTTTTTTTTAATTTTTGAACATAAAACAGGCTCTGAATAAAAATAAAACGAATATACAATTTTAGATTTCTGAATTTTGTATTTAAATATTTTTTCATACAATGTACATTTTTTTTAAACCTAAGGCACTTGATGACACAACATTATTAATATCATAAAATAATTGTAACCGTTCACAAGCAGTGAGAGTCTTGTCTTTGCTCAGTTATTTGGGTGAGAAATGTTGTTAAAGAAGCCTGTTTGCATTTAATGTTTGATTAAAGCTTGCTGAAGTTTTTTTATTAATGATTAATGGACCGTAAATAACAAATTTCTTTTTTAAAAAGTAAAAACAAATTTTATGAAAATTAAAAACAGGTCCGCTGATAAAAAAGTAATGAACAAAGTCGAACCTGCTCACATAAAAATGTTAATGTCAACCTAATACTGTATAAAATTAAACTTAAAAGTACATATTCATTAGCATCCATAATTAAAGTTAATTCATGGCTCCTCTTTTTTTACAAGCTCTACCTCTTCCTTTAATACCTCTTCCTTTACTACCTCTTCCTTTACCATCTCTTCCTTAACTCTTGCTTCGACTTGACTAACCGCCTTCTTAATCTCTAACCCAACTGCACAAGCTAGTGGTGGAGGTACTGCATTACCAATTTGTCTGTGCTTATCTTGTAAACTTCCATAAAAACGAAAACTATCCGGAAAACCTTGAGATCTCGCGCATTCGCGCGCACTTACAACTCTTGTTTGTTCTGGATGTAATACTCGACCCTGAACAAAAAAAACAATTTACAGTATTAGCGTCGAGCATACCATTTTTTTATATTTAATTATTTTTATAAACGTTTGATAGTTACCTGTTTGCCCATAGGTTCAGGATTTGTTATAGTTGTACTAAAGAAACCATCCCATTCTACTCTACCATAAAGTCCAGCCCAGTGATTGTGACGATTACCGGTATGTGGAAGGCACCACGGGATCAATGTATTTTCTTGCCTATCTCGTGGGTTGCACGTTTTGCCAGTGGCACAAGCACAAACACCTCTGAAAGCTCCAGTCGAACTTTTACCACTTTTTTTATCGTGGTAATTATATTTTCTGTAAAGAAATCATATTATTTAGTTTACAATAAAACGTGTTCGTTTTTTGTTGTTTCAAGCAAAAATACCCTTACAATTTATTTGTGTAAGTTCCGTCTGATAACGGGATTGAAATGTTTGGTAAATCCCGCCAATCGGAACCACGAGCAGTCGGAATGTGAGCCATTCGAGCCTCAGACATTGGACCCAAATCTTTACACATATGATCAAACAATGAGCCATCGTCGAGTCCGCGTCTTACCTAATAAAAACATTAATAAGTTTAAAATATTACTAGTAACTGAAATAATTTTAATGAAAAATATCGTACTTTTCTCTGGAAATGCGTGGCTGGTTCACTGCCGTAACGCATCAACTCTTCACCTTTTCCACTTTTAATTAATGGTAAATCCGACAAAGCATCTTTAATGGTGGTAACTCTGTATGGTGCTGCGTCTAACCAATCATACATGGGGAAGTACTAAGAATTTTCAAAATTAATATTGGTTAAAAATAGTTTAAAAAAATGTGTAAGTTTTTTAATAATACCTTCTTATTATCTACAACAACATTCAAATTGCATGCCGATTTGCTAAACACATGAAGAGCATTAGGGAACTTTGGCAGCACTTCACCTGGTGCAGCAGCAATTATGAACATCCTAAAAATCATGAACCAATTTGTTACAATTTGTATAATTAATCTTGGTATTGATGAACGTTGTAAGAACGATAAACAACCTTCTTCTCGTTTGAGGAACGCCAAAGTTTCCAGCTTGAAGTACTCCAAAAGTACATTGGTAACCCATGCGGATCAAACATCTCAAGGTTAATTTAAGTACCAAGCTTTTTTTGAAACTAACAAAATTTCTGACATTTTCCATGATAAAAAATCTGGGTCTATAGTAATCACAATAAGACAGGTACGATACTACGAGAGAATTTTTAAACAATGAGTAGGCTCTAGAATTAAATCTATTCATTCCGCTAAATCCTTGACAAGGGGGACCACCACAAAGTAATTCTACTTCTCCTTTCTGCGGTAAACGTTGACCTCCGAGTACAGTTTCTCCCTGTGAGTAAAATGTATATGCTTATTAATTGTGAGTAATAGAATTTTATACAAGAAAAATCGAAAAGGAAAAACAATTAGCTTACATCCATGACTTTCTTTAGAATTGCATTGCAATCTCCGGTAAAAACAGAACAATCTGAATTATTAAATCTAAAAGCATGTGCTGCTGCATCATCAACTTCAATAGCCCATTTAGTATCAGATATGCCAGCTTGATGTAATCCTTCAGACAAACCTGTATATCACGTCGTAATTTGAAATTGAAATTGATGATATTAATACTTGTCAAATAATAAATAAAAAATTACCTCCACAACCAGCAAAAACATCTAATGTGCGCAGTTTATTTTTTATTTCTGGATACTTGGGAGGAACTTCCAATGGCTGAGTTTCAGCTCTTTTACTTTTTGACTTTATTTTATTTGTTTGCTTACCAAGCGCACCAATGTTACAAGCTTTCGGAGGCGGTTCATCATATTCGCTTGTTTTATCATTATACATTTGAGAAAAGTAAAACCTATTGGGACCTGCATCAGTCCACTCTTCTACAGATTCCAAATTTTCAGCATAAGCCAAGTAACACTTTCCCATGACACAATTGAAAGGAACATCCACTTCTGCAAAGAAATTCAATATTATATATCATAGTTTGAGAAAAAAAGCAGTATAAAAAGTACCTTCTTCACTCCAATAAAGCAGGTTAATATCAGAATGGACCTTCGCAGATTCCCTTAGAGTATTCTCAGGACGATACATCTTTTTCACTCTAATTTGTAAAGTACTAGCAGCCAGTAGTTTGACATTTGTTGTAGCATATATACGTGTAATATAACCAATATCAAAAGGGTCCGGGGTATCATAATTTGATCCTTTGATTCGATCATGAAATTTACGATAGTATTCCGGATATCGCTCTTCGTCTACTTCACGTTTTGGAGGTTTAACAGGGTTTTGATATGGAACAGGGTATTTAAAAGCAAACGTTTTTGGTTGTAAGTATACAGCACTGCCAACTCTGTACTCCTCATCTTTGAATCTCACAAGACCATAGAGAACTTCTTTCCTGCTTATTTCTTCTAGCTTGTCCATAACATGTGGCCTATTTCTCTGTTGTGTGTAGGTACTGCGAGTACAAGATGCACAGAAACGATATTTCAAACCCGGAGGACAAACTAAATCTGGCAGTGGGTCTTCAAATCTAGCAGTATAGGGATCATATCGTTTCTGATAGTAAAATGATGCAATATCTTCTTTTGAATCATCCATACTGGTATTAACAGCTTCATTGCCTGTAAAAATTACAATAAATTATTATACAATTTTTAATAATTTTGGATTAGCGAATTATTTACAAATACTTTGATATCTCATAGTGTCCAAAAAATTGAAAAAAAAAAAAAAAAAAGGTTCACAACTTACTACATAAATTTTTCATACCCTCTAACAAAATATATATACCTAATTCACTCCAGTTCTCTGGAGTACTTCTATGAACAACAGTAGCTTTTGATTTTATGTATGAGATAGGAACATCTTGACAATCATCCACCAAAAAGACTTCACTACTACTTGAAGTTTCTCCTAGAACAGTTTCACTGCCTCTCCATAACCAAGTGCCATGGAACATTTTAAGGTTCAATTTCGTTTCCCACATATAAATAACTTTTACAATTTGGACAGGCACTGAAGAATCAACAGATTCAATGAAAACATAATCATTTAATGCTATGTGTTCTGAGTCAAGTGCCACTTCAGAGTAGAAAGTTCTATTTTGATCTGATGCCAAAGGTTCTCCTATCCATTCTACTGTAACATCTCTACTTTTTATTACACCGATCATCTTTTTACGAGCAATCAAACTGGGCTCTGCATTCTCGTCAATATTTTCTTGTCCTTCTGCATCATCATCAGCAGCAGCTTCAATTTCCATATTTGGACATCTACGTCTTACACAAGCTTGCTTACTGGTTCCAGACCCTCCAAATTTCAACATATTTTTACAATTAGCACATGAACCACAATCTGGTTGCTGGCAAGGTTCACAAACTCCGCATCTTTTTCTTTTTAACATTAATTTATCGTCGTTAGTTTTGGCTATTTGGTTAGGGAAAAAGCTGTCAAAAACATCATTAACCAATGGAGTAGTAGTTGCTTTGCTAAAAACCATTGCTTTAGCATTTTGTCCTTTGCGTATAAGAGCTCTTCTCCAATCATCTTCCTCTTTTCGAGTTCTTCTCCTGCTCCTTGCGGTTGTCCCTTTCTTGAATGATATTCCAGCCAAATTAATTAAAGTCCTAATACAGGGCTTGGTAATTAATAAAGTATCCTCTTCAGTAGCTGCTTCATCAAAAGATATGATTTGATCGCATATGAACTGAGAATGATGTAATAGTATATCTTCAGTAAATTTTGGTAATCCAGTAGGTAACAAAACAGTCTAAAAAGAAGATAAAAAAACCTTTGAATGCATTATATAGTTTTTTATCAAGCTTATTGAAAATCAATTAACCTCAAGCTTGTTGAGTAGATCTTCATACTCGTTGGGTGCATTTTCATCCATAAGAAACTCTATAATTGTTTTACTTATAAAACTTTTCTCTCTAACAGCGGTCATGTAACGAGCATATTCTGTAGACGGTTTCATGAGCATGTAGTCGCCGATTTCAGTTGTTAAAGTAATTAGTGGTTGCTCACCACCATCAAAACCAGAAACATACCACTCTACAATAGGACCAAGATCTTTAGCAGGAATACCATCATCGTTAGAAGGATCATCATTATAAATTGGTTTGACATATCCAGAAAAGTATAAAAATACATTTTTTTCTATCAAGCCTTCATCAAAAGGAACCAAATGACCATTTTTGTCATACACACTAAAATCAAGAAAAAAAAGTAAAGTTGTAAACAAGATTTTGTGAATAATACAAAGTTGTTTATAAAAAACGTGACTTACCTGTACCCGGTAATCCTATTGATAGCCCTTGCATCTCCTTCTGTAATATCAGACTCATCACCATTAAATAAGCATAGTCTCGAATCAACTAAAACACCGTATTCTTCAAGGGCATCATTCGGATGACCACCATAATATCCCAAATCATCATCAAGTTTTTGAAGGCAGATCTCGCAACGAGGTATTAACGATTTCTTGCTTCTGACTTCCACAGTTTTCGCGGGCTGCGTCACAGTTCGATTTTCAGTTTTGACGCGTTTATTCGGGTGACTCTCGTCGAGAGGTAGAGTCTCGCTTTGTTCTTCCTCGTTGATTTCTTTGTCAGGAGTTTCATCCCCCGACTTGGCGGGCTCGGCGGTCCCGTTTGTCGGCTCGACAATCATCTTTTTATTATGACGATTCGATTTTCAACTGATTATGTCGTTCGCAAAAACTACTCGATGCAAAATTTCGAACGAACGAAAAAGAAAAGAAAAGAAAAAGACTCGAGTTCACTTATTAATCACTTATTAACGACCGTTTGCGTGCTAATAACCTGTACAAACTGCTGAGGGTTGCCGAGAAGCAGGCACTACGAGACTGAGAGCCGTAAGGAATAGGCAGGAATAAGAGCAACAGGAGCCGTTCTGACATATGGCCGCATCTCGTTCCCGCGCTTGCCACTGCTCTGCTCTCTGTTTCTCTTTTTCCCTCTCTGTCTCTCACACACACTGCTTCGGATGATTTCTGCGAATTTACATCGGTTCAAGAAAGAGAAATGAACAAAGAGGAATTAAAATCCGTGGTTTTGTTTTCAGCAAACATTTCACTAAGAACAGATAGCTTACCATGATCCTAGTAAAAATACTTCGAGGAGCAATAATAATTTGGACTATGCATCAAATTTCCCACCTAAAACTGAAATTCAACATTTTTCATATGCAATAAAATTTAAAAAATTAAAATCCTACTTCAGAACCAAAATTGTTAGATCCATACGTACTTTATCTCAAATTTTCATAATTTTCCGGATATTTAATTAAAAACTAAAAAATGTAATAGTAGTCAAAAACGTTACAAAATAATTTCAAATCTGCCGCCCAAATGCAAGTCTTGAGTTTTTCTTCATCGTCGCACGAGGTCCGACTGAACCAACGTGGGGAAATGCTGCACGTGCATCAGATGGCTAGCATCAGTAGATTTTAGTTGACAACTTCGTGTTCACACAAGTAATAATACTAATACGTCAGATAACATTTCTCAACATGCCTTCTTCAAAAACGCAAGTTATAACGAGCAAAAAGAAAAAGAAGAGCTTGGTTAGAGTGAGAGCTAGTTCTAAAGTGCCAGAAAAACACGATCCAACAGAAGAAAATGTTAAAAAACTATTGTTATTAAGTAAAAAAAAGAATTCTGCAGCTGCAATGGCTGAAAAGGTACGCAAACTAAAATTTATCGTCAGTGGATATTTCTTGTCTTACAAGCATTTTTCAATGTATCATTATTTACTTCTTTTTTAGATTTTCAAGCGAGCTACTCAAAAGCATTATGTTGTACCTGAAGAAAAGAAAGAAGAAGAAGAGTCAACCCTATTTACTGAAGAAGATTTCCAGAAATTCGAAGCAGAATACACTGGCGATTAAATATCCACTTGTTAAATTTGTATTATTTACTTTGTCAGTAAAACTTTACAAAATAATGACAGATTCTGTATCATATACAATGTATTATAGTTAGAACATTATTACTAAAAGTGATTTAAATTATTTTAAATAAATTTGATTGTTTTTTTTTAATACAAAGCATATTAGTTCTTTATTAAAAGTCACAATTTTATTGTAAAAAAGGTGATTCTTGGTATTTAATATTATTTCTAATATAAAAAGTTAAACTGGGGAGAAGAAAAAATTGACCCAACACAATTATAAATTACTCGTTACAATTTCATAAGTACCAACATCTGTATTTAAATATTATTTCTCATTCATTCTATTTCATTTTTCTTTTAATGAATAATTTTAGTAGAACTTTAATATGAAGTTTTTTTAAATATTCAACAATCAATTGCATTAGTTGATAGGTAATATCTTAAAACGCAACACGATAAACGAGAATTAATGTATTCAAAATAGAATTTAAAAATTGTTCAAAGTCATTGCTAGCAATTTTCATTGTAATTCTTATTCATATGAAAATGAAAATTTAATCCTTCCTTAATACTTCTTGCTGTAGAGGTCGACACAGGTAATGGTGGTGCGTAGCGAGTCAGCGCCTATATAACGTGTTACATTACACACATTCTCCTCAGAGTTCAGAAGCCAGACTTCATGAGTCAACGTAGTGTATTTCAGCTATATAGCACATTATATCTACCTTCGTAGTGTATACAAACACATTTGCTTGCAAAATTGTCACTTGTCATGCTGTGTTCATTGTGGACTCGATAAAACATTGCTGTCTGCTTTTCACCACCCCAAGTCGACAATTTTTTTCAGAATTGCTAATCCACAAATTTATTTGATTAATACCAGTTAATAATCTAATTCTCGTTTCAACTTAGATATATATTCCATCTAATCAAAATGGTAAGTTTTTCCTTTTCCTATTTTATAAGTCTTGAAGACAGGACATGATGATGCGTACACATGTATTTTAATTTGATTTTTAACTTTTGTAAGGTTAACTACGCATCTGCATTTATGTATTTAATTAATAATGTCAACATTATTTTTTTAGTTTGGTTTCAACATGTTTCCCGAGGTCCCTCGACCTTTCAATACACAGTATAAATGTTTTTCCGTATCTATGATGCCTGGTAATGATCGCCAGGACGTTGAACGTGGAGGAAAAAGTGAGTAAAATCAAACATTGTATCCATAAAAACAAATATTACATGTATAATTCATGGGTTTACTAATGTTTTGCGTTTGTGTAGTCATAATGCCACCTTCAGCTCTGGATACATTAACAAGATTACATATTGTTTATCCCATGTTATTTAAGTTGACAAATAAAAAAACTGATAGAATGACCCACAGTGGAGTTTTAGAATTTGTAGCTGATGAAGGCAAAGTTTATCTTCCGTATTGGGTAAGATAATTTTTATGAAAAAATGACAATGTTATAAATTGTAAGATTATTTTAATGTAAACCTTTTTATTACTTGTAGATGATGCATAATTTACTTCTGCAAGAAGGAGACCTACTTAATATTGAATGTGTGTCACTACCAGTAGCCACTTATGCTTGTTTTCAACCACAATCTGAAGATTTTTTGGATATCACTAATCCTAAGGCTGTGTTAGAAAATGGGTTGAGAAGTTTTGCTTGTCTTACTGCTGGTGACATGATAGCCATTAAATACAATTCAAAAATATATGAAATGTGTGTTTTAAAAACTGAGCCAGGCTCAGCTGTTACTATAATTGAGTGTGACATGAATGTGGAATTTGCCCCTCCAGTGGGCTATAAAGAGCCTGAAAAACCACAGCCTAAGGAAGAAGATAAAGTTCATCCCGCAGATTTAATGCCAGAACCAACTGGTTTCATTGCTTTCAAAGGATCAGGAAATAGACTAGATGGCAAGAAACGAAAGGATAGCTCTCAAAAAGAACTTCAAACGGCAAAACCAACCTATGTGAGGGGAATACCTGATTATGAGTACAATATTGGTACTCTTTCATTTTTGAGAAATATTATGCAAATCAATGATAAAGAGGTATTTAAAAGATTTCCATAATTTTTAAATGTATTTTATTTTTGTTCAAGCTAATTATGTTATTATATTTTGATAGGAAAAAACAGAGGAAGAAGTATTCCAAGCTTTCACTGGAGAAGGATTTTCTTTGAGGAAGCCTAGAAAATAATAAATAAATGGAATAAATTTTATTATAAATCTATCAGTTTTATTATAAAAACAATACATCAATTTGAAAAAGCATTCTTTATAAATCACAGTCTATGGTATTATAAGTACCATTTTGTGTAAAAATGCATTCAAATGTTTAAAATTTTTGTAAATATAATGATACTTATTCTAAGTGTAAAAAATTAGTAAAAAATTTGTAAAGTTAAGTTTTTTTTTTGTGTGACTCGAGTCCAATATAAAATACATAAAGTACTTTCAAATCTGATGAGAATGTTTTCGAATGTGTACAAAACAATATACAAATATATATTTATAAAATTTAAATATCACTGAGAATGACTAACGCTTTTTTGAACGATCTTGGCTGGATCGTTCTTAATCGACCAAAGGCCCCCAGAAATGTTTGCTGGGCCTCTTGGAGTCGCTGGCCAAGAAGAAGTCGCGGCCGAGTTTGATGAACTCTTCAAGACTAATTTTGCCGTCTTCGTTGGTATCGATATAACTGAAACTAACTACTGCATCCTGGAAAGAGAGTAAAATAAAGTCCATTAAAGAGATTTCTGTAATTTTTTATGTTTTCCAAAAAGTTGCAAATACTCACGTCGTTATCGAGTCCAATGCATTTGAAAAAGAGTTTGAACTCTTGAACTGAGATTTCGCCACTGTTGTCTTTGTCGACCGCCTGGACAGAAAAATCAAATCGTTACATTATTGTAAGAGTAAAAAAAAAAAAAATAGAATTTGCTAAATTTCATTGAAACAATTGCGAAATATACCTTGAAGAGATAAGGTAAAAAGTGATGAACCTTCTTCCTGAGAGATTTGTCTTCGAGAACGTGATGCATCTCCTGCAGGTAAGTCTCAACGTCGATAAGGTTGTACTGGTCGATCGGTCCCCAGTGCTCCTCCCACATTTGCTGCAGGGGGGAAAAGAAGCGAAAAAAGAAAGTTTGTCAGTTTGACTCGAGTACAATTACACGGAGTCAATGGTTGTTTATCGTAACAGTATACTCACTTGCAAAACCTCCTGGAACTCTTCCTTCTGCTCGTCGGTGAGATGGCCGAGCTTGGCGAATCGCTCGCCCCAGAGCTTGAAGTCGTCGTAGCTGAGGACGCCGTCCTTGTTGACGTCCAAGTGGCTGTGGAGCGTCCTCATTTTACGCCTCCAGAAGCTCGATCGAGGCTGCAACACCATCGATTCGACGATCGGTCAATTGGATCTCAAACGCGCGGACAACCTTCGGCGATGTTTACGATCGCGATTGGACTCGATATAGAGAGCATTTTAATAATTGCGAAGCAGTTGGCTAGACACGGGAAAGGCGAGAAAAATCGCGTGCTCGGATTTTCAACAATCGTAGCGATTGTGCGTGCATACATATATAGAGAGCACAACGCGACTCGCGAGTGCCTATGTAGCAAAGAGGCCACTGGATATCATTGACCTCTCCCTCTCTCGCGCGCGCTCTCGCATTATTTTATTCTTTTTTTTTTTTTGCCCTCGCTCTCCTCGCGCCGTATAATGCAATGAAAAACACACTCGACGCGAGAATCGCGTTATACAATGGCAATAAGCGACGAGCTGCGTTATGTATATTATACACGGTGAACTCTTGGAACAAAATTGCCTTACCCTCGCCGGATGGTTCTTGGGGTTCCTCTCGTCGTCGCTGCTGTCGGCGTCGCTGTCCTCCTCCTCCTCCATCTTTCGCTCGAGCTTTTTTTCCTCGAGCGACGAGACCGCGGCCGAGCTGGTCTGGTGCACGTTACGTTTGCCGGTGCTCATTTCACGCAGCTGCAAGACTCGCTGCATCTGTAAAATTGCCATGTAAAATGACGGACGCTGACATTTTTCTTTTTTGCACGATCGTCGAATGAAATTCGATCGCGCGCGCGCCACCGCAGCTGCGTTTGTTTGCAATTTTCTATATTTGTATACAATAAACGTGTGTGCGCGCGCGTTCTCGGAAATTCGCGATAACGAATTTTTTGCGAACCCCAATAATAAGTTCATTGTCGCATCGGAAAACCGCGAGTAAAAATGCATTTCGAAAAATCTGCCGTAGATCTCGGGGAAATAATAAGAAAGAGAAAGAGTCGACGCCCCCAAGGTTTTCCGTATGCCAGCGTATAGTTTTAATAGGCGAGTGGCTTACGTGACTAGCTGCACTCGCTGCATAGACCTGCAACTGCATTATATCTATGTAGGAACACATAGAAAGTCAGCTCGCGCCCGCTCGACCCATTCCCATGTTCCACGTTAATTTATATATACATGGCGAATAACACGGATACTCGTGATTCTTCCGCATGGTGCGGTACTTAATAATTTCGGAGCCTTTGCTTTGCCTTCGATTTCCGCCTTGTACCTATACACGAAGGACTACCACTTTTTCTTCCATAAAAATCACGCATTATAGTGTATTCACGTGTTTGCGTATGTGTGAGTGGTGTGTGTTGTTGTGTGTATATACTGAAGGCAAACGTAAACACACGACGCTCCCCCTCCAATGTAAAAGTATCTCTTGTGTTTCCAAACATAAAGGAAGAGACGCGTATCCTTCGAGAAGTTTGCGCATTCACGCGGCGTGTGCGTTCGTTTTTATAACTTTTCTTCTGTTTTTTTGTCGAAAAAAAAAATAAAAAAAATAAAAATAAATAAAATGAAGCAAAATGGACTGTTTTGTGTTACTCACGGCGATCGGATTGGGACGAGCATGGGCAGCTTCGAAGCCGTTGTTTTGGTCGAGGACACCGGCGCAGACAGCGGGTGCCAGCATCTTCTTGTCCATCAAGCCCTTCTGCAGGGCCTGACGGATTCCCATGCGCACGAGAACCGTTGCCATATTTTCGCAGTTATTAGACGCTGAATCTTCCTTTTCTTAGGATTTCTTTCTCGTTCCCCTCTCTCTTGAAACGCGACGCGCGAGGGACGTATTATCCTTTTTCTCCAACTTGAATTTTTTCACAAGCAACGTTTTCTATACTTTTTAGGCGATACTTTAAAACTTCTATCTTTTCTCTCTCTGTGAGTGGATGTCGTACGAAAGGCGAGTTAAATATATGTCGTATATATATTGAGATACGTCGCACTTTGGAAGCGCACGAGTGCAAAATTCGTTGCTCTTAGCGCAGTTGCAGATAGGAGACTGACTGAATTGTGGGCCCCTCTTGGTGCAGTATAAAAAGCCGCCGCCGCCACCACCGTCGCATATACACACGACGTCCGTGCGAAATACATTCGCTGTATATAGGTGGTACTTCGCCCCTCTCCGCGGCCTGTAGCACACACTCGAGAGAGAGTCGAGCCGGAGGAGCATAATAATATAGCCGCCCCTGCAACTCGGCGCTCCTTTTTCTCTCTGTCTTTGGAGTCTCGAGTCGTTGTCGGCTGCACGAGTGCACACCAACACGCGCGATATTAATAATATGCTCGAGATCGTCGGTGTGAGCCGCACGAGCGCAGAAAAACAATAAATATAAACATTAATGTAGCGATAACCGATCGACGAATCGTTATCGCTCGCCCGAGAGCTCGGCTGCGAACGTGCGATTTCTCATATAATGTATCCGATCGACTGGAAGTCGAGCGCCGCGTTCGATTGAACGATGTTTTTTCCCAAATGCGATTTACTCCCCCCTGCGAAATTTCAAAATTGTATGAGGTCGAGCGAAAAAAAAACCCCACGCACGGAGCGCACATATGTTATGTTTGTTTGTTTTTTGTTTTTGCTGCCCTATTATGTATTATGTGAACGCGCGCGTGGCAAAAGAGGATGTGCCTCTTTGCGGCTATACGCAGCCGTTTAAACTGTATCACGTACGCGTCGAGACAGATCAAGGCCTTCTATGTAACGACGGGCTCGCTGGTCAAAAGAGATTAAAACACAATGTGCCTGCGTGTCGGAGTAGGCTCGGACGCTGTTTTTTCATTTTTTTTTCACATCCGAGCGAACGAGACGCGGCCTCATACAGATCCAAAAAGAAATGAAACAATCGGAAAACGTGAAACGATGCACGTATGCGACGATCAGTTACATATTCAAACGCGACTAACGATATTTCTCCTCGCTCGTGGCATAATATTCGACGAATTGCATACAAAACTCATTTGAAAGTTAAAAAATTGCCGCGCGCGACTGCATATTTCACTTGTGTAACGTAGACGCCTCGGCGAGTAAATATTATTGCCGATCGCGCGTTATATACTTTGTTGTTTTGACTGTGATTGGTTCCTACCCCGATGGTGCCGCTCGATCGATGCCTAGAATTCAAATTTTCAAGATCGTTACCGAGCTTATCGTCTACTGTAACTTTGCTCTCTTTTTTTTTAACTTCATAAAACGCACAATATCAGTCGAACTCGAGCGCGTGTAAACAGTCACATCATCGAGCGACCAACGTATCTCAATTTCTCCGCGACATATCTCGCTCGTTTTTTTTGCTCTCTCGCTCGATCGATCATCGCGTCGCGGCCACGCCGATTATCCAATTAGCCGAATTTCTCAATTTCTACACGTCATTTTTTGCAAGTACGGACAGCTGCGATGGGCAAAACTCGGATTATGACCGAGGGGGGGGGGGGGGNGGGGGGGGGGGGGGGGGCAAAAAAGTTTTGCAGCTTACGTTGGCTGGTGCACGTATGCCGCGCGTTTGTACTACATTATTGTAAACAATTACTCGACCGTACACAATAACGACGAGGTTGGATGTGCGCCTATTGTGCATGTGTGTGCTAGAACGAGGTCGCGCACGACTACACAACGGACATCAGCAGCGCTCACGTTTCGATGCGTTATATTATTTCATCCTCGAGCAACAATAACGCACCTCCATTTAACATTTCTTTTTATTTTCAATCGTACGTCGTCGCACGACTCGACAGACTATACGTGCCATATGATATATTGCTCGAGTTTTGCTCAAGTGGGTGTGCCTATATATAGCGCAAAATTGAGACCACACTCGATCTAAATAAATAAATTGCACGCAACTTTATCGCAGAGAGATGATAATCAATTGCATAAAAATTAAGACCACTTGACTTTTTTTACAACGAGCCAAAATCGCTCGATCGATTCTGTATATTGCAGATTTTCCTCGGCACTTGGAAAGAGAATGACTCATTTTTCGCGGCAAATTATTACCAGAATTCCAACTGAATAAACTTTCAATATCAAGCTCACGACTGGACAATAACGATTTCTCGTGTCTTTTTCTCGAGCCTTGTCGCGAACGATCTAAATTAAATTTTACTTGGAAAATTTCTCATGCAAAGTTATTGGGATTGATACAATAGTTTTTGTTGCAAGACAATGATTATGTAAAAATATTATTCTCTAAATGCGTCCCATGTCTTCAGTATGCGTATAAAGCTTGCATACAATCTATTTATAGAAAATGCAAAAAGTTTTTATTTATTTTCAAACAGTTCACAAATTAAATTTGAAAAAAAATGAAAATTGTTTGAAATAAAATTTAAAGTATAACTAAATGGAGCAGCTGTTTATATAAGGATGGTAAAAAAAATACAATAAAAACAGATTAATTATGAAAATATTAACTTAAAAATTTATTCAAGTTAGATTTTCAAAGCGTAGTTTCTTTTTGGGAAAGCAGAGTTTTTGCGAATCTCTTTCATTGTTTTGCGGCTGGCTTGATGAGGGGTCAACTGCCTGCGGATAGCACGGGTCTTCTTTGGTCTCAAGTCAAGAGGCTTGTACTTCTTGTTTTTGAATAATAAGCGAAGGTTCTCCTTCTGCTTCTGATTCATAACAATATATGTGCGAGCGATAGCCTTCCTTACATCACGGCTGTAAATAAAAACAGTTTGGGTAAGTACTAATCTACATAACAATTAGGATGTTATTAATGATATAAAAAAGTATGCTTACATTCTGGCTACTTTGCTGGCAGCTCCTCCAGTAACTTTAGCTACCCTCAAGTTCATCAGCTCTGTCTGGAGCTCAGCAACTCCCTTCAGGAGCTCTTTTTTGTCCTTCTTGCGAAGGTCGGCACATCTTACTTTTGCCTTGAAAAAATAAGAATATGTTTTAATTTCACAAACATAAAACACATAGTTAATTTTTAACCTCAAAAAATTAAAAAATTAAAAATAGTCCATAGAGAAATGGTCACTTGAGTATTAATCGTGTATTCTGGATCGCGAAATTTTCAGTCGTTAGATTGATAAAAAAGTTAACAAGTATAAATTATGAAAATTAGCCTTTAATCAAATGAAGACACTAGAGAAATACACGTGTATTCTGAATAGCGAAATTTGCACTCGCGTTTATAAACAAAGTTGAACATTTTGGCATCAATCGACTACTAGAATGTTTACATGACACAATAATTTATTTATTCTCGTAAAAATTGCAATTGTTAAAATGTTTTATCACAATTAATTCATAAATTTTTAAACGTACCATTGTGACACAGTGTTCAGCAAAGCTAGTAGGAAAAGAAAGAGGTTATTAGCTCTGCGCCTGCTCGTATTTTAGTTGCGCCCCGCCACGAATATCTCTAGAACTATATAAAGGCAGGCAATTTAAATCATGAATATGAAGCGTTGATTCTCAACTCATGGCTGAACATAAGAATGAAATTATCGTACGATAATATAATTGATTTTGTGATGAGATTGTATCTGATAAAATTAATTCAACAATAGAACAAATGAAAAAGAAATTAAGTATCTTTTTGTTATTCGAATTTGTATTTTAGTAATCATTGTATACATAAAAAACGCATAAAAATTGTTCATTTTTTTATATTCTTATTATGTTACATATCACCAACATCTGCATTAAGATTTATAAAAATGAAAATAAAAACTATGTCTTTAACATGTACCAATGAAGTAATAAAGAGTAATGAAAACAAAATAAAGAAATTAATATATACTTCATTGCACACACTTTTATAATATAATGACTTGAATTTTTTTATTTTACTTAAAAAATATCTAACAATAATTTTTATGAATTCAGTGGAGAAATTGAATAATAATCTTACGTATTTTACAAGGTAACCATCATGAAGAGTATAATTTTTCATTTAGTTCTCGAACACCAATTATTTTACTCCCAATATCTAACATGAAAAATCATTTTTTCAGAAACTAATAGTCAACGTAATTAAAACGTCAATTCGATCGAGAAAGTCGGCCTCTCGCGCAATTCTCAAGCCCGCATTTTTGCGATAACGCACGCACACGCTAGCTCCGGCTGCAGCGCGCAGAATTGCCACTGCAACTCAGCACAGCAATACAGCATAAAACGATAACACATTGCGAATTGCAACCGTGCCGTGAGAGACATTGAGTCACGTCACAACAATCCCCTCTCCTTTTTTTTTTCTCTCGCACACACAAACACACACATATGAGCAGTTTGCGAACGAAACGAGAGGAGACTACACTCAGGGGGTGGTTGTGTTCGAGTCGAGGTGTGCAGATTTTACTCGAGCGTGATGCTGATATACACATTGCTCACACAGAGCTGTCAGCCGTGCGTGTGTGTCAGTGCACGAACAGCACCATCATCTTCGTATTGTTAAGCATTATACGCGCAAACAACACAGAACATATCTATACGTATGTGTGCAAGATTATACAGTAATCATCAAGATTTCGGACGCACATCGTAAAAAAAGTCGTGTGTAGATTTGCTATTGCGAAGCACAACACAGCCCGACGGAGCCTCTCGCTGCTTGGCACACAACGCTACTTGCAAGTAACGCATACAGTCACATAGACGAACGTCGGAAAAGCATCAAGCGGAACAACACAAATATGTGTGTTGTCAGCGAATTGCCATTTACTCGATACGCGGTGACCTGCAATTACAAAGGATAGCATTTTGTTACATACAAAAAAGTTGTATGTTGTTCCGTAGCAGTGCTGTGCCTCGGCACTCGCTTCGAGTCTCGCGACGTTATCAGTGATTGGCGATTGGAGGCAAGCAGAAGAGATCCGCGCGCAGACGTCATTTGGCAAATCATTGAGAGATTATTATTATGAGTGCTGCTGCGGCATCTCCGGCCAACCAAGACGTTTTAGTTGTTGTATGTTTGCATTCAGCAATGCCGAACTGATCACGCTTCGTCAGCGCACGGACGGACAGCGTCGGCTCGCTGATGCGCTCGGCAATCAGCGATCGCTTTATACCGTGAGTTTTGCTACTATTGCTGCCTTTTTTTCTTTCTCTCCTGCTTATCTATTGGATCGCGCAAAAGTAGGCTAAACGCAAAACTAGGCTTGTGTAAGTTGTGGGTGTGTTTGCTCGGTCGTTATGGGTACCAAAGAAGAGAGTTGCAATTAATCCAGCATTTTCTCGCCTCTCTACCATCGAGTCGCATATATATCTCTCTAGCACGTATACATAGCATATATGCTGCGAGTGCGTCGTGATCACTTGAAATGTCACTGAATTTTACTCCAATAACGTTATCGTTTTTATCGATTGATTGCTATTAAAGAGCGATCAAAACGTCCATATAATGGCTTAATTATGTAAGTACATAATGCTAGGGCTACAATAAACTTGGAATCTTTTATTTCTATGTGTGTTGAAACTTGCTTTCGAGTCCAAGTGATTGATGCATCCTTATCTTTGTTTGTGTGCAGGTTTTGTAATGGAGGATAGTTTAAGTGTCAAATCAACTGAATCAGTGGCGACCAGCGACGAGTATGAATTTGTCAGTGATAAAGGTACTATAAGGCAATCTAGGTCGTTGCTAGAGTCGCCCATGTTAAAAATTCCAAACAATGGCAATTTAGAAGATTTGCAGAATAATTTACATGAAGTATGTTCAATCAACTCATCCAAAATCCACTGTTTGGTATCAAATTTAATGCTTTTGCTTTTATGCACAGGTTCTAAACGAAGAATCCAAAATGAATGAAAAAGCAGATAATAAAATTGAAACGCCAACTGTGCAGCAGACCAAAACCATTGGTCAGAGTAAATTTTATGATGTTGCACCTGCAGCAACAACTCCAGAAAAGCAAGATGAGATGAAACCGGATAATTATGAAGATGACTATGAACTCACCATTTTATCGGATGAGCAACAAGAATATACAAAATTTGATGCAATAACTTATTTTGGTGCTGCTGGTATAGATGCACCTAAATCAGAAATTGAAATTCAAAGAAATATGAGATTACTAACTGAGCAAAATACTATTGCCATAAAAGTATCTCTCTCTGTGCCTAGTTGTTCATCAGGAAGTGTCATGTAAGGAAACTTTTTACTTTATATTCATATATAAATTTAGTTACAGTATTTTATTTTTTTTTAAATATATATTTTTTTTACCTTAGAATGTATGAGGCTGCTACACAGAAACCTATAAACAGTTACGAAGTACATAGAATAGTATTCTATGCTCGAGGGGAAAGCAATGGACCTTGCGCTTCATGTTTTGCTTTCACTTGGACTCATGGAGACTCTCAAGATACAGCTATATTTCAATGTCTAATTTTTCGTTGCGATATTCCAGAAGCTGTAAGTGTCTTTTACAAATGATATTTTTAATAACTATAAAATTATCATTCTCAATAACTCAAGATAAATAGAACCTTATAATTCAATAATTTCTTTTTCAATAGGTAAGACAAGTATCTTCATGCTTTGCAAAAGCTTTCAATAGATATCCTAGGTCATTGACTAGTTCAATGACTGGTAGTGAATTTAATAATGGTTTCAATCCTGCAAGTGATAAAATCAATTCAAGAGTTTTTATATTTGAAGTTACTTTGGAAATAAAAGAAGAAGATGGAAAGGGTGCTTACAATACTGTTCCCAAAGACAGAAACTTTTTTAAGCTAAGAAGTAATGTATCTAAACAAGTCTGCTTGAGTATTCAGCAAGTCAAAGAAGGTGGTATAAATCTTGAGATAGAAAGATGCTTTGGCGTTTTAGTCAGCCCTGGTCGCAATGTTAAGCAAAGTGATATGCGATTGTTAGAAATGGTTAGTTAGTTCATTGCATTTTTATAATCATAGCGAAATTTGGCATTTCAATAATTACCAATTTATAGCAAATAACATCTTCACCAATGGTAATGGATGGGCAAAATTATAATGTCTGTGGTAAATGGGATCCAGCAGATCCAGCTCTAGAGGCCTTAAATATTGAAACCTCTCGCGAAGGAAGCACTCCTATGACAGTTGCAGTGGATCTGGTTATTCGTGGAATCAGAGAACCTGTTAGATTTGTCATTGAAACATCTGCCCGAATATTTCCTCAAAATGAGCGATTTTGGTATTTAAATAAGAAAAATCTAGTGCAACAATTTTGCGTTAACGCAAAAGAGGTATGTATTTATTTTTTAAACTTTTAAAATATTTTTTGAATAAAAAAATTAATTGTTACTTGCAGATCATTATTAATGAGGGAAACGAAGTTCACTATGAAGTAACGAATATTGATACTTCTGGCGAAATAGACAGAAATAGATTAAATTTGGCTTTAAATTTGGCTTCTTTGATAAGGTCGCCATCCTCCACAAGTATAGATACGCTCACTCCCAAAGAAGACTTAGAATCTGGTACGTCGCACTCTTAATATTCATTCTTTGTTTTATTATTCTTATCATGACCGGACATACTTCATCTCGATTTGATATTGGGCATTATCTATCGACGAAAGTAAAAACAAATTTCGTAATAACGTATTTTTTTACTTGCAGTGCTCTCTGACGGAGATGAACCCATGTTGAGTGGAACCGGTATAGTTTCCAAAGATTGCTCTGCAGATGTGCTTGCCAGTTGGTCTTCGGTATTAGAAAATTGGCAGATTAATGAACCACGAACGAAACTCCTCATTAAACTTACGAGACAAGGTATTCCAGAAGCTCTTAGAGGAGAAGTTTGGCAGAGACTCAGCAATTGCGATAATTCTGAAGAAATGTTTGATAAATACCGAACACTCATCACCAAAGTAATTCAAACATTTTCATCATTTTCGGCGACAGTTACAAAAAAAATTTATTTAATATTTTTATTCTTAGGAAAGTAGCTGTGAAAGTGTCATTTTGCGGGATATAAACCGAACATTCCCAGCTCATGATTTCTTCAAAGATATTGCGGGACAGGATTCATTGTACAGAATAAGCAAAGCATACGCTATTTATGATGAAGAAGTCGGTTACTGTCAAGGTTTAAGCTTTTTAGTCGCTAGCTTACTCTTACACGTACGTTTTTTAGTTTATTAGTGTTTTCGTTTAATTTAAACATTTCATTGAGTTGATGAATTTTCTAAATGTTTAGATGCCTGAAGAGCAAGCATTTTGCGTATTGGTCAAATTGATGTTTGACTACGGTTTGAGAGATTTATATAAGGACAGATTCGATAATCTTCACATGAGATTTTATCAGCTTAATCGCTTGATGGAGGTAAATTTTGCCACGCCGTAAGTAACGATAAATATTTTAATATTCTAATTAATATTTTCTCCCCTCAGGACCAATTGCCAGACCTCTATAAGCATTTCTGTGATCGCGGCATCGAGACGCACATGTTTGCCGCACAATGGTTTCTTACCTTGTTTACCGCCAGATTCCCGCTTTATCTTGTCTTTCACATATTAGACGTGTTTCTTATTCAAGGACTCGATACGTTATTCCAAGTAGCACTCGCCTTATTAACGGTGAGGATAATGCAAAATTTTCATTGATATTCTAATTTTGACTAATAATTTTTTTAAACCCATATCGTTAAAACTTTACAGTTCAGCAAGAAGGAGCTGTTACAATTGGATTTCGAGAGTACCTTGAAATATTTCCGCGTGCACTTGCCTAAACGGTGCCGCAACGAAGAGGTTTCACGTTATATCATGAAGTTGGCCTGCTCGATCACGTTGAAAAAATTAAAGAAGTACGAGGCTGAGTTCATGGCATTGAAAGGTAACTTTGTCTTCTACGTTTAATTAGCTTTACATGTTTATTGTATATTTTTTGAGTTTGAATTTACGTATACACAGCAAGGAATATGGGATTGCTTGCATTTTGCTTTTGTATTAATGTTATATTTATGTTGTTGACATCATATATCTGTTCCTATATATTTTATTAAATTTTATGTTTTTCTGTTATCGCTAAATTCAGTATATTTTCAAATATCATCTGCGGGAATTTTTTCACTGAAAAGTAATAAATTCGAATGAATTTATTTGCTGTTATACTTTTTGCAATGCGCATTATGTAGTGCTTTTTTATCGTTATATTTTATTGTAAGAAAGTAGCACTGTTATTTAGAAGTTTGAATTCTTACTAATATTAGTACTAGTTGAAATAATTTGTCAAATTATTACTAGTTGAAAAGAATTATTGTCATCAGTAATTCATATACTCACTGAATCAAATCTAGTTAAGTTGCGCATATCACATTATCGACGAGTTCTGTAAATGAAGAGAGAATTAATCTTGTTTGCGATTAATGGTCGAACAAATAAATTCAGAGGTACTTTGTGACTATTACATTCATGTTCTTAATGGGTTAATATGTGGTAAAAAGAAATTACAATAAACCACGTTTTTCATATAATTTTTTGTATCACACTTTACACATTGTACAGAGTGTACACATATGAACATATTATTTACGCATTAGAGTGTCGAGAGCAGAGACAGACCGATAAAATTCTTGGATCTGCTCCGACATGCATACACCCGCGAAACAATGCTCGTGATTGATAAGTAAACTACGTGAGTTTTTCGATGTTGAATAAAAATGTATCGTTCTTGAAAAAATTTTCTGTTACTTCTACGATTCGGGGTGATGGTTTGTTTTAGCTTTCTTAAAAAAAAATGAATATGACATTTTTCGTATCCTATCATTCCTACATTGAGTGAATCTGGACACTTCGCGCAACGACAATGTGTGACTCACCAATAATCTTCTTGTCTTTTTTTGTGTTTTCGCTTTTGCTGCAGTAAAAAAAAAGTAAATCAAACTTCCTCGCACCCATGATTTGTATACTTCGACGATCCTCAAATCTCTCATCGAATCATCATGCATTAGATTTTCGTGATTTGAGAATTGAAAAAAAAGTAGATAAAAGAGCCAAAAACGAAAAAAAAGTGGTTGTTTGTTATGTTGTTTTACAGAGGATGATGACAATGACGATGTTACGGGACAAGTAAGCCGCCAGGGTGGCAGAAATAGTAGGCGCTCGTCATCGGCGTCGCTGGCGGTTAAAAAGCGACTCGCCAAAATCGAAAAATACGGCAGTAGACTTAACGAGTATCTTAACAAAGGTTTCGGCTTTGCCGCTAGCGAATTTCAATGTCTCGAGGATCTCCAATTCTTTCACTGAACTTTTATCCTGACAGAAGCAAAGCAAAAGAAAATTTTAAGCATAATTATTTATCTTTATGAAGTCTCTCTTATTTTTACTTTAAAACTTAAAAAGAAGCGTTCAAAGCTCAAAAACAGTATTTTGTAGAGAAAAAAAAAAACATTAGTGACGGTGAATTACCTTTAAAACAACTTATGACTTTTGCAACTTATGACTTTAAACGCTATAATCTACTGTGTGTGCTTCTATTCCTATTATAAATGTACATAGATACATATTTATTGTATAAGTATACATAATTAAAAAAAAAAAACGTCACACAAATTATTAGCGATAAGAATTGAAAAAAGTGTGTTATCCTTGTAAGAAGCAATAATTTAGCGTATTCGTTTTAACGAGGCTCTTTTGTACCACCGTAGACAGTTTATAAAGCGACGATGACAGCCACAGCGAGAAATGTGTGCTTGCAATTCGAGCTTTTGGAAGCACCATGTGTGTGTATAAATATAGATATTGATGTACCATAAAAAAAGCAATAACCAATGACATAGTCTATAAAATATTGTTATATTATCGTTCAAACCTGACACTCAAGAGACACGAACAATCAGATCACGCACAGAGCCACACACGTATTACACACACATTTACCAGTTACAATATGTATCGACGCTATTCGAGCGCTTCAATTGCACTAATGTATTACATTTCGTGTTTATATTCTTAAGGCTTATCGATAAGTGTGATGTGCTATTGAAATTGTAAATCGATTGGTTTTTTTCTTCTTCTCGTTGAACAATATTTCGCGGCTATAGCGATAGCAATGCGCCAAAATGTGTTCACACCAGTCGGCCAAGAGTGATGACGGTGGTGTATAAGAAGGACCATGATATGACTTCCTCGTTGACTTAATTTGATATCTTAATTTGTATTTAGTGCGTATATGAATATTGATGATGATAATGATTTTTAACTGTTGAGAAAGAGTAATAAGAGTATTATTTACGTTTTCGTTTTTTTTTTCTAAACATAATAATTATATACGTTTGTCATTTGGCAAAATAAAATGATCTTATTGTTTGCATCAGACTTGTTTTGGAGTACGAGTTGGTTATCCTTACCGCAAAACGATTATCCTATTTACACCCCCGCACATCGAGAAAGTATATAACGATGTTGGACGATCGGAAATAATCGCTTTCAAATTGAAAATAAATCTCCCGCTCCGTAGGTGCCTCTGCCTTTTTCTCTCTCTCTTTCTCTCTCTCACCTGGCTCGATCGTATTGCGTATATGCATTCAAAGATATACACGCACGAAGGAAGGAAGAGAAAAGAGAGCGAAAAAAGGCAAGAATGCCAGGGTCGGTCCGTATAGCCGCGCACCTAAACAACGAAAATACAACGAAGCGCTGCGCTCGTATACCGCCGCTGCCTCCGTACCTTTACATGTAGTACTGAACGCCAGAGTTTTATACCTGCGCGCTTGATATCTCGCTTCTTTCGTTTCTCGAGCGCAGCGCAGGTATGCACATGTACGACACATGTAAGCACTACTCGTACGTATAAAGAATTGCACACATGCACAAAAAGCCCGTCCGTGTCTCGTGCGTGTGTATCTTTAGGTGTGCGTCTGTATCTGTCTTTATGCGTGTTTCGCAACGGCCGTTGAACGCTATACATCAAGGCTAATGGAGAGATCCGTTGCTGTTGCTGTTGCTGCTGCTGCTACTGATCCGTGCGCGGCGCACGTCGTCGTCTAGTGGCGCGCGCGGCCCAGTGTTGAACGCGCCGGCGATCAGTTGGCGAAGTGTTGTCCCCGCCGCGAGTGCGACTGACGTTACGAGCGCGCGCGAGAACGTGTTTTGTTTCTCTCCTCGTTGTTTTTGTTTTTGTTGTTGTTGCTGCTGCTGCTGCTTCTGCTGTTGTTGTTGTTGTTATTGTTGATGTTTTTATGTGTGTGTGTGCAATCGTTTAGTTTAGTTTCTCGTTGCTGTTAAAAAGTAAACGTGGGTGCTGTCAAATATGGAGATAAACCGGAATATTAGACCGAAACTGGGCATGATCGCCAAGAGATTGTCTCTGAGTAAGCACGCCAATGTTGTTTTTAAATTATACACGATGCATTTCCTCGCTTTCTCGATTATCGGCACTGCGTGGTGGCGCACGTTCACTCGGCTGCCTTTAAACTTGCTTTTTCTCTCCTTCTCTCTTTCTCTTTATAACGCATGCAGACATACACCAGCTGATCGTCATCGCGATGGGTATTAGTCATCCGTATAGAGCACTCGTATATGTACGATAGGTGCAGCTCAAATTGTGCATGTCTTTTCTCTCTCCGGATTTAATTTGGTTATTATTATCATTTTGTACACGCGTTCCGAGTGTCGACATTTTTCGCCCAAACTTTCCAAATTCCTTCTTATTACGCGCGCGGGCAAAAATCGCCTATGCTGCACACTCGATCGAATAATTTCGACAGCGACGCGGTGTATATATACGCGTGTTCGTGCATGTAACGCTCGCAACAAGTGCGAAGTATTACGATATGCATTAACATTTTTTTTATAGCTGAAATTACGACGAGCGTGTGCGACGGAAAAAATTAGAATCGAGCGAAATCGGTTGGTGTTTTTGCTGCCGCGTACGAATGTACATTTAGTCGGGCGACTCGTTATTTCCTCGCAGCTCGAAGATATGTGTATAGCCCACGCGCGCGTGCGAATGTAATCGAGTCGCTCACCTGAGGCACCGATCCGATTCTTTATCTTATCCCGAACCCCATTTTAGTCCACATGTAACAAAAAAAATAGGGTGAATCGAGCGCGATCATTACGATTAGTTTTTCAACGATTTTGTAAATACGAGCGTGTAATTGAAAGAAAAATGATTTGAAAACAGAGGCCCAAGACAGCGCCGAGGAGTTCGGCAACGAGGTGGAGCAATTGCGCGAGGCCGTGTCGCGCAGCGACGAGGAGAAGCAGCGCCTCGAGACCGAGTTGGCCCAGGTCAAGGAGATGCTCCAACGCGAGGTCAGCCGCGCCGAGACCGACGCCAAGCGCAACTCCACTATAATCGTCGAGTACAAACAGGTACGTACACGAGCAGCTCTTTTATCTTATCTCGGCAACTCTATATATTTGCCAACGCGATACAACGAGTAACAACGATTAATTGTCATAATGTATGCCGCGCGCGACTCGATGGTAAATACTTATAATAATACATTTAATTTGACTTTATTATTGAGTCACGCCCGAGCGTGTTTTTGTCGCGCCTCCGATTAAATTTTATGCTAGCTGCGCTCGTCGTTACATAAATTCGCCCGCAGTATAAGCGATAGTATACAAACATAATAGAATGTATTATACAACTTGGCCGAGATGCCAAATAACAGGTAGCGCCGTTGTCTGGGGCTGCTTGCTACTCGTGTCAAGCGTAAATAATCTCGAACGCGATTTAAAAATACAACCGTGGCAGCACGCGTCTGTCATATTATAGCGCAACCGTGAACTTGTCGCGTGAACGCGCGAAAACGTCGTCGACGTTTCCGCCTCTTATACGCGTCCATACCGATCTTTTCTAATCGTTTTTTTTCTCACCTCTTTCGCAGATCTGCCAGCGACTGGAGGATGACTACAATACCGCCAAAGCATCTCTCAACGACTTACGCGTGAGTATCCGCATTACCATGTCGTATACGATCGAGCTCGACGGATGAAGTTATAATTTTTTTTTGCTACCCCCTCGTTGCAGACGAAAATCTCGAAATGCGAAAAGTGCGCGTGCCACACGGACGAGACGGACAACAACGCGAGCTCGAACTCGAGCTCGGACAGCGCGTCCAGAGCCGCCGATCCGGTGCTCAGCCGGGCCCAAGAGCGGGTACGCGAGCTCGAGCTCGAGCTGGCACAGACGAAGCTCGCCCACGTCGAGGCCCAGTGCAACAATCAGGACCTCGAGCACCAGCTGCACGCGGTCCAGGCCGAACTGCAGGCGGCCCGCAACAGCTGGCTCTCCAAGACCTTGTCGAGCATCAAGGAGGCGACCAACAAGCGCGACCAGCAGTCGTCCCAGCAGCAGCATAGCGGCGGGGCCGGCGGCGCCCAAGCCCCCGGCAACTCGCTGATAAACGCCAACTTTCTGAGGCGAGACAGCGCCCCGGTCGGCAACGACCTGCGCCTCGGCGGCCATCATCAGGGCTTCAAGGAGGCGATCTGATAGCAACTTGCGCGGCCGACCGAGCCGCTTGCCCAAGGTGTGGCACTGCTACGCTCGTTATCGCTACTCGACTGATATAGCCGCTCTCAAGTTCCTCGATTACTTCTTCGCTTGGCTATGACCTATTCACTTTTATTCCTTTTCTTCCCTCCTCTTCATTTGTTTGTTTTTTTTTTTTATTTTTCGATCGTCGTTCTTGATTCGCCTCGTCGATTAGATAAGACCCCAACCATTAGTTCTATTTTTCTTTTCGATCTACGATTCATTTTTTCTTGAAAAATTGTGATAAGACAATCGGTTTTTTTTATTTAGATGACGACGACGAACATCGGTATCCAATGCAATGACTTTTTCGTACATTGTCTCTAAAATAAGTTATTTTTGTTATAATTGAGCTTTTAAAGCGAGTTTCGATCTCAGCACGAATACATTGAACATTTCAATTTTGAAGCAATCACAAATGATATTGAAAAATCGACGTTTGTCGGTAATAATAGTTTATATAAAAAATTTGTATTGATTTTTACGTTTTTAATCTTTTGTAAAATAAACGTTAGTTTGAAATGTAACAATTTTAAAAGGATGAAAACATAATTTATGCATCGCTAGAATGCATCCAAATTGAATTTCAACGATTGCGCCTTTTTTACGCATATCTGTCGATACTATAATCTTTAATGCAAGATATGGAATGAGGTATATCTTAGGCAGCTCTTTTACTCGTAAGTTGATTGTCGTAAAAAAATTTGACACTCAAATAGTACTTAAGAAGAAAATAAAAAACGACCTTGAAATAAAAGTATAATTTTTGTAATCTTAGTTGTATCAATGAAATTGAATAAACAAATGAAATTCACTAATGAGGATCTAAATTTGAACGACTATCATTCCTATAGTTAACTATTGTTAAAAGTATAATTGAAAATGTATTAAAACTTAGTGCTGACATTCCAATAACTGACACAATGTGACAAATTAATCAGATTATAAATAATTATCGAATAATGATTCAACTTTCATTTAAAAGATTCAAAAATGTGTACAAATATTATACAACGTGCTACCCACGATATTATTAAATAATCATAGTTACATTTTTTAACTTCTTTTCACATGTTTCATTGCTTAAGTGAGTTAGTAAAGTATATTAATTACTCAATCCTGTATTTATTCAATAAAATATATTGAATTCATTTTCAGTATAAATATGCTGAGTTCATAAAATCAAGCATCGTACATTGCAATCTTAATCATGATCTAAAATTCCATGTGTAAATAATAATTATATATTGTCAAAATATTTTTGCATCAGTTTTAGTGCCATAAATAATTGGTTGTACAAGTTAAAATCTACACTCAATTGCTTATTCAAATTGAACTTAAAGGTACATGTACTAAATCCTGAAATTTTATTAATATATTTTTATTCTTTCTTACAATTCTTTGAGAAAAATGTTGATTGTATATGAAACTATTTTCAGTTATAGTATAAAGTAATATTTAGGATTGTGAAAAATGCATGTAAACCTATGTAAATATGCAAATCATCTGTGTAATGATAAATAAATTAAATCGAATATTAGTTGTATTGCTTATTAAAATTGCTGAAAGCATTGAGACAGGTTAATTAATTTTTTTAGATAATGCACTTATTATCTAAAATTAAAAAATTATTATTTCTCATATTGGTCTAAATTTTATTAAAACTGCATACTACAAAAATATATCATTATCAAATTTTCTTTAAGTTTTACAGTTAAAACAATAATTTGTGTTCATTGTGGTATGAAATTTCGCTTTCTTATAATTTAAACAGTTTCATAATAAAGTAAAATATATCAAAACAAAAGCATAATGTTCATCTGTAATAATGTTAAACATATCAATTGATAACTTCATGAATTTTAAACTCATATGTATTTTAAATGCTTCCTAAAGCATCTCAGGTACTAAATATTTGGTACTATAATTTCATTGTGCAAATACCTTAATTGAAAATACTCAAGAGATCAACAATTGGTATCCATAAAAAATGTTCTAATAATGTAGGAAACGTAATTTTTATCAATCCGAATCCCAATTTTCTATAATAGGATCACTTGGTGATTGCTCATTTTCTGTCCTAACAACACATTCTTCGTCTGTTTTATAATCTTCTTCATCACTTTGTGTGGAAAATACATTATATTCTGGAACTTTTATTACATAACCACCATCTTCTTTTCTGACAATTGTCCAATGATAACTTTCTAAGAATTCTTTCAACTCCATCAAGCTGATTTCATAATCTTTTACTTTGTCATGAATATAATCTAATGAAACCTCAGGAGGTCCTTGATTGTGTATATGAAAAACAGCGTCATCATGAATTTTTTGTTTTACACAACGTTTGTCACTGTAATAAGGGTAGTTGTAAAGGATTACTGGAATAAGTAAACCTTCTTGGCCTGGTACTCTTTCACTTTGTAAGTCAGAATGCTTATGAAAAACTGCCATCTGCGTACATCCTCCAAGATTTCTTGTTTCTTCAGGCCCAAGACAGACATCATGAAATGATACTTCATAGTCTGGATATTTAGTAACAATATCTGTGGCCCTAAAAGTAATTGGAAAATCATATTATTAATATGGTTAAATGATTGTCTTGATCAATTTATTTAATCAGAATAATAACTTCTATAAATATTTGATTTTAAAATAACATAATTAAACGAGTTGGAAAAATTAACTATGCTTTAAATTATAGTTTAATATATGGAATGAGTTTTCTATAGCTTCTGTTAACATGCAAAAGCTCGTACATAGAAAAATTGCTTGATTCCATTAATCATCCCTATAAAATAGTGCATAGAAAAATATTTGACTCACCATTTTTGGAATTCAGCTCTAGTCCATTCAAATTTGTGGTCAGGATGTCTGAATCCAACCAAATCAGTGAATACGACGTTGAATTCAACATTTGGAGTTGTTATAACTGCTACTTTAGGTTTGATAAATCCAAATACATTTGCAGGAAATTTTTCAAGTTCTTCTGGATATAGATGCTCAATTCTATAAAAACAAACAGCGCATTAATTGAGAGGCAATCCAAAAAAATTATTTTACAAGTAATTCAAAATTGATAGTGCTCACAATTCAATGGCAACAACTGCATCACAGTCTTTTACAATTGAGTCAGGGTCTACAACACTGCCAAGAAGCACTTGAACTTTTAATGGCGACTCTCTCTGGATCAAATGATCAACATGAAAAGGTTGCACATTCCTGTAACGTGCTTTTAGAGTATCTGGATCTACGTCAATGCAGTAAATTTCCTCCACACCTGGGATTTGCTTGAGATACTTGAAAAAGGCCATATCGTTGCATCCATAATCAATAACCTGCAAAATGACAATTAACATTAGAGAAATAAATTTGAAAGTGCGTAAAAGAATGAGATGAGCTTGACAGCTTACGCTTTTGAGATTGGAAGCCCATCTTGGATCCTTCTCCAAAACATCCCGAACGGCCTCGTACCTCTGGACGTAGGCTGGAGGGTGAAATTGAATTCGGCTCATGCTTGAAGATTGTCTTGGAGATTCCGGCAAGGACCACTGTCGCGTGTATTTATGTTTGTAGTTAGTTAAATCTAATACCGGTGAAGGCGGAGGAGACGGGTTAAACAGTTTGAAATCTCTTATTCTCTTTTGAATGCTCTCTTCGAAGGCTTCGTCAGATAAACTAGACTCGGTCGACGGTGCGGATATAAAATCGTCATGTTCTTCGTTATCGTCACTCTCAGAATGCAATTGAACCGAGTTTTCGTACATCGGCGCTGGGATTTCTTGATAATTATGGGCGTCATTAGCTTCGTCACTCATGATGTTAACCAAATTAATAAACTTTGTGTATCACCCCACTACAGGGCAGAGATATTAAGCACGTGTGTCTGGAACTGCGACCGGGGTTCTGCACTGAGATTTGACCAATCGACGTACTGTTATCGCGAGCTTCTGCGTGCAAAGGTGTGCGAACTGATCTGCGAATTGTTATTTGCGCGCGCAAATTATGAACTTCTTTAAAGCGTATAGACTATAGTATTTCTTGATCGAGTTAATTAACTTGATTTTGTTTTATATATCCTTCCTTTTGCCATATTTTTTTTTTCTCTCTCTCTCTCTCACTCTTCGTAATAAGCGGCGATCGGTCGGTCGGTCGGTCGTCGTCGCTTAATACACACCGCCGGCCCCGGGGCATATATCAATGAAATCGACGTTGCGATATAGCTACCACCAACAATGAGCTGGACCACTCGAGTCTTACAGAAAGTATACATAAAATCAGGATCCATATCTACCTTCCAGAAATAACACGAATGTTTGTGTAAAATAAGAGTAAGACATTACTTTAAGATATTGTCGTTGTAATATTACTGTTTGAGAGTGACCTATGAGTTCTATCGTCTCACCCGTGATAGTGTCCGTAACCATTTACGTTCTAAAGAAGTATACGCGACCCTGATGCAGATAGCTCAATCGGTACCCTCTGAATATTCCGACAGGTGACGACAGAAAACGCAAAAGAAGAAAAATTTTAACACCTAAAGTATACGAAAAAAGCTCACGGAAACAGCCGTGTCTTAGGGAAAAATCAAAATTTTAAAATTTCGAAAAATGCAATAGAAAGAGGTGGAAATTAAAAATTAAATAAAAAAATTTTGAATTTAAGGTGTATATAAGCCCTTAATTCAGGAACAATGAAGCTCATTTCATTCAAGCACAATTGCTTGTTGTTTCGACCCATGCTGCATCGACCGAAAAACTCCCAAGCTTTAAAGAGAATTGAACGCATTATCGGGCAGGAATCTATAAGACTGCAATTAAATTCACCCAAACAGTTTTCAAGCCCGGATGCGGCGCCGATTAAACGAGAGAAAAGGTTAACGAATGTATTCAAGAAACTATCTAGAAGCTATAATAAAAGAATATGGACAATAAAGATAAGAAAATCTTTTTTCTTTTGACTCATGAACCAAATTGTATTATATTATTGCAGCTGATTATAATTTCCTGGCTATATAATTATCTGTAATTTATTCATTGGGATCGACTGTGATAAACTGAGCCTTTAACGATGGCTTGATATTTTTTTACACTATGCCGAAGAACGACGCTCTTATTTCACAGCATGATTCGTTCGAGGTACTGCTGACACTTCATTTAGAATAAGCCTGCATTCATACTTGAGGTGTGAAAAAGATGAGCTATTTTTACGAAGTTAAAAGAACGCTTCTAAAAAAATGATATCTTTATCCTTGTATCGGTATCTTTTAAATATATTGACAAATAAAATTTGTTTAATCTTCCACATTACGACTGTGCATATCAATAAAGTAAAAAATGTTGCTGTCATTTTATTATTCGAATCACATTAAAAATATGTTGCTGCACGAAGAGAATCTAAAATGTCTCCATTAATAGCTATAGAACGTGCAAATGAACGATTATTTGAAACACGACACAATTCATTGGCTAACGACTTGATAAAAAAATTCATCGAGTTGGTGAATAACCCAATCAAGATATCGATTCTCTATCAGATTTGTTAACGATAGATGCCATTTTTACGGATATCGGCGGTAATGGACGACAAATTACGTGAAATTCAGTCAATTGTCACGTAGTTGAACACGTTAGACGAAAAAAACGATTAGTAATTTTGGTATATATAGTCAAGTCCGGTCAGCAAATGGGCATCAGTCGAAAGCTTCAAGCATATCGATCAACATGAAGTACTCGTTCGCCTTGTTCCTCATCTTCGCGGTCGTCTGCGTAAGTACACATTTTCCTAAGCCGCAATAGACATGAAAAATCATTACGGTGAGATAACAGTACTTCTTTTTTTTTTCTTTCCTTCTGAACAGGGCACGCAGGCAAGTGCCGTCCACAAAACAGGTTTCTTCCAAGATTCCGTCGAATCTTTGAAGCAGTCGATCGACTCGATGTTACTGAGAACGATCCGCGAGGTCCAACAGCTCAATGAAAAGGTCCAAGAGAAATCCGAGAGGGTCTTCGGTTACGTGCAGGAAAAGGCCTACCAAGCCATGAAGACCGTGCGCCATCAGATCCGACGGCCCTTGGACGAGGTCAACGAGACATTGGCCAAGCTCCAGAAGACCAGCGAGGAAAAGAACGTCGACTTGAGCCATTGCGCCGAGATCGCCGTGAGACATCGCCAAATGATCCTGTCGAAGCTCGACGGCTCGGCCCAGTGCTTCGAGAAGACCCTCGACCGAGTCGCCGGCAATCTGGACCAGATCAAGAGCGACAGCAACGACGTCCTGGCCAGTCTCAACGAGATCCTCGAGGAATCCACCGAGTGCCTCGCCAATCCCGAACAATCCATCCTCATGAATCTCGCCTGTCTCACCGACGTAAGTTTTTCGCCTTACACTCGTTGAATCGCGCGGATAGGGTATGTTCGTTCTCTAACGTTAAAAATTGCAACAGAAAAAGCTCAAAGCCATCTGGGAAGTGACCAAGAACGTACCCATGATGACCGTGAACCTGGTCCGCTTCGTCGGCGGCGCCGTCACCTCGCCCGTGCCCACGACCTACTGCGTGTCCCAGAGCGCCTTCAATCTCCTCACCTCGCAAGTACCTGCCAAAATGAAAGCCGTCCACATGTGCGTGAAAAAGACCGTCGACGACATGTTCCACAAAGCCACGACCGAGGCACCAGCCAGCGAATCCCCCGCCGCCGAGGACGATCAAGCCACCGTCGCCAGTGTTCCTGAAACCGCTGAAACTTCGTCGACCGCCGCCCCCGTCGAGGTGTCGACCACCGAAGCTGGCCCACTTGGCCCAGTTGGCGACGCCCTATTCCCCGAAGACGTTGCCACTCAGGTTCCAGAAGTCGACAACTAATTCCTTAGCCCAACGACGCCAAAGTTCCTATATATAGATGATGACTTTCTGAGCTCGCAGAGTTATATTTAAAATTTTGCAATTTCAAAGCAATAGAGCAATGAGGAAATGATTATTTTTTTAAATAAATCACACGTCTTTCAAATAAAACATTTATTATACTTATTGAAAGTACGACGAATGAATAAAAACGTTTAAAAAACAACGTCAACTCTTGTATTTGCGTATTAATTACTATTTTCATCCTTCTTTTCTCTTTTTCGCGATCAAATCAAATCGTATCTTAAAGTACGTCTGCCACAGTTTAGCATTGCCACTAATGTTATTATTTTTCTGTATTAAGTTGAATCCTTATCCAGTTTAATCTTTTTTTCTGAAATTTTTACTACAATAGGATTATAAATCGAATTGCAGATTTGTTTGCGTATTGGACAAATTGAAACAATAACTTTTCATAAATATACTTTCTTCCATCACATAATATTGTATATCATACAGTTTTTATCGTCTTCGTGTAACGTAACTTTGCACACCGTATTTACAAATTATTTAAAATCATATAACGATGGTATAGTAATCTAAATTTTGTGTATTGACAGTGTGCGCATAAATAATTATGGTGTTCCCTTCTTTCTCGGAACAACAAAATTTAACAAATCCTCTATTTAATTATTCATATATACAATATTGAAACTTAAACAGTTTGCAAAATAATTATTTTTATGTACATTTTTCAACTTGACGCGAGAAACGTAACGTAACGTTCACAGATCGTTATAAATGAGTCGAGTTAAAAATCATTTTCTGCACCATATTTTTCTTGTATCTTATCATTTAAACATTTCGACTTTATCATCGTTGAATTCTAGAATTCATATAATTGCTACTACAATTGCATAATACCGTGCTGCTTCCTATTGAAAAATTACTTTGGATTAATGAGAATCGTGTTTCATTCGTGGAAATTAATCATCCACGAAACAAAATTTTAATTACAGAGATCACAGTACAGTAGAGTTTACGTTATATGTAGAGATTCGGCAATTTTATTTATCGATAATAGTAAAGATTTGGTTTTTTTTTCCTTTTTATCTAAACTCGTAAAAACGGACTTTGTCGTATATAATATGTATATAATATAAATCCTAACACATATATAAATGTATTGTATACGAATTCGCAGTTGAACGTTCGCAGTGCACAATTGAAGTTATTTTTCGGTACCACACACCCGTGTACACATAATTGTTTCGTCGTTATCGATTCGTTTCTTTGATGTTGTTCGTATCTTCCTCTTCTATCCAGTCTTCTAAGATTTCGGCAATTATATTATTGATTACTTTTTTTGCAGATGTATAAAAAGAGAGGAGCGAGTTTGGTATTTAGTTGGTCGATCACGTGATTCAAACGGGGGCCGATTATATCGTTATTTTTGTCATCCGTTTGCCTGCCTGAGCTCGTGTAGCTTTTAGTACACGAATTTCACGTGACCTCAACTCTCCCAATGTCAGCCGGCGGCGTTGTTAGCGCGATCTCCGTCTGGAAGCAGAAAACAAATCGTGCCCAGGGCGGGCCATTGTTATGCACGACATCAGAGTCTCCAATTGCTTGTAAAAATTATGTGTTAGTTGTTTGTGTGGGCGTGCGAAGCTCTGGCACACGAGGAGTCATTCGTCAGTTTTCCGGGTAGTCCAGGAATTTTGTCCCCTTCGAGTCGAGACTTCCAATTATTGCGATCATGTATATGCACAAGCGAATCTTACGAATGATTTCGTACGTAGTTTTGCAAAAACTTTTGCTTCATCAACAATTTTGAATAAAATACCTCATCAAGACTCCCAAATTAACTGTTCGAATGGCTCCAGCTTTACATCCCGTCAATAGCCTTTAAATCTCGTTAGCAAATGAATGATCATGAAAGAATTATTATCGTCTCTCGCTTTATTTTGAATTTTTTTTTGAATGTGGAATGGTGTGTGCGATATTTGACTGGTTCAAGTAATTTGGGAGCTTACTTCATGAGGTTTACAAGTGTGAACAAAACGAGATTCTTATTGTCTAACGAGATTTAAATGCAATAACGACGCGCGTGATTGCATTTTTTTCATTTTATAATAGTGTGGTGAATACATGAATTATTACTTTTGTCTGCAGCCGTGGCAGTGCAGTTACATCTCAATTCGAGCAATTTACTTTATTTTATTATAAAAAGGTGGTTGTAACATTTTGAGAAAAATATTTAAACGTGCCATGTATGCCTGACACATTCTCTTATTAAATGTATATATTTGTGTTGATTTTTCTCTTTTTTTGTCTTACAGAGCACCGATCTACGATGTCTTCATTAAAAAAAGTTATCTTCAATTTCAACAGTCGAGCGCGCGTTGCTAGCATCTTCCAAAATATAAATATAATATTGTAGAAGTAAAAAATGAGATGCGTGATTAAATTCAACTCTGTGTATTAAAAAGTATTTGCTTAAACACCTTTAAAACCGTTGATTTGTGCGGCCTTCGGTGCCAAAAAGAGTGTCGACAGACGCCGATAATGAATTTCGAAAAAAAATCAAAACTATTGGACCCCGTAAATGTTGCTATCTTTGCATCGTGTAAAAGTGTGTATGGTGCCGAAAATAGTGGCGACGACATCGAGTTCCCGTTATTGGGTCAATATAATGTTAATTAGGCTTCGAATCCCGTCACGATGCGACTCAATTCCGACGTTTCAATAGGCATCCCGTTTATTTGCAGGTACGAGTATTACGTTCATTTGTTTCTTTGTTTATATTATAAAAATGAAGAAAAAAATCATTACGCCGTTGAACCGCTGCGATCGGTGCTTTTGATTACTTTTTTGAAAAATACATTCGCGATAAAAAATAGTGCTATTTTTATGACGTGTATAAATCGACGATTAGCCCGAAAAAAATGTGTATCGTTACACGCGTGCGTTGACTTTCAGTGCTCGTTATTGCGAAGATGAAAAAAAAATCAGCAATAAGAAGAAAAAACAAGACGATCTAATGAGACACACAGAAACACACACGTGATTCGGATAATTAGCTTAAAAGAGAACGTGCTATATTGCGTAAATATATAAAATCGACTTGCATAATGATGTCAAGATATCAATGCTTTATACGCACAAGCCGATCGTCTTCTAAACGTACAACATTTGTATATGCGATAGATTAGTAGTAGTTGTAGGTGTTTTATGTAGTATTATTTGTATATTTAGGTACACGTTGTCCATCTGTCGTAGCGCCTCTTGGTAGGTCCCACAAAACTTTGTACTAGACGTCTATTTATAAATACGTTATTTTACTCTTATACACAATGAATTGCTAATGGTTGCAGGTGAGAATCGGTTGTTAAAGTTCAGCTTGGAATTCGGCTAATTTCTCCTCTTTGGATTTGAATTTTCACTTAGAGATAAGACTCGGAAAACTCAAAGTCGGAACCGGACGCGCGCGAGGATCTCGTATAAATGGATATACCCCCACCGATGGCGCTATCGGACGTTCCCTCGCCGGTCACGTAGTCGGCTACGATAAGCGAATCTTTACCACTTCCGCCACCGCCGTTGTTGCTGCCGCCCCCGTCCTTTTCCAGCTCCGCCAATTGGGCCTTGATCTTTTGGATTTTCTCCACTTTCTGCGAAAAGAGAGAAGGAAATTGCTTTAATCGAATATCGATCGCTAAATTAACAATATAGATGCAATTACCTGCTGTATGAGCTTTTGCAGCTCGTCGTTCTCGCTGACGATCTTCTGGTACTTTTCCTCGTCCTCCTTGGACATGGTGATGTCGGGATTGTACTTGGACTCGGCCTTGTCCTTGGGATGCCTGATGACCTCGATGACCTTGGGCACGAATATGAGGGCCATGCTGAGGAAGCAGCAGAATATGATGGCCAGGGCGGAGAAGACGAAGGTGGCGTCCTGCTGGCTGGCGATGACCATCGTGACGGGGGCCGTGATGAGGCAGAGCACCACCACGTTGTAGATGGACATGCCGACGTAGCGCGAGTCGTTGATCTGCTTCACTTTGATGCTGCGCGTCTCGTAGGCCAGGAACAGACCGAACACCAGTATTACCCCCTTGTAAGCGTAAATGATGCCAAGCCAGATCATGTTGTTCTCGCTCTCGCAGTGCTCGAGCTCGGGCCTGATGCGGGCGTCGTCGTCCCCAGCCGTCGACATCTCCAGGGGAAAGACCTCGATGGTGCGCTGGAGCGGGTCGACGAGCTGCCAGACCCCGAGGATGATGACGTCGATGGCCAGCAGCACGCTCACCATCGTGTACAGCTTCCAGGGCTGGACCTTCTTCTGGATCGAGGATATCTTCTGCTTGGACATGAAGAGCTTGGCGTGGTCGGCCTTGGTCTTGGTGTTGAGTCGATGGACGCGCCAGACCTTGCTGAACATGGCGCCGAAGGCCAGGGTGAAGCCGACGGAGAGTACCCAGGCTCGAGCCTGGCAGACCTTCGGGTACTCGTCGGCGCTGATGAAGCGGCCGTCCAGGCCCAGCAGGAAGACCGAGATGAAGCAGGCGATGGTGCCGCAGAGCATGATGGTGTTGCAGACCGGATGCGAGGAGACGATGACGCGCCTGTGCCGATTCCAGACGTTGAACAGGATCAGGCCGAGGGCGACGACGATGCCGAGCGTGGAGAAGCTGCACATGGTGATGAAGAGGGGCAGCGAGACGGTGCGCAGCAGCTTCTTGACGATGGTACGGTCCTGGGGCACCTTGCCGCCGATCCAGCGCTCCATGTTGTGCCAGGTGAGATTGTCCATCTGGGTGTCGTAGTAGCCGAGCTTGGCGTACTTGCCGTCGATCACCTGCTCGATCTGGGTCAGGGCTATGCGGTCGCCTTGCGAGCTGAACGCCACGTAGCCCTATGCGCGTGGAAATCGATTAAATAATATAAGCGAGATCGATATAGGCGGCTCCTCGATCGATCCCTCCTTAATCATTCATACGTGAACTTTATATACTCACCGAGACCCCGATGAACTGAGTCGAATTGATGGCCGAGTATATCTCGTCGGCCATCTCTTTGTCGTTGTAGGTAAAGTTTTTCAGGCTCTTGCCCTGCTTGCTCAGCCGGTCCATGGTCTTATTAAACGCTATATACAAAAACAGTTTAATTAATTACGAGTCGAGTCTCAAGTTCAAGTTCGCGATTGTATACTCACCCAAGGCGACGGACCAGACGGCGTCGTAAGCCAAGGGCGCCTCCTGATAGCCCTCGGGGTAGCGATTGTTGTCGATGTCGTAGCCGTCCTTCTTCAGAGCCCGATTGAGGCGCTGCCTGAAGTCCTCGCTGGTCATGCCGCTGATGGTCGTGTCGTTGTTCTGGTTCCACATGAGGGCCTCGGTCGTCAGATGGCCCTCTGCGGCCTGCCTCATTTGCTCCTTGGTGCAGCTGATGCCCTCCTTGTCGAGATTCACCTCGAACCAGTTGTCCTCGTACCAGCCGATGAAGAACCACACGTAGGACTTGCCGTAGAGGCCGTTGAGGTAGATCTCGCAGAGCACCCGGCGCGCGGCCACCACGTAGAACAGGCCGACGATGATGCGCGCGTCCTGACGGCGCAGATTGCGCACCGCGTCCGACGGGTCCGTGAGGAAGCTCTGGCGCGTCACGATCTCGATGCCGGCCTCCTTGCAACGGTTCTCCAGGTCCTCCACTGTCTGTAAATACCAATGCCACTTGGTTGATACATGCACCGTATAATTCGAGACAAGATCGCGATGCGCTCACCGAAATAAAGACCTCCTCGGTCTGCTGGAGTATGGCGACCCGGGACCAGCCGAACTTTTGCAGCAGCTTGATCCTCGTCGGATTGTGCACGGTGGCCGAGGGATGCGTCCGGAAGAGGGTGGGGAAGCGATTGCGATCCGAGAGGGCCGGCGACGAGGCCCCGTAGCACAGCACCACGAGGTTCCACATCTTGGCCGCCTCGGCGACGGTCGTGCAGACGGTGCTGCAGCCCGCGAGCAGCATCAGCTTCTGCGGCGGATTGTACAGCAGGTTGTACATGACCGCGGCGCCCAGTCCCGGCTCGCACTGCAAAATTAATTAATTAATCAATAATTTTTTAACGATTTTGGGAATGTTTATCGAAAGATCGGGTAGCGACCTCGCTGTCGTTCGAGTGCAGCTTCAGGGTGAATCCCGGCAGTAGATTCTTTTCGTTGTTGACGTCCTCGAGGGCGAGATTGGCCGCTGGCATGCACGCCTATGAACAAACAACATCGACTCGATTATTCAATCACGGTCGCAATCATATATGTAACGTGTGTGTGTGCTTGTGCGCTTGTGTGCGGTCGAAGGGCACACGCGAGGCGAGGCAGCGCGCTCGTTACTTAATAATTAATTCATGTCGCTTGAGCTGCAGCTCGCGCTCGTCGACCTCCAGCGCGCGACACTGCACACACGTGTATATAATGTGCATGTGTCAATGAGCATAATAATAATAATTACCTGACCACCTTGCCAGCCGCCCTCGCCAGCGATCGGGAAGATGCCACCGATGTGCAGGACATTGTCCTCCCTCGAGCTGATCTTCGCCTGGCAGTAGTAGCAGTAGTGGCCTATCGCCACCAAGTAGTAGGCGACGCAACGCACCAAACTTGGTGTCATCCTCGTGTTTGCTCGCGGCCGACCAACTCGTTTATGGAGCCCGACTGTGTCTTACCTCATCTCTTCGGGCCACATTCCGACGACTTAAAGTCGCGCTCGGCCCTCGAGCACACACACACACTTACGAGAGATCCGACTGTACTACGTGTGCACTCGTTACGTACGTGCCGAGAGAGGACAACGACGCGAAAAGCTCGACAGGAGAGTCTAAACTAAGGCACACGACTGCTTTTGGCGACTGCCAGCCAGTTTATATACAACGTATATATAACGAGGGAGGCAAAGAGAGAGAGAGAGAGAGAGAGGATAGCTGCATACGATCGAACGATACACCCCAACGAGACAAGAGCTGCACATATTATATATACAGCAGTGTCGGGGTCGTGAACGCGCGCGCACCTCCACCCATACCCCCCTCAAGCCCGCACACACATATAAGATAGACGACGCGAGCTTGCGATGCTGCTCGCTCGAGCCGTACCCTCGGCCTACGCGACTTTCCAAGTACACGTAGGGGCGCGGATCGATGGATCCGAGCTCCAGCGCAGAGCCGAGCTATATATATACGATATAATTACCTTCGACGAGATGAGCCGACCGGGCTGTGTCTGCTTGAAATTATTCAAATTTTCAATTCCGATTCGTGCCTATGTGCAGAGACGATACAGCGAGCTTGAAACGAAAATTTCATCGCGTTGTGGATAGGAAACTGCGCGAACATTTATCGACCGGCGGTTCGTGGACGGTGGTCGGTAAGTCGGAGATCTTCGATGAAATCGGATGGACTGCACTTTAGATGGCAACGATGTCCCGCTAATGATCAATTCTCAACGAGCTAATCGGATAATAACCGCAGCGGGTCTTTGTTTTACGCGCGTTCCAATATCTACGGGAGAAATAAGATTGTTTAAAAATTACGATAATCAAGGATGACTCGATTGTTGTCTCGTTGACGCGAGGAGGCGATTTGCAACGACGAGCCGATGATCGGTTCGCAGCTGCAGCACACCGCGACCCGCGGCGCTGACTCAGACACAATGGATGATTGTGAATCTCTCGTCTTTTCTCTCCGTGGCTCCGAGTTTGACTTTGCAACTTTTGCGCAAGATGATCGCCGATCCAATAAGGACTTTGGCGTCGTCGTACTCTCCGATATGTGTGTGCAACCTGCGAACTGATCGATGCTGCTCCTCGTCTCACCAGGCTTCAGTGCCTATATCTATCGAACCAATTTTCTAAGTCAAACGAATAATTTGTCAAGTAAAAATAAATTAGTTCGAAAAAGAAAAAAAAAATTGAAAAAATTCAAAGGCCATTCTGGTCGCTAAAGAATATTTAGAAATTGTATCTATTTGTTTAGAAAATTTTGCTGGATAAAGAAAGTGGTACGTTAGATTGTGCTATTGCATAATACATCTTAAATATTCGATTTCTAATTGACAATGAAATTGAGTCAAGATCCTCGGCGTGATCCACTGACAGTAAAACTCACTGCAATTCTGTGCTCTATAAGAGATGGAACAAAAATCTCTAACAACGCCGAAAATTTTGTATGAATGAAAATAAAGGCACTTTTGGATTCTCGAGGAAGCAAAACACTTGGATATAAGAATTCATCCATTTTCATGTAAGATTTCATCGTATCAACAGCCAGCTCGTGTTATGTATACCACACACGTATTGTATAATAAAATAGCTGCTCGCAAGGCCTCGCGCGCACCGACCGATCGTCGCGCGTTGCACTCGGCGTTGTCTCTCTCTCTCTCTCTCTCTCTCTCTCTCTCTCGATAGACTCATCTGCGAAGAACGCTTGGCCATCAACTATATGGCAATTACATAATTATGCACGTACACACACACACACACACGCACACACATGGACTCGCGGCTACTTATCCTTTGACTCAGCGTGCTAGAATCTCTCGTATACACAAGCGCGACCGTATGCAAACTCGGCCGGCAGCCATCGTACGTCGTATGTAGTCCACACGCATAAAACTAAAATTGACATAAATTATATCGTATCACGTGCAAAAAAAAAATAAGGCAAGGGATTCTTCGCTGATGGATGGCCGTCGTTCGATAATCGGTTGACGCAGCAGCTGCGCTACCCGCGGTAAAAAAAATTTAAATAATTTATGCGACATACCTTAATATGTGCTTTATAGTTTCGTACGTCGATAATTATTCATTGATTGTTTTTTTATACCGATTGAGAGTATCCAAGGAGCCATAGGCACGTGAATCTCGCTATGGTATTTTAAATATTATCTCACGATTAATTGTTACGAGTATTTTATCGAGAGCTTGCTTCTGATGACCTCTAATCATTCGATCGCCGTGGTGGTAATCTCGACGTAATGTCAACCATCCTTAAATTCCTTTCTTCAAGCGCACGAGTTGTCAATGCTACCAATAATATCCTTAGAAAAAATTCGACTCGCCCAAAGAAGTTTAACCGAAATTAAAGGCAAAAATTAGCGAAGCAAAATCAATCCGTCATCGAGTTAGGCTACGAGATATCGCCCGGGAGCTGCAGGCTTCAACGTTGAGCTACCGTGCGGGAGCTGTCAAATGCCGCGCAGCTGACGATGTGTCAGTTGATCGGTCCATCCATCCGTCATTGCTCTCGGGACTCTGCTGTAATATTGCAACCGCGTGCAGATATATACGTCGCGCGCCTATATAATGCAAATGGAGCTCGTCGTAAAAACAAACTTTGCGTAGCGCGCGGTAATTCAGAAAGACGATGCCGATCGCATGCGTATTTATACGCGCCGTCTTGACCGGTATATCGGTCGCGCTGGAGCCGATCGGCGCACTACATCGAGCTGTATACACATGCGTTACGAGCACACATGCTCAGAGCTATAGATAGTAGTATGGGCTATTTCACAATAGGCTTTCTGCGGGGAGTTGCGTTGCGTCGAGTCGCCGCCACAGTGGCTGCTGTCTCGGACTCTCAAGCGTGTATATGTATAAGCAAGCCTCGGCGCAGCAACAGCAGCAACTATATATAGCTATATAGGATACACACAGGCGTCGCGTGCACCGTGTGCCTCAAGCTCGATTCCGCGCGCGCGACTTTTCATTCAGTCTCTCGGCGCGCAGTAGTGTATAGGCCGCAGCAGCGGTAGCAGCACACGACGCGCGCTTCGACTCGTACATAATAATAATAAAATATCGCTCGGCACGTGCGGGCGTGTTTCAAAGCTCCCAAAATTAACCCGTCCATAAGCTCGTTTCCGCAGTGGTGTTTTTATTACTTTTCCCCCGCGTGCAACGATGAGTGCGGGCTAGTGTGAGTAATCTCGTGCAAGGCCTGGCCTGTTGTATGATAAATCGGTTTGGTGCAGTTACTTCCCCTGTTTGGTTGTTGTTGGTGGTCGAGTGTGCGCGTTGACAAATATGAAAAGGCTCCGCTGATCGTTCGCAAAAAAAAGTGAGCCAGTGACATGTCTCTCAAAGTAACGTCGGCCACGTCGGCCTCGTCGACGTCCCTGTCGTCGTCGAGCGGCAAGAAGGATCGACATCGCAAAAAGTCGGACCTCGGCAAGCGGCTGACGCGCAGCTTCTCCCTCGTGACCAAGTCGCCGGTGGCCGCCTTTCTGCATCGCAAGCCCAGCGCGCCCGAGTTCACCGTCGAGGTCACCGCCATAGCCCCGGACAAGTCCCAGCTCATGGTATTGCTTCTTCGTCTACCCTCTGTTTTTTTTTTTTTTTTGCTAAATATTCGTTCGGCAAAACACGAGGAAGCTTCGCTAATATACATCCGATATTATGGAAGAGTTAGATCTTATCGCGCGACATTTACATTAAAAATATGAATATAGCCATAAAAATGGGATTCCTCGCGAGACTGCGAACTCGCGCGACTCTTGGTCGTCGCGTCCGGTTATAACATCGCGCAAAATTAATTCGAGTAACTTATATTAACTACCTGAATAATTATGCAGGTCGTTTCGTAGAAAAAAAAATATTCGGGTACAGGCGCGTACGAGCGATCGATGCCTATCGTGTCGAAAGACGCGGCACTCGAGGCGATTTCGTTGTCATTTTTATTATACACATTTTTACGCTCGGTATCGGTATAGACTTGCGCAACCGCATGTATAGATATCCGAGGAGTCGTTGGTGTAGTCCTGCGCGCGTGATGCTACCTCAGCTGCGCGGACGATCGGACAATTGGCGCTTATATATAATAGCAATTTTAAACGAATCACGATCGCGCGCGGATGAAAGTGGCTCGCGTAGCTCGACTCGAGCTGCCAACGATTACGTGAATGCATCGACGAGCTACACACACTTGCATTCGAGATATACTACACCGACATGCGTGCATATGGTATATAGTTTAACGTTTATATATATGGCGAGATTACGCGGTGTATTACAGCTCGAGTCGTCGTTGCGACTACCTCGTGCACTGGTCAAAACTTTCTATGCTCGCGGCGCTTCCGAGTCGATATCACACAACAACATCTTCTCTCCTCTCCTCTCCTGCCTCTTTATTCCGAAGTCGCTCTGTTGACGCGCGCAGGTGGCCCATTCGCGATCGGCTCCTTTAGTAATCGTGCGCATCGACTTCTGCCCAAGGTGAAATGAAAAATTGAAAGTCATTTGCGCGCGGTGTGTGTACCCGCGCGAGGCTCTTTATCGCGAGCAGTACGCTGCGCGTCCTTTGCATCGCTGCTCCTTATTTCTCGCTTCATCGCGCCTTCGCGCAAAGTTCAACTTTCCATTTCTTCTCGCTCGTTCTTATCGCAATCCGATTGAAGCTTTTTTTTCTTTCTCTCGACCTCTCTCTCTCTCTCGCTACTCGACGCGCGTTACATCTTGGCATCGTGCGCTTCTCGTTAACGGGTAAATTTTATTATGATATTTGAAATATTTGGAGAACCGTTGCTTCCACGTAAATATATCACGGCAAAAGCCGCTGGAAGAAAATATAATAAAACGCATAGACGCGTTGTGCATGTACTACTTGGGCCCGTACGCAAACAATGATTTCACTTTTGGGAGCGTTTATTAATATAAATAACTTGACGCGCGCGCCGGCCATACATCAGCTCGGATCGTTTCGTTTCCCAAAGAGGCTGCACTCGGCGTATATAGCCTATGTATATGTTTAATCAATTTAATACAGCGCGTATAACGGCGATCGTTGTGCAAAATTCCTCGGGATTTTCAGCACGGGCGCGTATCGTTACCGGCTTCGAGAATTTACGAGTAATTAGACGAAAAGAAGGAGAGAGAGAGAGAGACAGAATTGATAGTGGAGGGGT